AAACCAACAGCAATTCCTCATCAGCACAGTTCATTTAGCATCTATGAGGAATACGTATTTTGCCTCGTTTCCACCGCCGTGGTGCCAGTGCCAGTGCTGGGCTTTTTCCCAAACCAGAACTAGTTCCGCGTGTTTCCACCGCAAAAAAACTGGCCCTGGGCCAGAAAAAATGGCTCCGGCACCAAATCAGCACCAAAAGCCGGTCTCAGAATTGGACAATCACATCCAAACCTCCCGCATATCTGGAAAATTCAATCCATAACCTATATAGTTTAGTCTAATATCACCGGTGCCAGCAGTGCAACAACTTGCCAGCTTATTAGTGGAATAATGTTGCATCATTTTTTTTTAATTTTGTGGAAGGTGAACAGTTGATTTGCTTGCCAGATTTAATAATAAATGATAAACATGTCACAGGTCGAAAAATATTGTGGCATTCTAGTGGCGAAGAGATCATGAGGCAGACAGCAAAGTTCAGTTATTAGCAGATTCTTTTATTGTGTGATCCTTAAAAGGACAGCAGTAAACCAGCAAGCGGGAATAAACTCACACACAGATGGAGAACCTTACGGAGACAAAATTGGATAAAGGCAGTAGAGACTGCAATGAGTCATACTCTGAAAACTTTTTTTCAGTTCAGCAGCTTATAAAAACGTAAAATCTGAAACAGATCAAAATAAATCCAACAAATCGGAATACAAATGAATCTTTACTTTACTCTCACTTCTGCCTACGTAACATTTCTGTTCTGCTCCTTTTTGAAACCGGTGGAAATGCAGGCAGGTTCCTAAAAAGCACCAAATGAGAACCAGCCCAGCATCGGCACCAGCACAGTGTTTGTGATAATGAGGTATTTGTGAAGCACTGGTCATTACTGGGTAATTTTCCATTTACAATATAAAAGAACGTGGATAAGAGAAGCAACAGTCCTTAGAAAGTCTTGGTTTGGCGATCTAGCAAAAAAAATCAAGGTTTCTCTACCTTTGTACCTTTCTTTATCGAGTACCTTAAAATTATTAATAGCCCATATTAATATATTAGTAGATTAAAGTGATATAAATTCCGTTAGCTCCATTAATGGGTGCAGTACTGGTTTAATTGATATGTTTAATCACCCTATACGAACCTGAAATGTTTTGTAAATATGAAACACCAGCAAATGAAAACCTCTTAATGAATATCTTGAACTCACCCAGCCTCCTGTGTAGCCCTAAAAGATCAGCAGCAGCTGAGAGGTGTAATCTGAAGGTGATCTAGAGGTCTCTCCATCCTTGAGGAGTCAGGCGCTTGCATGGCATTTATCATGATGTGAAATAGAGATTCTATTAGAAACCCTTTTCCGAATCTCATTGTCATACAATTGGAAATAGTACTGTATATTTTACACAGTACAGCTCCCACAAATCCATTAACTCATGTATCGTTCCTCAAAGTGCCGCCCTTTTTTCTCTTTCAGATGTGGAGGAAAAGGAGGACAGTGGCTCCGAGACACTCAAGAGCGAGGTGAGGTACTTGTTATGTTCCCCTGTGCTCGTTCCCCCGTCATCCCGCCATGCAGATCATACATCCTAAGGGAAAACTGTCTGCTTTCTCTCACGGCCCTTCTTCATTCAGCAGGGGGGGCGGGGCAGGGCCCGTGGAGACCAAGGCTGGGAGATCAGCCTCCGCCAGAGGCCCGTCCAGCGCATCACCTTCCAGGCCGGAGACCCTTACTACATCAGCAAGCGGACGAGGGACGAGTGGCTGGCCAGATGGAAGATGGAGGTAGGTAGCCGGTGCCTGGATTCACGGCCGCGTTTCACCCTGGGTGGGGTCTCTGCTGTCCCGTCCATGAGAAAGACATGCATGTTAAATCAGGGCTCTCGGGTCTCACACATCGACCATGAGACACACGCATTCCAACATGCTCACGCTCCACACCTAAATAGTAAGGGATAACGTCCACCAAAGTGTCCCGAATTATACAGAGTTAATAGCCACCTACCAGCCAATCAGAATATAGCATTTGTTGCATGTGATCCCGCTACAAACACGTTATTACATGGATACACACACAGAGTGTAGACAAGGTGGAAGTCACAGAGCAAGATCTAATGAATGCGGTAGGTGGGACTCTACAGTGTCACGCATTGGCTGTGAGACACGCTGCACCCTTAACAGATATAATCTCACTCCGAACTTTCAAAGAAACTTGAGAGCCCTGCTAAATGCTAAATGGTTGCTAAATGGATTCAGCATGATGCTAAATGGATTGTTTAGAATGAAGTATCTCAATTGCGAGTGAAGAATTTCATTAATCAGTGGGTTAGGATGTGAGAGTCAATACAAGAGTCTGGAAATCTTTACTTAGCTTCTATTTTGAGAAAAACAAAGCTTTTCTGTTGGGTGTCACATGCTTGTTGGCTGTGTTTTGTCCGATTTGAGGGCCGTGTAGTTTGGGGGTTATAGGGCTTTGCCTGTGATCAATAGGTTGCTGATTCGAATCCCATGGCTGGCAAATTGCTTCAGGGATGCTGTATGCAGACTGAGCCTGCACTTGGACCCCAGACTTCAGTCTCAGCTGTGTGTGTGTGTGTATGTGTGTGTGTGTGTGTGTGTGTGTGCATGTATGTGTGTGTGTGTGTATGTGTGTGTGTGTGCGTCTCAAAGGAGAGCATGATGGGATATCTGAGAATAATCATTCCAATGTGCTTGTACAAATGGCAAATAAAGCATCACTTCATCTTATTATTGTTCACGTAGGAAGGCCGATATGCTGTGTTACTGTTGTTAAATTTGAATTGAGGTGAACAGTTGGAGAAGCCATACCTCATTTTGACTCCGGGGCATTTGTGTCTAGGTCATAAAAATGAAAGAGAATGACTGTGAAAGACTGTGAATGTGAAGGTCATCTGGGCAGACTTGCTTATTCACTTGCTAATTCATTGTTCTCTTCACGCCTGTGCCCTATGTTCGAGCTTCCCAACAGAAAATGGGTTCCCCTCCATCCTCGTTTTGCAAAAATGACCGTCCGTGGCCCCGTAACACCGCTAGCGGTGCTGCCGCTAATTAGTTAAGTGCTGTTTCAGCATTTTGTGTCCAGCTGACAGCGTTAAGCTACTTATTCCAAATCATTTACATGAGGTCCTAAATGAGGCAACTGTGGTAGCTGGCCAGACTTTTTGCCTGAACGATTTTCCCCTCCTTTTTTGTGGAATTCACAGTTGAAGGGTTTTTAAGATTTATTTTTCTTTGTTTAGCCAAATTCTTGCTGGACTTTAGGTATATATATTTCCTTTTAAAATTATGAGATGCATTACATTTTGCAGGCTTATGCTATTTATGTGTAAGCTGGAAATGCAATGGTTCATATTTACTTCTCTAAAGTCTGTGGTCATACACAGACAAGCCATAAAAATAGTATCAAAACTGCATTTGCACCTTACACACTACTGGTACTACACATTTATCTTAATAGTAGGGGCTACACAGCCTGGCAAATTCCTAACAATCTTTTATGCATTCTGTTAATTAATACTTGTTCATCATCTGCAAGGTGCACAGTGAGTAACATGTTTGCCGACGAAGCGCATGTTGTTAGGCATGCATGTGTGACTGCCTTCCCAGAGTGCTTCAGTGTTTCTCTGGAGGAATTAACTCGATCAAAGTAGTACATTAAAAGATACACTGAAATTTGATAAACCCAAAGAGATGGTCAATCTGTCTGTCTTAACTTCCGTGTGATTCTAATATTTCAAACTCAAGGGGTCATTTCAGCTGATAATTATCGATGTCATATCAGCTTATAGTGTCTGGGGAAGGACAAGAGGTGGCAATGTAAAAAAACAATAATAAAATGTTTTTTTTTCCCCATAAAGTAATTGCAAGCAGCTGCTGCCTATGTTACCAATCAAACAAAGCAGAATGGAAGCACTGCACGGACGATGTTTATAGCGTGCTATCAGCTTTTGACATTAAATGGGGGGGGGGGGTGGTCATTCCAGAGAAAAGCTCTGCTCGTGTTTAGCAGGAGGACCCAAGCCACCACCAATTAAACTGCGGCTTCTCCGAAAGTGACGTGACCTCGGATTGACAGCCATCCAGATGATGTTCAACCTTTGTGCCACATCTGGGATACTAAGAGGAGGCGCCGTAGATATTAAGCTGTTATATGTACACTGAGCTAATGGAAATGGAAAAGTATGCTCTTTTTAAGCTGTATAATATATAACATACTGGTTCTATTTTGTTATTTTTAGCTGTTTTTATGTTCAGTGGTTTTTCTTCCAGCTCCATTTTCAGTGTGATACAGTTTGCCCTTTTTCTGTTCTTTCCTTTTTTCCCTCTCTTTTTTTTCCGCTAAATTTCCCTATACTCTGCTAACATTCCTTAAGTGACAGCCTCGGCTTGCAGGAGTCGTTCCCCGTAGCACTTCCAGAGGGGTTTTATAGAAACGTTTCAACGGGAGCAGGCGGTAAATCACTAGACAGGCTGAGGAACGGCAAAAATAAAAAAGGGTAGGGGGAGGGAAGGAGTGGGGGGCTTCCGGTGGGGGTAGCCGGAGTGACGAGTTGAATTATCGGTTTGAGTTCCCGGCGCGGTGCTGTTGCCGCGCAATGGCGGTGAGTGTAAGACAACCCCCCCCCCCCCATCCCCTCCCCCATGCAGTGGGCCTGAGCTGTAGCCTAGTTTTCTGCGCGGCATGTTGTCCCCAGCTGACCTGGGTTTGGCCACAGCAAGGAGGAGGCGGAGGAGGCCACAGGAGGAAGCTGCACGATTGAGGCTCCTCCCTGCGTCTCCCGTCCAAGCCCAGCCCTGGCGACGTTCCACCATGCGAACGCTCTCCCTGCAGACCCCCGGGCCTGATTATTAACACATGTGGCCCCGACTTTGACGACATCCCCTAGTGGCCCGTAATGGTCCTGCAGGAGGTGTTGACTGCCCCCCCCCCCCCACCCCCCACGCCCCTTCACCTGGGGTTCCTCGAGTTCGCAACATCCTCCGCTCTTGCTCAACAGCTGAACTCGATTTCAAGCGTTTCAAGCCAAAAGAACAAACCGAAAAAAAACCCCGCCTGGATTAAGACAAATAAAACCACCTGAGGAATCTTGGCCTCGTCACCACGGTTACTGCAAGGTGATGCGACGTAGCATCACCTACAGCGACTCAGGCCTCCGTGACAGTCCCAGAAGGATAATGTCACGATGCGATGACATCCTTCCACTGCCATTTATGTCCTCTCATCGTTTCAAAGAAAGTGCTTTCTGTAAACACCGTCGTTGATTGCAGGTGTGAGTCTGTTGTTCGCAAAAAGAAAAACCTCACAGCCCAAAATCCCCAGTTGCTGTTACCGAAATACATTTGGTATTTGGTACGTTGCAAAACCACGAGGCACTGTTTCCTGGTATATTTAAATGCAGTTTACATTATGTCTCTTTCATGCCTTGTCATTTTCCAACTTATATGAAATGTAAACTTGGGTAGAAGGATAGAGTTTATTGAACTAATCTCTAGATGTTCATTTTTGTCCTGAGTTTGTAATCACATTAATAAGTTTAATGAAAACGTTACAGAATGTACACATAGTAATAATCTTTCTACATCTTATGGTATGTTGTGTATCTTTCTTTTTAAAGAAATAATACAGCAGACTGACATAATTTCAGGGAAAACAATATGAATTTTGTTGATGTTATTTTCATTCTTAGGAGCGGAAATTCCATGAAAACTTGAATAGGGTGCCTACATCTTGAGCTTCTCCCTGTTCCCTCCCTGCTGGCACAGGAATGGGCTGTCATAAATGTGTCTGACGGATAAAAATATTGTCAGGTTGGCAGGACATGCACTGTCTTGTCCAAGTTAGCAGATCTCGCAGTGACAGCAGGAAAATAGTTCCTGAAACGTGCCTCCTTGTCTTTCAGGCGCAATTTGCAACTATATTCAAAACATGGCAATTTTAAAATTACAGTCAAGAAAAGGCGCCTCAACAAGTGTGAAGTGTGACAGCGGGAACTACGTGGTTTTACTAATCCGAGTATTATTTTAAAATTCTTTTCAAATGTTGCCATTAACCTGCCTCAATTATTAATACATATAATCATATTAAACATGTACAAATAACATTAAAATCAAATTGCCATGAGCTCTTAAATGTTACAAATTTCATATACTATCCAGGCTGTGGTTTAAAACAGGCATCAGAGGGACAGTTTTATATTGCAACAGAAATACCACATGCTGGTGTTTTCTCAGAAAGAAATACCCTTAATAATAATATTCCTTGTTTTATAGTCGGTCCCCCTTGTCCGGCCCTGTTTGTTGGTCTGGCTCCTCCCCCAGATATGGAAATGAACCTTGTGCCATAGATATGAGGGTGAAGATGAGGTTTGCAGCAGATTTCCAGCCTGCATACAGACAGCCTCCTGGCTCACAGCCAACGTATGCAAGTCCTCTCTAGCCAACCAGAATTCCTGTTGCCGATCACCTGACCTTGAATTCCCAGACAAAGAAATGCTTTTTTTTTTTTTTTTTTTTAGAAGCGAGCTCCTTTAGCCTGAGAGTGGGGGGTAAAGAAAAAATTTGAGCCACACGTTGGATTTAAAGTTGCGTGCACCAGAGTTTATGGGTACGTGCATTGCATTGTTCGCTTAGTAGCACAGTGGTATATGCTTTTTTCTGTTCAGCCTTTTTTTTGCAGCAGATTTTACATATTGACTTGTGGTATTTCTGGAGAGTTGTTACGGTGCATCTGTTCCAGGGAACTTAAAGGGAAACCGTCACTTTAAATGCAAAAAAGGGAAGCTAGACTTTTCAGCCGGCTACGGAAGGACATGCGCTGGGAACAAGCTTTTCAGAGGATACATGTTTGCAAGATGTGGTTGTGGTTTCTCAGATCCTTGCATTTGCCTGTTTGAAGCGAAGCCGGGAGATTTTTCCTGCTGTATTTCTTGACTCTGCTATACTAAACTTGACAGTGCATGTTTGCAATGGTAGCTGTGCATTAAAGATTTGAGATGCATTTGTGTTTCTCTCTGTTATTTCAGTTAACCCCGAGAAGGTGACAGAGAACATTGAAAAGCACAAAATTGCTGTATTTTATTGTCAAATTTACTCAGAGGGCCAGGAACTTGCATTTTAAAAATTCTTTTAAAAATCTGTTGATAAAAACGAGCCACTAATGTGCTCATTACAATAAGGGATATTGTGATTTTTTTTTTCCTTATGAAAAAAAAGAAAAAGAGACTTGCCACTTGAAGGTAAGAATGTTTAAATGTTGCCTCACCTTGTACTTCTGTGTATCCAAGAGTAATGTTTTATATTTTAAAAGTATTTAGGAGTAGAAAAGCATGAGCTTTTTATCTGTATATTATTGTTATACTTTGTTTCATATTGAAACAATAATTTGGAAGTTGCTGCAGAAAATGCTACGTTGAACTCTGATTATTTGGCACGGCCTGCAGAGGTGAATGGGTTCGTGTTTTGAAGTGCAGAGTGCGGAGAACTAGGGCGAAGCGCGGGTTCTAGAGAAATTCACTGGCTCACCAGCGACTAACTTGCAGTTTCGTGAAAAAAAGGTCAGCCGGTTCAGGGAGCTATGAGAAGACTGCCCCCCACCCTCTCCCCTACCCCCCTACCCCACAGTCAGCCAAGCCTCGTCAATGGGGGGTCTTGTCTAGCGGGCAATGAGGTGATATCAGGACACACGGATTCTATAGCCGCAGATTACATGTGCGGGTAAATTCATAGCGGTTACTTAAGCAACCGCCAGTCCAATAAAAGAGAAACTAGACCTGATTAGAAACCCTGTGTACCATTTTGACTTAGAGTACAGTGTCTCTATATAAAAATCGCTAAAGGAGTACGACTTTACGACATGCAAGTAACGTTATGCTAGCTTAACATTTGTTTAGTTGTTTTCAACATTGAGCCATTTGTCAGTGAGGTTGATGGCTGTGTTTTATAGCATTTGCATGAATTCTACATTACGATGAAATCATGTGCATGATGAAAGGAGTTACGATAAACAGCCGCTGGCCTGCAACTTAAGTTTAGGCTCTGGCACAAATTCAGTCAAATTCTAGGCTCCGTTGTGTGTGTTATAACGAAAGTACAGTTGTAGCTGCATGTCACTTTTTGGCATTCATTGTTTAACGTTAGCTCAACCAGTTGCCGAGTTTGTGACATATTAAATTTATAAATACCCAACTGCCGCTGTAAAGTACAGTTTAAGAACTTCTAACTTGGGAAGCAAAACAGAGACAGCTTCTCTTTGAAATGCAGTTGTATTTGGTGTCTGGAAAACGTATGGTATGTGCTATACGGTCAGTGACTTTAGTGTAACATACAGTAAAATAATGCGGTTTCTGACATCTACCACGGGTAAGAGATAACTAATCCCTGAATGTAACGCGAGAATTGTGAGACGGCATCTGCAGATTTTATGGAAATAACTCGGGCCATGGAAGCTGGGGTTACAAAAAAAACCATGAAAGATCAAAAACATTTCAGTTCTCGTAGAATTAGTGCGGTAACGAGCGGCTGTTAGCCTAACTAAGTCCATCGACGCCATTCGAATGTTATCCACTCCAGTTACGAGGTCTGGGCCGTAGCCAGCAAACAGCATGACCCGCGCATTTAAATTTATATAGGGGGGTTATAGGCTTGTTGAAGGTGTGTCACTGAAGCAGTATGATTGAGTTCCAAACCACTGTAAATAATAGCTCTAAGCTTGATTACTTCAATGATGAAGATTTCAGAGTTGAGTAATACAGAAAGAAGTTCTGGAAGAGCTTAATAAACTAATGGTAGCTCTAAGAAAACTGAATATCACTGTATTGTCATAAATTGGTGCCCCATGCACCGTTAGCTAATCCATAATATTTGCTAATCTTTCACATTATATCATTCTACGAAGATTATTTGCACATAACAGTTCAATGAACCTATGGGCTCAGAAACTTGTTTTATTGAATTGTTGATGTTTCAGCGAATGGGGGAGTATAGAACTTCACCTCTTCTTCAGTGTTGGCTGAATTCATATATCACTTTATTTTTGGACGGTGGATCATTTTGGGATTGTGCCATTATTCTAATGTGCCGTTGAGTGTGAGATCGCTTTTCCCACACAAACAGCTTGTTGCCATGTTGCATTGGCCAGACAGGGTATCCATATATCACAGACCCTGACTGGAAATGGTAAAAAAGAAAAATCGTTGATATTCACTAACCATATCACAGCTATAGATGTTTTTGACGTACTTGTACGAATTTGGGGAAGCTATTACGCTAAAATTTGGAGTAATACAGAAGTTGTGGTGGAAGTAAGAAAAGGATTTATGCTGGGTGATTGTGAAAGCTGAGCTATTTTTATGCATGCAGGGGGATCTGTTGTAGGTTCTGGTTACTGCATAAAGCTTTTTATTGCCCACAAAGCCCTGAGCACCACAGCCTACAGGACAGTGTATCAGCTTATGTTCAGCCATGACTTAAAACAGGTGGATCTGGGTATGATCAGAGAATATCGTGAGACCCCGTCCACCATTCATGAACAACAGATGAAATGTCAGTCATAGTTTTATTATTGTTTTTCTGTTTTCGCTTTGTGTTTTCTCCTGCAAAAATGACATATTGTAATTGAATTTAAATGCAGTATCCCCACCTTCTGACCTGAGAACTGTCAGGTCATTTAACACTTCCTGAAGTGGTTTTTCCTGTCTTGATACTACTTTACCAACAAATGGGTTGTATTGGATTATACCTGATATATAATCAATATATGGGTAACGGCTTCCTGAACCATTTGTCTTCCTAACAGTCCCATTCATTGTCATCGTATATTCACTTACTAAGCATTGATGTCAACAGTAGTACATACAGAGTGACATCACAGCTAGATTTGTAGTTCACTGTAGCCAGTGTGGAAACTGTAGTCGGTATTCAAACTACAGGCCAAATACTTTGCTTGCTCCCCCTCCGCCACACTGGTATGCAAATTAGTATTTATGCATTATTTCTTTTTATTATCTTGTCTGCTACTCACCCAGGCTTCATTCATTCTCCTCGTCTTCTGTGTAATCTAAATATCAGTAACATTTTTTTTTAGCAATGCCCAAAGAAAATGTATTTTTCGTGACTTTGCTGTGCCCTGAGATTGTATTCAAATTCAAATTCGACTGAATTTGGTACAGGATTGAGTGAAGAAGAAATGTGTTTTACTCTGACAAACCCATGCTCTCTCTTATGAACTCTGATAGTCAGTGTTCACTGTGGAATCTCCCAAGATGCACCACAGTTGTCCATTTTGAATGAAAGCGGATTGGTCAGGGTGTCGGTCTGCTCTGCTCGACTTCCTGTTGTGGAGTGCGAAGTCCAAAATTGGAAGCGACTAAATCGAAGTGAAACTTGAGTAAACAACCGATTTAGGCTTTGCCCCCTGCTTCTTAGATTATTTGCGGGCCTTGTCATTTCCATTACTGCGCATTTTAAACAGCCATTCATGCATATTTACAGTAGCTGTCCCTTGTGAAAGGAAGCAGACTTACGTGTTAATGCTGTGACCCATGAATTTGGTCTTCCGTTTGCACAGGCAGAGCAAAAAGCCAAGCTGGCTTCTGTGATGGACACGACAGAGGGGCCAGAGAGGCCCCAGCTCCAGAAGGAGGAGGACACCGTAATCCCCAGCCCCCCACCTCTCCAGCAGCAGCCCACCGACCCCGCGTCTCCAACCGTGGCCACCACCCCAGAGCCAATTTCCACAGGGGGCGGAGACAAGGCCACACCCCAGTCCACGGATATGGAGCTGGAGTACGAGGTAAAGTGCTGCTTAGTTGTAATGTTGTTTTACCCAGTGAAGGACGTGCCAAATGATCCGTTTTAAATAAATCATTCAGTATGACTTGCTCAGGGTGGGATCTGAAAACAGATCCAAATAACACGGGGATGAATAGGCACTTTTTTTTTGGTTTTGAGTTTAACAAACTGGGGGAAACAAACAGACACAACACAGTCATTCTGGCATAAGAAAAAAGGGAAACCGGGCAGGGAAAGGAGGATGAGACAAAACGTTAGTCTGTTTCATATTACAGTAACAGTGAAGGACTCATCTCCTCCCCCATTTTATAAATTCGTATAACACACATGAACCACCAACACTGGAAATTCATTGAAATTCACATAATCCGATTATTTCAGTGATGAAGTCGTTAGGCTTAGAGCTGGGAAAGATGTTGAGCCCCATAAACTTTGTGAAAACTGACACGCAGAGTTTTGCATTAGTGCTTAGAAGTGTGCATGAAACGCAGCTAATGCATGTCGGTGATGCATGGCTTCACACAACCCCATGCTGGTGAGTATGTGTGCAATGCAGTTATTGCATGTAGGTGATGCATGGTTTCACGCAGCCCCATGCTGGTCAGTATGTGTGCAATGCAGTTAATGCATGTCGGTGATGCATGGCTTCACACAGCNAGTATGTGTGCAATGCAGTTAATGCATGTCGGTGATGCATGGCTTCACACAGCCCCATGCTGGTGAGTATGTGTGCAATGCAGTTAATGCATGTCGGTGATGCATGGCTTCACACAGCCCCATGCTGAGGAGTATGTGTGCAATGCAGTTAATGCATGTCGGTGATGCATGGCTTCACACAGCGCCATGCTGGTGAGTATGTGTGCAATGCAGTTAATGCATATCGGTGATGCATGGCTTCACACAGCCCCATGCTGAGGAGTATGCGTGTGTGTATGCACAGTTAATGCCTACAGGCATACTCTATATGTTAACAGGAAATTAAAAATTAAGTACTGTTAAAGGCTTCCAGCATTAATAACAAGGAGATTTCTGGGGAATTACCCAATAAACAGTATTTTACTAATTCGTAAATCGATGTCTCTCTGACTTTGATTCTGATGCCTGATTACTGTAATTTTGGCCTACTGATTCCCTTTTATATTATTGTTGTAATATATTACTATATTACTAAATTTTAATAAAATTTCCATGTGGTACATAACAGTGTGGTACCAGGTGTGTTAAAATTATTGTTGGTGAATTTTAAGGGCCCCCTTTCTACAGAATTTAGATTATTGACTTTATCAGGCAGGGTTAGCTATCAAAATTTTTCTTTTTAAAATATTGAATTCATTATTAGAGAACTGGGGTTTGTTGTTGGGGACAAATTGTGTCTGATGTAACCTTGTTGAGAGACAGGAAAGACAAACGCTGGGTTGGATTTATAATTAGAAAAATATTTAGTGTATCCTGATGGCCAAAATGATGTGGATCCTGCACGTGGGATATTCCTGGAATATTAGTATGGAGGGGCTGACCTGCACGCTGAACTCCGCTGCAGGACGGCCGTGGTTTCGGGATCGGGGAGCTGGTGTGGGGGAAGCTGCGGGGCTTTTCCTGGTGGCCCGGGCGCATAGTGTCCTGGTGGATGACCGGCCGGAGCCGGGCCGCGGAGGGAACCAGATGGGTCATGTGGTTTGGGGACGGCAAATTCTCCGTGGTGAGTCCGATCATCTTTTCCGTAAAATGAAACGCGAGCTCAGTCCCGCTATCTGCCACAGTATTTTTCTAATCGGCTTATCAGTTTTCACCATGTGTATCATTTTGGGGTAGCATATTTAACTTTAAGAGCTGGGCTGTACTATTATTTCTGGATCAGCCGTGGTAAAATACCTGATTCAGCTTGTTCCAGTCTACCTTGTTTACAGCTGTAAATCTGAATCCGCTAAACCCGTGCTTCCAGGAAATCATGAAGGCGGCCACAGTTTCTGGCCAAGGCAGCAATCAGATCACCGACTTTTCCTGTACGGCAAACAAAAACTCCTAAACTTTAAATAATTTTGCCCGTTACTTGCAATAAAAACACCAGCATGTGCTAATTGCTAATTAAAGAGAAAATTTCTGGCAATGGAGTCTCGCTGCGTCCTTATTTGACCTTCTGGCTTAAATAGCAATTTGGAAACTCTCCTGCTTTTACAAAATAAAGTTCTCTGTTACTGTTTTCTAAACATTGCCATCCCATGTTTATGTCATGATTTCTAAACATTGCCGTAAGAAACCGTATACTGAATTATACACATCATGTTGAGGAATTTGTTTAAACTTTGTTTTAAATGATTACAAAACTTTCTTGCCGATTGTTAAACCTTAAACGTTAGTCTTGAACGTTAAGACAGGTCTATCGGTGTCCGTAATGGACGGATGTGTAAAATCTCATCTCCCTTTTCTTGGCAGGTGTGTGTGGAGAAACTGATGCCTTTAAGTTCATTTTCCAATGCATTTCACCAGCCAACCTACAACAAGCAGCCCATGTACAAGAAAGCAATCTACGAGGTGCTACAGGTGCGCTGTTTATGGGTTTTAATCTTTGGAAATTGCCAGAAATCACCAGATTATAGTTACTGTTCAGTTGCAATAACTTTAGAATAAATGGGTTTGCTGTGAGCCGCTCATTGGCTTTTCATTTCCATGTTTATGGGTCCAATTACATCATTTAGCGTGTTTGTGTTTGATCTTTAATGGACTGGCATCCCAGCCAGTTCTTGCTGGGGAAAAAAGAGATGAGTTTGAAATTGCCTGCTAAAACATAATGGAAAGATATTTATGTTAATACAGTGCTTACAAATGTGGGGGGGTGTATGTTGTTCCTCTGATCAGACGGTTGCCAGTTCAAATCTCAGGGTCCCTAGAATGATTTTACTGTTGATCCCCTGACTAATGTCCTTAATCTCCACTCCACTGATTGGCTGACTCTGCCTTCTCAAAGATGTCCATTGTCTCGGATACACACATCTACTGAATGTAATAAAATGAAATATATGTTTTAAATGCAGTTGTATATATGTTAAAAAATACATTAAAATATATATCCCTGTATTTAGGAATGTAACGTGTTTAATTTTCAAACCACAGCAATAAATGTGTACATTTGCAAAACATTCTGTGGGGGGGCGGGGTTTAGCCTGGGCTGCCCAGGGACTTACAGATGGGACAGCGTGTGTTGCGTATGGGTTCCTAATTTACGGCTGCTGCTCTGAAAGCCAGCTGTCCCCTCCTCAATCCTCACAGGTAGCAAGCAGCAGGGCCGGTAAGATCTTCCGCACTTGTCCAGACAGCGACGAAACAGACACTTCCAAGACCGTGGATATGCAGAACAAGGAGATGATTGAGTGGGCCATAGCGGGCTTCCAGCCCACTGGTCCCAAGTGCTTGGAACCCCCTGAAGGTATGAGGTCTCCCACCCCCAAAAAATGACATCAGACTGTGGTCTGAGATGGATTTCCCCTGGTCTTTGCACTCTGGGAAGCTGGGCATCATTTGACATGCCCTTCTGCCTTCGAGTATGTTGAGGTTGAATTTTAAACGTAACATCAAGGACCGTTCACTCTATTCAAGTGGAACTTATATCAAAGTGTCATTGCAATATCCTATGCAGTATTAACAGAGGATGTATGAGTGGGTGTTCCCTTAAAAAAATGACTGCAGAGGTGATCCTGAAGCCAAATGCAAGTGGAGAAGGAATTCTTATGGTAGCATTATGTTAAATGGTATTATTATGAGTCTCTGCTACTGCAAGGTACAAAAGAATGAACCTCTAGCTATCTTAAGTGTGTTATTTGTTCAGCCATGTTTGTGGGCCGCTGAAGTGGTTCAGCCTTGAATGATCTGGGTAGTTAGCTGCTGTTTTGGTGCCCCCTGTAGGCATTTTGTGTATCTGCGAGTTATAATAGAAACGTCTCTCCTCCAGTTAGCAGAGCTAGTTTTTACGAAACTCTGAGGCCTTTTATTGTGTAATGAAAGCGATGAAGTTTGTCAGGAGCGAATCGAGGAGGCCAAGAAGGTATCAGGTCTGAAATGCTTAGCAAATAGTCATAATAAGCCTTGGGAACAACTTAACTGAGAGAAATTTCGAGGAATGATTACAAAATAATAATACATTTAACGACAATCAACAAATCAAGAGTTTATCAGTTTATAAGAAACTGGGAATCGACATCTGACGCTTCCCAGTTTCTTTCCTTGGTAATTCCCTGTGTCTCCGCTTCTGTGCAGAGGAGCGTAATCCGTATAAGGAGGTGTACCCCGAGATGTGGATCGAACCTGAAGCCGCAGCCTACTCCTCGCCACCACCAGCCAAAAAACCACGCAAAAACACAGCAGAGAAGCCCAGGATTAAGGAAATCATCGACGAGGGGACTCGAGGTAGAGATTACTAGGCCACCCAGCCTTCAGGTTCCGTTCCACTAGGTTCCCATACCACTAAAATCACGTAAAACTGTGAAAAGTGTATCAGTTATATAAATACAGCGATGTGTGTGTTTTCTTAAAGACCATACAGAGATTTGGTGCATGGTGCTTGTGCAGGTGTGTAACTCTTAACAGGTCATGTGATGTTAATTGACTGCGTGTACATCTTGTATGCCTTGAGGTATAGCTGTACTGTCCCACCATGTAACCACATAACCCAACTCCTTGAAGTTGATCTAACTGTTTACAAGGTGGGTGTCCCCAAATGAATCCTCAAAATGGCCGTGCCCTCCTCCCTCAACATTAACCTTTTTTTGTCTTTTCATTAAAGAGAGACTTGTCTACGACGTGCGACAGAAATGCAGAAATATAGAAGGTGGGTAGAACTCGTTTATGCCTGGTCTCTGTGTGAAGCCTATTCTACAAAGAACTCTTGCTTTGTGATAAAGAAAAAACACCTGTAGAAGATGCATAGTATCCTGTTAGAAATTACAAAAGCCTGAATGTCTGCTCCTTTTCTCTGATTATGGTAGAAAAAATGTGTCATAAATAATTTTGTGGGAATTCTGATAGAAAGTGGTCCGAGTACATACTAATTCTAAATATTTGGTTCCTCCGGTATGAATCCATACGGTACATTTACGACATGTTCCCGTGTCCCCAGGGTTGAGTGAAAGGTTCATAGTTCCAGCAGAGAGTGGCACCTTCCTTCCGCACATGAGCACAGCGAAGCGCGGACTCGCATGAGCTAAAATGTCCTTTTTCTTGCTCAGATATTTGCATCTCTTGCGGAAGCCTGAACGTATCCCTGGAACATCCGCTGTTCACGGGAGGCATGTGTCAAAGTTGCAAGGTAGGGACATGTCACCGGGTCTGTCTGAGTGTGCGTGTATGACTCTAAAGCCAGAATGTGGCGTTGCATGGGTCTGATCCGTGTGCTAAAGTAGCACAGGCTGCTAACGGACTGCTACTTTCTGTATTACCTGTCTGAGAAGATCGGTAGTGGCGAAAATCAGTGTACATTACTGCGGTTGTTTTTCACTGGGCAGTGTAAACTCAGGATAGTGAAATAATAATTTTAATTATTATCGTCATTATCTTCCTTGCAAATCTGTCCAGTATAAGACAGATTTTCCTCACAGGCGTTTGTAGAATTGGCACATATCTGGCTCAGAGGGCTTAGAGGCTGTATTTGTGATCAGATGGTTGCCGGGTCAAATCCTATGGCCGACAGAATGATGTCTTTGTTGGGCCCTTGAGCAAGACCATTATCCCTAATTGTTCCAGGGACTGTCTGGACCTGCTTTATCAATTTTACATCACTTTGAATAAAAGTGTCTGCTATATATATATATATAAGTATATATACTTCCAGTATCACCTATACATAAAGATGCTTAATTACTGCATTTCGTGATGTTGCAGCAGGGTTGACTGTAACAAGCGTGTTCGACAGCTATTGCTTATGACTATAATATGACACCAGCCAATGAGAAGCTGGGGAACAGACGCTTTGCCGGCTCAATGGCGATCACTGACGCCATACCCCTGTCTCAGAACTGCTTCCTGGAATGTGCCTACCAGTATGACGATGATGGATACCAGTCCTACTGCACAATCTGCTGCGGAGGACGCGAGGTGCTCATGTGTGGGAACAACAACTGCTGTCGGTGAGAAAGCCGGCAGACGATGCCACGGTCACTCGGAGCATCTTAGAAAATTGTGACGAGCCTGTTCATGAAAGTAACCGATGTGCGTCCATTAATGGGCCGTGTGTTGACGTTCCAAGGAATGAGGTGTGGTTTCCGACACGTAAATTTAATAGACAGGGGTTTCGTGGTCCTTAATCGAAATGAAGCACGCTCATTGTTGTACTTCAGCGATTTTTTTGCTCATAACTGACTCGCTCGTAACCAAGTGTTTGCATCTGCTAACAGGTGCTTCTGCGTGGAATGTGTTGACCTCTTGGTGGGTCCAGGGGCGGCCCAGGCAGCCATTAAGGAAGACCCCTGGAACTGCTACATGTGCGGCCGGCAAGGCGTGTTCGGGCTCCTGGAGCGCCGGACTGACTGGCCCTGCCGCCTGCAGCATTTCTTTGCCAATAACCACGACCAGGATTTCGTGAGTGCCCATGGTCACAGACTCCCTCACTTCTTGTTCTACGCCACTGAATTTCTTGCAAGGTTACGTCCTCTTTAGGATGCTTAGGTAGCTAATCGTACTCCATGAACAGGGAATATTTGTGGTTTTAGGACCCGTCCACTACCACTGCTATAGACACTTATCTCATTAGTGTGATAACTCAAAAAGTATATGATGGATCTTTTTTAGACTTTCCATTTACACTGTATGGGTGACAAACTGGAAATTGTCAGATTTTGAGACATATCACACCAAAATTGTTCTGGTAGCAAAGAGGAGGGCAGCCTTAGATGCAGATCAGGTGAACCTGATTACATTGAGAAAAGTCACATGAAGTTGTGGTTTTTAAAAATATTTTGGAGACTGCAAATCCTGTGTTAATCTGCCCATTTCGCCCTGTGTGCCAGGATCCGCCGAAGCTTTATCCACCAGTCCTTGCTGAAAAAAGGAAGCCCATTAGGGTCCTGTCACTCTTTGATGGCATCGCGACGGGTGAGGTGTTACTCTGTTTTTGGATGCAGAAAAAGTCTTTGGTGGCTTTCAGTATGCAGGATGTTCGTACTAAAGTTTGTCATAGTAATAGGATATTTAAAAGAACATCGTGACACACTGCCCAGTACGCTCTGAGATCTGAGCTCTGAGTTTAAAAATGACCCATGGACTCAAAGAGGAGAGGATTCCATGTAAGTCAGATATGCTAACAAATGTATTAGCATAGATTGTTGTTGCTACCCTGTACGTGCAACGTATTTACAGTCAACCCGTCTGCATCGCAACTTTCCTCATCGTGCTTCCGATGTATCGCAGGATTGGTATAAGAAATTAAATGGGTATTTTTGAGGAGTTTTTGGGAGTTGCGCAAAAGCTGCAGACGACATAGAAAAACAGTTTGGAGAGCGCCAAGTGTGTTTAGGGCACATGCCAAGGGGACCAAGGTGACCAAAAACTTTTAATTAGTTTTTCCAAATTGCAGGGGGCCTGCGCCCCTTACCCCCATGGTTGGGAAGAGTCATTGGGACTGCCTGATGTCTGACAATACCACCAGATAAATAATGGATCAGTATGGCACAGTGGCAGGAACCAGTCTAGGCTACAGTTCGGAGGTGCCCTCTGATCTTTGACTCATCTGTGCTCAGGCTTGCTGGTGCTAAAGGAGCTGGGGATAGAGGTGGAATGCTACATTGCCTCAGAGGTGTGTGAGGACTCCATAACCGTGGGCATCGTGCGGCACCATGGCCGCATCATGTACGTCGGGGACGTGAGGAACGTCACGCGTAAACATGTGAGTGCCAGCCTTGACTTGCTGAAGTGTGTGTGGCCACATGTGAATGGTGAAGGGAAACTGTGAATGCAGCTCTGTGAATGAGGTCCTGTGAATGTGGCTCTGTGAGTGCACTGTACTTCACACTTGCTTTTGAAAATATGAACGGATTTGTGTATAACTAGTACATAATTTATTTTCAGTATTCATATCATAATGAGTAACTTAGTTTAAGCTATTTAGCTAATCTCAAGCTGTTTTGTAAACTATTGATTGTGGTCAAGAATAAGGCCTGCCAGTTGTACAAGTTCCGTTTTTATGTATATTTTGCACTTCACTGTAATTTTTGAGTACGGTTTTTCTTTTTTTTGGGCGTTTTTATGTATATTTTGCACTTCACTGTAATTTTTGAGTACGGTTTTTCTTTTTTTTGGGGGGGGGGTACATTTTTCGATCCGCCTCCTCTCCCCAGAACAATGAAAAGTCTTAACGCTACTCCGAAAGTTTAGTTCCATATTAATAAATACTAGATTTCACTTTCACTTTCACTTTGGCATGTCAGATGCTTAGTCAGATGGCGATGCACTTAGGTGATACTTAGGGCTGACGTGTCTTTGCATGTAGCACAATTAGCACTCGCTAAGGATTCGTGGGTAATGCTGCACTGGACAGATGGACGCAGCTGGAATCAAGGACTTCTCCTAGCGTGACAAATGTGACATTTTCTCCTTCTTGATTGTGCAGATACAAGAATGGGGCCCTTTCGACCTGGTCATCGGAGGAAGCCCTTGCAATGACCTCTCCATCGTAAACCCTGCGCGCAAGGGCCTTTATGGTACAAAGAGCCGAACCGCCACTCACTGCACCGTGATTCACTCACCATCTGCCCCGTGGTTCCACACAGAAGCCAGTCAATTCAATTCATTATACTGCTTAAACTCTGTAAAGGGGAAACAGGTGTATTCTGGTAATAACCAAGTTGCTGATAGAAGTTAAGCGAGTTTTGGAAAAAGCAAAAAATAAGTTTCATTTCTCAGTTGTACACTTGCGTTAAATTGTGTAGCAGGCATTTATTTTTAGCATCTCTATGTTCAGGCCTATTTGCATTGACAATTATATATATAAATTGTATATATATATACAAATATATATATATATAAATATAAAGTGTAAATTACAGACACGCAGAAGAATACTATGAAAATGCCCAATGTTTCCCAGTTATAGTGAATAGGTGCTTGTAGTGTAGCTCTTGCGCTGATGCTAACTCGCTAACTGATGCTACTGGATGTTCAGGTGAAGTTGAGCCAAGCTGCACTTACATACGAAGTCAGCTCCTTGACAGCTGTGTGCTTGTAATATAATATCACTTGTATGTTGCTTTGGAGAGAAACGTCTGCTAAATGAATAAATGTAGACATAAAAGTACAGTCTGTGATGGATTGGCAAGCCATCCTTGGTTATTCTGCCTTGCGCCCGTAGCTTCCAGCATAGGTTTTAGAGCCCCGTGCCCCTGCATAGGACAAGCAGGTATAGAAAATGGATGGATAAACGTACAGTACCATTTAAGTTTGGATGCAGCTACTGAAAATCATGTCTTTTTCAACAAGATGATGACCCTAAGAACACCTTGAGGGTATGTAGTAAGTATTATCCTGTGAACAAGCAGGGAGATGGAGTGCTGTGACAGATGACCTGGCCCCCCCCACAATCCCCGACCTAAACGCTATAGAGCTGCTCTGGGATGAGTTGGATCGAAGAGTAAGAGCAAGCTAGCCAACTTGTGCCCAGAACTTGTGGAAACTCCTTCAGGATTGTTGGAGAAGCATTCCAGGTGGCTACATCTGGAAGCTGGTTGAAAGAATGCCAAGAGTCTACAATGCTGTCATCGAAGCAGAAGGAGGTTATTTTGATGAGTCTAAACTTTGTGAAAATTTTGAGATGTTGAATGGTTTCTCTTAGTTGTTGCAAGATTTGATATGTATTACTTCATTGCCTCGAGGCCTTTTACTATAAGGTGAACCACATAGCTAAAATAGAGACAAATACATTAAAAGCAGGTGTGTCCAGACCCTGGACTGATACTGTAACATAAACATGACCTGCCGTCTTCCCAGAGGGCACCGGGCGGCTGTTCTTCGAGTTCTACCGACTGCTACATGAGGCGCGACCCAAGGAAGCCGACGACCGTCCATTCTTTTGGCTCTTTGAGAACGTCGTGGCGATGGGCGTCAGCGACAAGAGGGACATCTCTCGTTTCCTGGAGGTGCCTGTCTTCATATGCGCCATTCTAACGTCAGATCATTATCTGCACCAGGGACCAAAGTTTTATTTTCACGTATTATTGCATTAATCAGCTATGTTTTGCAACTAAGGTTGTATGATAGGTTTGGTAGTTAGTGTGTGTATTACAAGTGACACCTAGTGGTTATAAGTAGGTAGTACTACTAATTTAGTTAGGCTGTTTTCAATGGTAGCTTAATCTCCTAACTGCAATGGTTTAATATTCATAACTTGTTGCAGCATATTTTAATTAGTAATCTCCCAAGGCCAATAGGTGACTGAAATTGCCGTAGTGTGTGATTATGTGTATGTGCCGTAAGAAGGAGTTTATGGGAGTTTTACTTACATAAAAATGTTCTGAGAAGGAAAAATGATTGGTTCAAAGGAATAACCAATCAGATTATGGAGGAAGTTTGTCCAAGCAACTAGAGGATGCAGGACCAAGACATGTGATTGGTTGGAGCCATCTCTGCTAATTGCTTAGTCCTACCTTCTCTACAATCTGATTGATTATCTCTCTGAACCCGTCATTTCTCCTTCTGCCCTCAGAAGATTTTTGTGTAAGTAAAACACCCATGAACTATGATGGACTAGGTGTCCACCTGCCCTTGTCCCATGTGTTTCCTGTCCTGTGACCCAGTACTAGTTAACCAGTTATGGAGGCTTGATGGATAGATGTCACATGCTAATTCAGTATCATTGTGCACAGAACTGCGAGTTGAAATATTTTTCACTTCCCTTATAGTGCAACCCAGTGATGATTGATGCCAAAGAGGTTTCAGCTGCCCACCGAGCCCGTTACTTCTGGGGTAACCTCCCTGGGATGAACAGGTCAGCAGCAACATCACTAATCAACATAAAGCCACGCCCCCAAGTGACCACATGCTGACCAATGGCATTCCTGTCACTCTTAGTTTTCGTATCTGATTGGTCCTTTAAGAAGCAAATGCAATGAAAATCAAAATGTTCTTCCCAAGGCGCCTATTAAATGTCTGAAGTAGATTTTAACATGAAAAGTATGTGCTTTAAATTCAACCTTAGTAGTGTTATGTTTATAACACATATAGGGTATTGTAAATTCTAGTTATTGTATTGTATGTATGTACAGTTACATTCATTTCTGCATTTAGAGTATTTTGCATTGAGCGGTTTTTACATTGGTGTCTGCGACCCCATAACTGTCACCATCATCCACTCCTCCGTGTCCCTGCAGACCACTAACTGCCATGAGCAGTGACAAGCTGGACCTGCAGGACTGTCTGGAGCACGGCAGGACGGCCAAGGTGAGGCCTAGTCATCCGTGCAGCTCCTTGCGCACGTGTACGGATTAATAACACGGCAGAGTGGAGCCAGTTATGTAAGGAGAGACAGTGACATCATCCGTTTTGTTTTTTTTTTGTACTCAGTTTGGAAAAGTAAGGACCATAACAACTAGGTCCAATTCCATCAAGCAGGGCAAAGACCAGCATTTTCCTGTCTATATGAACGATAAGGAGGACATTCTGTGGTGCACCGAAATGGAAAGGTAGGATGGACACAGAAAAACCTCTGTATCTACTGGGGGCTTCGTTTTGTAGACATTAAATCATTCTTCCTGGTTCTTGGTTATTGTGTGCATCACCTTCTGCTACCCATTAATATTGTCCTGCTCTGCAGTGACCTTCTGACAGCCTTTACTTATTTTTGGAGGTAATATGACCTCACGTTCTGGCCTGGGCGTATGTAGATGGCTCACAGACTGACCACAGACCACTAGTGCCCAGAGAACTCGGGCAGTTTAAGTAGTAGAGGATGCCTTTTGTTCTGTCTCAGAGAATTGTGGGGAGGGACATGAAAACCATAAAAGGCAAAATGTAAATATTTACATTTCCGTATATTTACGTATTACGTAATCATTCACTTGGTTTAAGTTGAAAACGGATTGGTTATTCGTGCTTTTCTTGGCGCTTCTGATTGCGACGGGATGCCCGCATTGGGGCCCTGGTACTGACCTGTTTGTCCCTTTGTTCCATGTGCGGTCTGCCAGGGTGTTTGGCTTCCCTGTCCATTACACGGACGTGTCCAACATGAGCCGGCTGGCAAGGCAGAGGCTGCTGGGGAGGTCATGGAGTGTTCCGGTGATTCGCCACCTGTTTGCGCCGCTCAAAGATTACTTTGCGTGTATTTAAACCACCCGCAGTATTGCCACGAGCAAGAAAAATCGATGAGAATGGGTAGAAATACTCTCTACATTACGGTTTTGTTTAAAGCTAGATTTTTTTTTTTTACTTTATGACTTGTATTTGAAATGCTATTCTTTTATATTATTTAATTTTTGTAATGCAATTTTAATTTTCAGCTTTGTTACCCAATATTATACAAACTGATTTATGTGTGCAAGCTGTACTTGAGGCAAGACGTTTCTTTTTTTTTACAGCACTGATAAAAGAAAAAACATTTGTCTGATGAGATTATAAAACATCCGAAGAATATCGTCCACCAATACCCCCTTCGGTGCTCCTCATTATGAGATTTTTACACAAATAAGCTGTATAAGGGCTTGTCGTAGTAACGTTTTGATGGTGATGCAAAACTAAAATCGTTAAATAATGATCATATATTCAAAGAGAGGCTCACAAGTTCAAAAACACTAATTCAATATTAGACCACTAAAGTATATTTTTATGACTCGCGAACGTCTTAAACAAGCCAATTTACCCTTTAGCTAGCCAGCTGAATTAAGTAGCTACTAATAGCTATCATTGATTCTGTCTCGCTAAGCACAACAAATGGCTTAAATTTAATCGAATGTTGCCACCAAGCGCAGCCCTTGCCAAGCGGAGGCAGGTTGTAGTGGGGTTTACGATGTTGAGAGGAACTCTAAGAAGATGTCGCGTAAAGAGGCTAGCAGTACTGACCTCAGGTCAAATGCATCAGGGTGTGATGAGACACGTCAGCCATTAGAGAGCTAGGAGCATGAAGCGCACCACAGGATAGAAATGCCATGATCTCTTGAATTTCTCTTTATTTTAGACCCTTCCGTGATTTCCCTGGGCAGCACTGTGGGGTATAGATGGAACAGGTCTGTTTTATGGTCACATGTATAGGCATGTTAATTGGGGAATCGGTCACAGTGCGCTGTTAAAGGATCATACCTAGAGTGTCCTCCACTCAAACCTTCCCTCCGGATTTCAGTTACTGAGCCTCAGAGAGCTTGGAAACAAGCCAGCAAACCTTTATCATCCGTGGAGCTGGGGGCTCCGGCCTCCGGCTGACTCTCGACGGTCAGTTCATTCACAGTATGCTTCCTGTTTACAGTCCATAGCGCAAACGGTACCGCTGCAAAATGGCAACAATTCTATGGTGCTTCAAGGATGATGAAAAACATCCGCTCTCATGTGGCCTTAACAAGCTTAAATATAGTCAGGGAACGCTGGAGGCAGCTGCCAGGTTGGACGCAAGCGTTTCGCTTCCCTTTTGGTCACAGTAAAAATGAACAAAATAAGTGGAAGGCGGGACTTCCTCTGGCCTTTTGATGTCTTGAGGGGAGGCCCGCTATGATAAGATGCCACTTAGCATTTTATCTCTACCACAGCTTTTGTACACAGAACTGGTGCTCTCTCTCTAACCCCTACGGCCTTCTCCTGTGGCAGCACAAACCAAACCAGCCAAGTGGGCAGCGATGTTTTTTGTCATCCAAAAAAAAAATTCCTCAAGATCGAAGACCGCTTCAGATCAAATGTGACATTTTCTAGTTTTACGCAGACTGACGTAAAATCTACTGTAAAAACGGGCAAGAATGGGAGTCGCCGGGCCGCGTTTTCGCACCCTGGTGAACAACCCCTTTACCGATTGACACTATACGCTTCTTCAGTCAGGTGCAAATATTACAATATGGTGCGGCTCAACATTAGTCTTCTGTTTTATATCTTTTTTTTAATTAAAATATTTTTGTTGTTTTTTTTTTTTTTTTGTTTTTACCTCCAAATTTTTGATGTCCCCTTTTTTGTGTGTTTGGTTTAACCCCTGTAGTACTTAATCATATAGGGCTGTGCCAATAGAATAGCCAATGACAAAAAAAAGGGGAGTCGGTATTTTTGTAATTAGAATTCTATCAGCTAACAAAACAACTCCGCTATCGCAATTTAGCGCGATGGGAGTACAACTACATACCTTCCATAAAAATGTTACTCCCCTTTTTTTCCACTTCCTCTGTTTATGGTAGTTTGTTACTGTGTAACAGTTGGCATGTTTGAGTGTTACTATTTCCATACGGCCTTGGCAAAAGTATCCGGCACCCCTGGATTCTCAAAATTTGGAAGGTAAAGAATAAATTTCCCCCAAGAATTTCCCCCTGGGATCAATAATGCTTATCTTAAAAATATTAACCAATTAGGTTTTAAATTCAGGGTTGCCTGGCACCTTTGACCACAGGCTGTACAATCGGTAGTAGCGTGTACAGTATACTTGAGAAAATAACTGCTTCTGAAAGTCTACCAGATCACGCCTAGTGATTTTCTGCTCTATCCCTGCAATCAGTATCTTTGTCTCTTACCCTAATCCTAGATAAACTTCACCCAAATTTGCCCCTAGAAGAGTTTGTCTAGAAGAGTTTCACGTGAGTCCACTCAATTTAAAACTTCCTGAGTGGTAATAAACAGTAAAAAAAAAGAAAAAAGTAGTGGTTGTTGTGGGAACTGAGTAAACCGCCACACAAGTTCATGAATAGCAGGCGACGCAATTCCAAATGATTAATCTGATGAGTTTGGTGTATTTTGACTGAAAAAAATGACCCCGATTTAGACAAACTATGACAGAAGGCTACAGCCAGAAGTAAACTGGTTTTTTAATCTGTTCTTAACCATTGCACTGCATTTATTGGGACAGCTTCCATTTATTACTACAGTATATTCCCCAATCCTTGGCAATTCCTAGATTTTTTTATACAAAGACAGGTTGGCCTACTGTTTTCGGTTTGTTACGACTTTTTAAATTACCTATGGGATGTACAAATGATTTCTTTGCATATATATAATGAAATAGTAAAGATTAGGTTAAAGAAACATTATAAATGAATTTGTGTAAACAAAAATAAGCTACTACGTGTAGGGACAGCGAGTTTGAACACAACTCGAAGTCCCTTTTTGTATTTATAGATGGTTTTATGTCTGGCTGAATAGTGTATTGTCATAAATTTGTCGAGTGATCTTAACAATAACCTATTGAATAGTTTTGCATTTGTTTTTTTCTGCACAACCTACACAGCCCTACATACACTATTATTTGTTTCCTTTTCAAATATATCTATATCTATCTATCTATATATATATGGAGGGATTGTTGGAGTTTCATAAGGTGCTAAACATTTTATCTCAATGAAATATATTATTAGAAAAATTAAATCAGTTTATTCTGACAATGACTGTTTTTAAGTTCCGGCATTTTTTTTTTTTTTTTTTTTATTTCGCTCTTATCTGAAAACATTTTAGAAAAGGCATTTTAACTTTGTACTTGAAAAAAAGAGGAAATAAAATACAGAATTGCAATTTATTTTAACTGAGGCAACACTGAGGTCCCTTTATTTGGGGAGAATGTGTAATAATATTTGAAATTCAAAAAATAATTTGGGGGAAAAAAACTTTACTGTTACAAATCTGATTCCCTAACATAAATGATTTAACATTCCAGCTGTTGGTCGTTTTGTTTTTTCCTCCACTGGTCATTTCCACTGTCGCTTTGGTATTTATTGACATATACTGATATACTGTACATTTTAGTTAAGCTTTTTGCAGGTTGGTTCTCTGCATTTCTTAAGTGACTGTATTTCTGTGTACCATTTGTTTTGTGTTATTGCGTTTAATGGATTATAACCCCCCCCCCCCCCCCCACTCACCCACCACCCCCCAGGTCAGTGAATATACTCAATGTAGCAGTAAAACTGGTGCAACCTCTCCAACTATTTTTGTTTCAGTACCTGGAAGACGAGAAAAGAAAGGCTGTCTTATGTACTTGTGCTGGAGAACACTTGAATAAATGTACTGTTTTGTGCAAAAAGTTTTTGCCAGAGTGTGGTATTCATTCAAGAGTATGCAGCACCTCGGCCGTTTAAAAACTGTGTGAGCCGAAGTGGCCCACATGGCGTTCAAAAGAGATACTGACACAAAAAATCTAATTAGAGGAAATTATATGCAATGCAACCAACCAAAGCAACTTGCTGTAACCTGAGCTCATGGGAGTTTTCCTGAGACAAAAATGTTCTGAGGGCAGAAGGAATAATGATTGTCAGGAGGTGGGTCAACACAAATAGAGGAGGCAGGGCGAAGACATCTTATTGGTTGGTCCCACCTCCTCTACAATTTGATTGGTTCTTTGTCTTAACCAATCATTGATCCTTCTGCCCTCAGAACATTTTTGTATAAGTAAAACCCCAATGAGCGTAACCTGGAGCCAGTACTAACAGGTACATCTAGCTAGTTCTCGGTAGGACCTACTTTAGCCTCCAGAACCACTTTTTTACTAACCTTCTTTTTGAAACTCATAACCTTCCAGTTAGCTTTAATGAGTGGGGTCATTATCTAACTGATTACTAACAAGGATTTTGCAGCCTTTTGATCATGACACCATTATCTGTAAAACTAGAGACTGTGCTGTGTGAAAATCCCAGGTGGATGGCCTGTTAGGGGCCGGAATCACCAACAGTTCACCCCATGGACATGTAAGGCCATTTAAATATTTCCTTCACCATTAAGTGAAGCTCTTGATCTTGTCGGCAACCAAGTGACCAGTTGTTTGCAGAAGCTGGCTATTTGCATTAGCATGCATGTGTACTGAATAAGCAAGTCATTGAGTGCATCTCATGGCCTGTGATTAAACACCTTTGATTATGTATTATTATAAGATTTCACTACAGGTGTGGTTTTTATTTTAACCTTAAAAGAGATGGTTTTTTTTAATTTGGCTCCCTGATAAATGAAAATGGATTATTAAACCATGAACTTGGATCTCTGCAAGAAACACATGACAATATTATTTCTGAAAATTAAAATGCTAAAGGTGAAATGATGTCTATTTAAAATTCTCAAATGTGATGACTGATTTTTTCGTAAAATCAGAAAATTCAGTGCCACGCACAACATCCTTTTTTTTTAATATCACACCACTTTAATTAATTCATAAATTCTGCAATTAAACCAGCTCTGAGTAAGTACTACATTTCCCAGCATCACTATTCTTTAACATTCTGGATGAGCATGATGGGAGATGGAAGTGAAGGGAGATTTGCAGAGGGAGGAGCTACTGTCATCTGCTAAGAGACTTTGCTCTAGTCTGTGTCTCACCTGTTAGTAAGGCTACTGGCAGCAGTACTGTGACAAAAGCTACTTGCTTAAAAAGATAGAGAGGATAGTCTGACTCCACTCTTGATGCTACTCTACACTGTAATCAAAAGTATTCACTTTACCTGAGAGATAAGTTACCCTAAGCCCCTCCCTTCCTGGGAGGCAAATGGTGAGTCAAAAATGTTCAACGAAATAGAGAGAAAATAAGTTTTGTCGGTTTGAATTTTGAACGTGTTTATTTTACTTCTCCTTATATATTTCAAGTAGGGCTCTGCTGACACTCTTTGAGAGGCACTTAGTACCTTAAAAAGTCACACACAAGCTCACATTATATACTTTTAAGTAGTTGGGGCAAAGTAGGAAGGTGATCCCAATGACCCCAGCCATAGAAAGTTGTTAATATTTAATTTCTAACAATAAGGAGTGATAACCTGGGTTTACAAAATGTAAAGTTTTCTTCCCCAGTATTTATTGTAGGATTTGTAATGATACAGACCTTAAAGGATATTCAGTTTAACGGGGCTCAAAACTGAAGTTAGCTATCTGCCTGTAATTACCGCCCATATGATGGAATTGCACCATTTCGAGGGTGCAACCATTCCACGTCTCATGCTGTGACATTGGTGTACGGTGATTTTGGTGCCAACGATATCTGAACGGTTTTATATTAAGTTTATGGTGCTGATTAAGAATATGACTTTGGTTTTGCCAGATTGGCTCTAGTTTCTGAGATATTTAATAGTTTATTAATTAACTCAACACGCTTGAAAAGCATTCAGAATTGCAAGAATATTTTTATTTTAGTTACAACTAGTAAGTAAACGGTCTAGCATCATAGAGAAAAGAAATTAAAAATATCTAACAGTGACAGGAAAAAGTTATGTATGATTTGATTAATTAATACAATATTAATTAGTTATTGTTATTAATGTCAATGCTTCAAAAACGCTGTTTATGGGATTTCCTTTTATGTGTGTCATCAGGGGACTCCCACAGTATTCTGCCATCATGTGTATGTCCCATCTGCCTTGATATCTCTCCTCCATCACCTTCATATCCTGGTGAAACCTCTCGCCTTGTTCCTCGCTGAAGTCTCCAAGGTTATCTGGAAATCTGTTTAAATGGCTATGGAGATACTGCATCTTTATTCTCATATTAACTCCCAAATTTCTGAAGTTAGCAAGCATATCTTGCACCAATTCTTCATAATTGTCTGCTCTGTGATTACCCAAGTAGTTCTTCACAACAGAGACAAAACTCTTCCAGGCCGAAGCTTCAGTGTTATTCATGCATTTGGTAAATGCAGGCTCTTCTTGATGAAGTCATAATTTTTACATGTATTTATATATTTATTAAGACAGAACTTTTTGGGTATAAACCAAGACTGGGTTGACAAACTTACACTGTAGCCGACTTCCATCATCTGCAAATTCACAGTGGAATTCTGGTTTCAAAAAGTCGCTTTTATAGCATTGTAGGCCTACAAATTGAAATACAAAATAATTATATGGGATATTTCATTACCTAAGACACTGTTAGAGTCAAAAGACAGACCACAAGCTATTGCATTTATCACACACAAGTCGCATTGGGAGAATACATTATTTTCATGAATGTCCATTATCTCAAAGAACTAGAACCAATTCAGCAAAAGTAGTAGGATTTTTGAATTCAGCACCCTCAAAATCATCCTAAATCCATTCAAAAAACCTTGGCACCTGTTTTTTTTTTTGTAGACCTGTTATTTTTACCTCTACTTGGGTAAATGAAAAAGTATTTGGGATAATAAATGCCGCTATTAAATACTCGTAACATCACCAGGCGTATGTAATACTCGGCACATGATCAGAAAAACTTTCGTCGGATAGCCTACGAAGTGTCCCACGCACGATTTAGTAGTTCTCGCCTACTTCTGTATCATATCATGTCAGATTAAGTCGCAGTAAAGACAATTTTTCTTAAGGTCTCTGGCTCCCCCTAGTGTCCTATCCAAGGGAATTTTAATAACCGCTTAAGCGCTGTTATTTGTCCATATTACCATGGTACACTGATTAAAGGACGAACTTCGTTTTCTATTGTATATTCAATATCCCGTAAAACCGCACAACTGGCCTTCCTGAGCGACTAAAATCCCAAATTTCTGGTTGTTTCCAAAATGAGTGTTGCGTGTGTGTATATATAGGTATCAACCGCCATTCTGCTGAGAAATTCTTGTCCATATTATTTATCTGTATTGGTGATATGTAATACAAGATTACTGACGGAATTACGAACAAACCACGTTCCTCTTGCGAATATTACATAAGTATCGACTTTGTCTAAGTTTACTATAGTGTTACATCAAAATCTTAATATAGACGGGGCTGGCTGCCTTGGAGCTGAAATCAGTGCGGTGCCACCACAGCCCACACACCAAATAAATGCTTATTCTGTATTGTAATCCTGTTCTCCCTCATTTTAAAAAGTAAACGACAATTAGACATCGCGACGGAAGATTAACATTAGTTGCGTGGACATGCTAAAGCGGTGTCCAATATAAGCATAAGGGGGAAGAGCGCAGGCGCACGGCAGCTGTGCGCTGCAGACCGAGCGGCGGCGGCGGTGGGGGCGGCCGGGGAGCAGCCACGGGACCGCGCAGGAGCGCAGCAAGCACAGCGGCGACTGTCAGCCTAGAAATACGGGGGGCCTTCGGATCACGGTAAGTGTACAGGCGACTGAAACACGTCTATTTTCCGGCTCTCCTTCTTCCATTTATTGAGCTCCGTTATTTTGTGAGACCGCGGCTTGGGGTAGTTGCTGTCAATGCAATCTGAATATTTGATACTTGGTGCTTTGTGAGATTACCAACTAGGCCTGCAGAGGGGGTCGATACAGAAATGTCATTGTAACGCTACATTTGTTGTACGCTGAATGCGCAGGTGAATTGTTCTCTGCTTATGCCGCATCCCAGGAACCACGCGTTGTACCGTTACAAAAGGCGTCTGCATATAAATATTAATACGCACGAATGGTCTATTTATAATCGGCGTGTTCTGCACAACTGGGTGCTGTTTGATTGTGCGGCGGAGGCCTCTAGTTTGGACATTATGACTCTGGAGTATAAGCAGAATAATTTAGAAGCTTCTCCTTAGTTACCGCACGGCGGTCTAATGCATTATTGACGGCTGCGTGTCATAATAAACGTTTGATCACAGCAAATCAATGCTCGCTTAATCATCCGAAATTATAATTTAGTTATTATGACATAAATACGAAATCAAGTTCTAAGCGAAATGACAGCTAAAAAATAAATTTCTAAGTCATGGTAACGCCTTCAAAAAGTGCAGGGTAATCGCTCCTGCAGGGGGGATATATTCTAAGATATAATTACTGGGCTTGTGCTGTATGTAGGCAGGGCGTAGAGATTTCGCAGTTACGAAACGGTAAAAAGATTTGCATGTAAAAATGATGATTTTCAGTAAAGCTATATTGAGAAATGGCAGGGTAGGGATTGATGGGATTACAGCAGTACAAAGTACGATAATGAAATTATAATTGAGTGTTTTGTGAATTGTTGTTGCGTTTTGTCATCATGCGGATGTCAGTGCAATAATGCCCGATCTAAAAGTAATTCGCAGGGCGTAACTTGCGCTAGACGGAGCCCAAACTGGATTTACTGTAACCGGACCACACGCTGATCTTTGCCTGTTGGTAATACTGTCCTTGTCATTGTACAGGAATCACTGCATTATGCTGGAAACGGGAAATGTTATATTTTCCATCGGTACAGTATGCGTCTTGCTACCAAATCTAACCATTATTTAACAGTATTGTTGAATTCGACATTAAAAAATGTGTTCTTATTTAAACTCTCCGTTTTTAAGTGTCGTTCTAATTTTGTGAGTTTTGAAATATCCTCTACATGAATGTATTCAGGGCGATATAAAATAAAAGTATGTAGCTTTTCTGAGCCACATTCCAGTGGAGTCTATGGAGGTTAACGGGAATTTACTCTAATACAAATAAACTTATAGTCTAATTTAGACATTTTGAAGGGAAAAGTGTATTCGCTTTGTATAAAGCCGTGGGAATCGTAGTAGTGCGTCGCGTATCTGCATGTAAAGGTAGGTTAGCATGTTCCTGCAGATGCTCTACGTTTGGTATTGATAACTATAGTACTTTGGGGAACCTGGTTGCTGACGTCGATTTAGTGCAGCAGTGGCTGCAATTAAGTGATTCTGCGCCTCGAATCGTCTTATTAAAAGACAGAAAGCATCTATTTTCACGTCACGGCTTGATAGTACCTTGGCGATGAAATTCCTTTAGGGCAGCATTGGATTCCTCCCCCACACACACACACACGCGCTCCCCTGCATTACCATCTCAGATGGAGCAGACCGGCGGTTTCCATGCTGTGGTCCTCGTTACAAATTCGTGGCTCGCTGCTGTTCCGTCCAGTCGCACCCATGGCTCATCCTCCCCTGGACTGTCACGCTGACAGCAGTACCTGAAAAGCACCGAAGCCAGATTTAGTGTTAATTTCGCAATCGCGTTATGGACCCGTATTAAAGAAAGTATTGTCAGAATTTAAAGTCCTATAAAAATCGGGTTGGCTTGAGATATTGTGGATGTGGGTAATTTTTTTGTTTACTGTCAGTAAGGGGGAATTGGAAAGTTGACTTATTTGAGGCTATTGATGCTTTTCTTCACAAATCACTGTACGCCAATAAAGAGTAATGGTTGAAGGAGGATATATTTAAAGATTAACGACTTTATATCATATTCATTTACTTTATTACTATAGAACCTTATTACTGTAACTGATTTCAAAATAGTTTCCCCCCCTACACATACATTTTAACGTTAGTTTATTATATTACATTTAATTATTATTATAGCTTATCAAACGAAGTTAATTGATGCCATTAAAAAATTTCACTTCAATGTTACCATTAGTTGTTTTCACAGGAGTTTGTTCAATGTGTTTTCAGTGATTAATTGGAGCTTTATCTCTTAAACTCATTTAAGATTTTTTAAAAAGTTCATTTACTTTAATGTATGTAAGGGCCACCATTTCTATTAAGAATTAATTCATTTATACTGAATCCAAGTAGTTAATTGGAACAGAAATTGAACTTAACAAGGATTTGGGAAGGATTTGACTTTATTAAAACTGGTTTGACCTGGGGATGTAGGTGAACTAGATTTAAAATTTTTAAGGGCAGACATAGATGGTTTCCTTGGCTCTTATCACTCTTAAGGATTTCTTTCCCACAATCCCTTGAAAGCACTTATTAAGAGCAGAAGTAGCTTAGCAAGCTGTTAGCTTCAACAGCAGTCATTTGGTAGTATAGTACTGTAGCTACACACATGGATTTTCAGGTGATCATTTTAAAGGGGGAACTCAGCTCTAGTACCTAGATCAAATGACTTAACCTGAATTACATCCAGCTTTGGGTATTAGTTAACCGTAAAAACATAGACGCGTTATTAATAACAAAATGTGGCCAGTCTTTTTCAGTAGGGTTGTGTATGTTTATCTAGGCCAAGGTGCTGACAAAACACTGGTGAGTTTGTTCTAATCAAGGACATTGAAGGTTTAAATACACAGTTCTGGGCCAAGTTTAAGTCAAGGGGAGCCAGGTGTTTGTATTTAGAGGTGAGGATGTGGGTGATGTGATGTGTTGGTGATTCTGGATGGCTGCACTTCAGGTGGAGATGAGTCAGGCCATGAGGATGGACAAGAGGAACAACTGGTGATCCCTGTCCTCTGAGGAAGCAGGCTTGCAGGGCCTTTCTTCCTTATACCTCTCAGTTATGGACTGTGAGGTGACCAATTTCAAAGGTTACTTCTGATCCTGGGGTCCTACTAAATTCCCATCTCTGTACTTTAATTGTGAGTCTCAGGGTGGGACCAAAGGACATTTAGGAGACCCCTGATTGCTCTGGTGTACCTACACCCCTTATAGGTGACTGATAACATTTACCTTTTTTATATATAAGAGATGCTTTTATTCCAGGTGACGTGCAAGTGAGGCAAATAGCACATTACAGACATACATGCTGTATTCCGTTCGGTTAGCAGAGGGTTGCTGGCTATTTATCTGACCCACGCTAACACAAAATTCTCAGTTACTGGGTTATAGCACCTGCAGGTACTGCAACGCAGTGGGAGTCCATTCTCACGGCCCCTGGGGAACCCCCGCTTGGCCGGCAATTTCTCAGCCTCCCGAAGCTGAGCTGTTTACACCTGCGGCACCAGGTGAAGTGGCTCCGGCGTCCAAGAGCAGCCGGCCTTTTGGCTGGGACCGAAACGCTGCCAAGTTCCCGGCTCCTCCGAGAGAGCGATGATGAAGCAGAATATCTGCTGCAAAAAAAAAAGAGGGGGAAAAAAATCAGCTGTGTGAAATGCCTCTGCCAAATGTGTCTGGTAACTCAGTGACAGAATGAATAACAGGCTTCAGACTGATTATTAAAAGCCGTGGTGAAACAAAAAGCAAAAAAGAACTGAAGATTGTGGCTGTTACTGTGGCAGCCGACCAGCCTGCTGTGCATGGGGAGGCAGAACCGTCACGTACGACCACTCTCCTCTGCATAACATGTTCTGCCATGAGTATAAAAATCCTCTTTCCTTTGTGTCAGCTCTTTGCTGAGCTTCATACTTCATTTCTCTTGCAACTGGAGGTGATAAAATGCGACGTTAAGAACGTACTAAAGAAGGGACAATTTCTCACCTATTTCTACATAACATCCCATATTAACATCACTCAGATGGTCTTCTTGTGGTTTTTTTTTTAATTCATGTCTATCAAACTGTTACTCTTGTTTTATTTCTTTTGTTTGTCCATTTCTGCATTCCTCTGTACTGCTTGGTTTTCATCTGTCACCCAGTTTTAGCCAGTCTAGAGGCTAGGATGTGATCGGCTAATACTGTAAACCCAAACCCAGCGTGGTCTTTCTCTGTTTTTGTAAGCCGATTGTTTTATACATTGTACGTGTACAGACGCCCCCTGGGATACAATGGGGTTACGTTCCGATAAAACTATCGTAAGCCGCAAATGCATTTTAATACAGCACACCTAACCTAACAAACATCATAGCCGAGCCTAGCCTACCTTAAACAGGCTTAGAACACTTACAGTAGCCTACAGTTGGGCAAAATCATTAACACAAAGCCTGTTTTATAATAAAGTGTTGCATATCTCATGTATTTTATTGAACAATGTACTGAAAGTGAAAAACAGAATGGAAATACCGTAAAGTCGAAATATCGTCAAACGGACCATCGTAACCAGGAAAGCGTCTGTTGGTTGCAGCTGCATGGCTGTGTGTGCATTAGCTTCGCATTGGAAGTACTTTTACCAGCAGAAGGTTTGGTTGGCTGAGGACTCCCAGGTCACATGTGTGGTCACTGGACACCGCCTGCCGACCGGGCCCCCCCCCCGCTGGCGTGGACAGAGTACAGTAGCATTTCCCTGCAAGATGTTTACTAGTCAAGGTAGTGCCTCTTTTTATATTCAGCTACACCGGCAGCCCCTGGGTTACCAACAAGATCTGTTCCTAAGTCTGTCTTTAAGTCGAATTTGCAGATAAGTCAGAACAGTGTTAACGGCTACGTAATCTGACTTAAAATGGCGGATGGCAGTCTCCTTTCTCAAACTGAGAAACCGTTGAAGAAGCTCAGTGTTTTCATGGGCGTCACAGAGTAGTGCGTGCGTTCGATGTTACAAACCATTGTACTTACCTCAAACTTTATTATAATAGGGTGCATGGCAGTGTGTTCTTAAGTATGAGTTGTCAGACATTCTTAACCTGAGGACTTACTCTACAGTCTTATTGTACTGTACTGTCCTGGTATAACTGTTGAGTGGTGATGAGCATTAAGAGGCCGTGTGAAATCTGTAATTTGTGCAACCGGAGTGATTTTTTGAGAATGACATGTCGGATGCAAACTGAAATATTCCCAGTTATTAACCCATTGTTTGCGGAAACGTTCTGCTTGATGCTGCAGCCCACAGACATATGTGCACGTGTGTCTGTGCCCATAGAGGGAATTTGGACCTTGGATTTATCATGGAGACGACCTTCTGTATTGGAGCAGGAATTGCTGGAATGGCTGGAATTATTCATGAGAAAAAAAGAGGCATCTGAGATAACTGTAGGCACATTTTTTGGAACTATGACTCATCTGCTGTCATAGGCCCTGGTCTCCATTTACACTAGAAAAACCAACTATCAAGTAATTCATAAAAACATACTGCATTACATATTACACATAACACTACCAGGGAACAAAAGAAGGTAAGTCATGTTCTTAAGTGTAACAACAATTTTAAAGGCAGCCATTAGGTGCTAGATATGGGTTTTATTTTGAATCCAGTATTCCATTAAAGCACCCAATTTCCTGGCATCCTGATTCGCTCAGCTGTAATTGATGCTGTTGAATGATTCCACACTGATTTTTGTGCTCATGTCCCTTTTTGTAAACTCACAAAAGAGCTGTTTCAGTGGAAAAATGTTTGGAATGTCTGTGCCTATATTAATGTGGAGCCTTGTTTAGCCCTTTTACCTCATACACACCAAGGAGGATGCGTACTGAATGCTAGATAGAACATAATTGCCCAAAAGGAGGTCAGGGCGCTCTGCTGATGGCAGGAGTGTCTGGTCTAACCTCTGGCCCACGATGCTGAAGCTTCTTGGTCACACAATGGCCTTGCAACGGCCCCACATTGTTATAGAATAAAACAAAGGCTTTCTTGTTAGATGTGTGTTGTGGATCATCTGTCAAATTGTCCTTTTTCTGCTCGGCAGTTCATTTCCTAGGTCCCTCACAGAACCACACAGGCGAAATACGTGGCTGTCCGCTGTTGTGATATGATAGCATGCAAACCAAACTGTTATTGTCCTTTAAGATACCAATACTCCCCCTTAAACTCAGTCCGTCCCAGGATCCCCCTTGATATGTCTCACTGCTTTGGCCAGCAACTCTTCAGATCCGCTCAGCAGCCTGTGACTAGATGGCCGGCATTTCCGGTCTCAGGGTCGGCAGAGTGTCTTCACGTCTGTGTCCTTGCGTAAGACCCTTAACCCTCCATTGCTGCAGGGATTGTCTGACTGTGCTGTTTAAAAAAATGTACAGTACATTGCTTTGGATAAAATATATATAAATATATAAATAAAATGTAAGTAATTGGGTCTGTGCTCTTTCTTACTGCAATTAAGTGCTAGCCATCCTGCGTGACCAATGAGCAGACTGGGATTTGCATATCATACCGGTTAGCTGCCTCCTGTCAGGTCTTAGCAGTATCCCATTCTCTGGCGTCACCGTGAACAGCAGCGACGTTTCCGCCGAGGGCACGCATACAGTGACGTCTAGTGCGACCATGTGAACGTTAATGCCCGGCAATGCACTGTGGGAGGGCGAGCGAGGCGCGGGTGGTACAGAATGCCGTGAGGCAGATGGCTCGTCGTTGGGTGGCCTGTTCCGTACCTTGTGGAATGACACCGGGTGTGATCTTCTTACTCGTCATTAGGTCGCTATTGTTATGCTAATTGCTACTCGGCTACGCTCAGATGACCACAGCAGTTTCAGCTATTTGGATTTTTTAATTATTGCTAAACTATAAAAAATGCAAGAGGTGGAATAAATAAATTTCCTGGAAATTGTGTTTGTTTGTACTGTGAGTACTTTTATTTGTTTGCATTATGTGTACTGTCTCTGTACTTTGTTTTGTTTTGTGCTATATGCTTGAGTGCACTTCGTGTACCTCGCTGCTGTATGCACATGAATTTCCCCCTGGGATCAATAAAGTTTTATCTGATCTCTTATATTATGTTTCCTAAACTGATGACAATAAAAGAGGGAATGGAAAAAAATGGCTCCAAATTTATGTTTATGTGATGGATAATGGGTCCCTGGCACCTTTCATTTATCTGTCCCTGGTTTAAAAAAATGTTACAGATGATAAACTGCTGCCTTTTTCACTGGAAATTAGCGTGCCAGATGAAGTAAGTTTAAAAGGGAATTTATTGGTTTGTTTATTGTTCTGTCGAACAGGCCTGGTAGACATTCCCTTGAATTGTGAGAAGTATGTTTAATGTTTAAAGGTCTCCTTTGGATGGTTTGCTTTACAATAGCCCTTGGCTGAATTCTGCATCTGGATCTGGTAAAAAAATAAACCACTATGTTGCTTACTGAAATGCTGATGACATTTAAGACATTCCATTTAGCAGTAATGTTTAAAAGCATGTTATGTTGAATTGTCTGATGGCTAGATCTAAGCTATCCTCCCGACTGGAAATTCCATAGATGGATGTAGAAAGGCTTTGTCACAGTTACAGTGGGATATCTTTGTGACATGATTTTATTTTCCTCTCTCTGTTCCTCTCTAGGCTCTACCTGCACCCACATACCCAAAGTAAATATTTCAGCTGTTTATTCCAGAACAGCCATTTTAAAGGTAAGTTGAGGTGATCTTTTTTTTTAACTAATTTATGTAGCTCAAGTTTATTGTTACAACTCTTCAGAAACGTGAAGAGAAATGCCTGTGTAGGCTTATTGTTATTTATCATCAGTCTTGGTTTATTTACATTATTGTACATTTAATTTTATTATAATAATTTATTTTAATTGTAGGTCAAGTGTTGCTAACAGGAGCTTTGTCATTAAATATGGCTTAAATGTGTTATTACTGCTAATAAAGTGCATTGAGAGATAATTGATCCTGATTGAAGGAAGAAAACATGTGTAAGATATGTTTGGTCCCACCGCAAGTCATGTGACTGCTGATTGCTCCCTGAAGGATTCCTCTGTGGGAGGATTGCTACTAAATAAAAAATAAAACACTTCTTTATCTAGTCTGCTGCTTGCTGAAATTCCCACCCCTCTGAGCTGAAGTTGTGATACTCCAAACTGACAGAGGTGGACAGTTCAGGTCCAGAAAGTACAAATCCAGACCATGGTTTTGTTTTAACCAACCAGTTGAGTACTCTGTGACTATGACTATTTATACTCAACTGTTTGGTTGAAACAAAATCTTGGCCCAGATTTGCACTTTCTGGACCTGAACTTTAGCACTCTGCCTACTGCTCTGTCCAGGCAGAGACCATCTCCTGCTGTCATGTCTAGGGGGATGGTTGTGTCTGGGGCATTTCCATAGAGCCGGGCAGCGATGGGCCCCGCATGTTTACTGTGCTGCCAAGGTGGCAGGTATCCAGGATGGGGAATCGCCCCCCCCAATGGCAGCCGGGAATCGCCGGCAGGCCACGTCCTTCACGGAACGTCCAGGTGTCCCCGCGTGCCTGGGGAGGGCAGTTACTCTGAGCTGCCAGGTCACCTATTTAAAAACGGTGCAGTGTAGGTGGGCGGCCCTGGAACGTGGAGACCGGCCTGCGTTCCAGCTGGCCAATTCGGAGCTAGCGGGGCATGTGCCGTGCTCTCCCTGAGGCCATCCACCGGGGCTTCTGGGTAATTTTAAACGGGATACAGTGAGATCCTGCACTGCCTGTCTAGGCAGTACGAGAGATGAGGCAGGTAGAAGAAGGCACCCAGTGAATTTAAGTTTTTAAGTTTTGTGAAATATCTTCTTTTTTATTTAAATGATATGATAATGGATTGCCACACACTTTTGTCTAGTGCCTATATAAAAATAAATTGAATTTTTGGTTTGGATTGTTTACAAATCCAACGTCAATCCAAGTGGCGATTATGGGACGCTTGTGGTCCAGGTCACTCCAGCTGTAGTTAGGAAAAAAAAACTGCAAATTTGCAATGAAGTGTATTACAGCTCTGGCATGTGCCAAATGTTAGTTTTGTGCTGATTATATTTGCTTGCTAGATGAAGTGATTATTTGGTGACCTCCCTCTCTGAGGCCTAACTAGTTTGGCAGCAAGGGTAACCAAGGAAGTGTTTAGAAAGGCCTGAAGCAAAACTAATGTAGGCTTTGTAAGGGCAAACCATTTATCTGGAAATGAGCAAACCTATCAGTAATCTGGGTTATACTCAAGTATCATTAATCTTCTCGCCAAAAGTTGTCCAGATAAAATATTACTTTAAATGTTTTTTTTTTTTTTGTATTGATTTTGCAAAAAAATTATACAATTAGTACTTTGCCATTCTGACAAGCCAGTAGAAGTATGGATCAAAATAATTATAATGGATATGGATCAAAAATATAATAAAAATATAATATAATTATAATAAATATGGATCAAAATAGGTTGGTTGTTTAAATACTCATCACATATGTTGTTATTTACAGCCTTTGCTCATCTAAGGGACAATAGTCTCATTGAAAATAGATTGATGGCTGTTTGTTGTTTCTCTGTTACATCCTGGGTAAGATAATGGTCCCCTGACTGATCTTGGTTCCTTCTTGCACTGTTCTCATTCAGACTCTCAGGGAAGAAGTCCGTCTTTGTTCTTTTATCGCCGTCATGGGATTCTGTATAGCTTTTCAGGTTGCGCTTGTTTTCAGTTGACTAGTTTGACTGATTTAAAAGCTTGATTTATTCTTGCAGTGATACATTCACCACCTGGGATGTTTCCATGAGTAACAAGACGAGTTCTGCTGGGGAATTAAACGTTGCCGAGTCAGTGACTATTTTCAGAGCTTTAATAGGTGTAATGGGACACATGAGAGATAGTCACCTGATATACTGTAAATATGTAACGTGTATTTGTATAACAGATAAGCAACATGTGAAATTGTACTGAATTTTGAAATCAGCTTTACTATTGCGATAGGCAAATATATTGATTTGTTTAATGGTGGTTTTCACAGTGCTATCAATGTAATGAAGTGTTTTATTTTACGATACTGCCTCACTGCCTACTTTGTCAAATATTGCCTTTGTAGATAGATCCTTAGACATTTTAGCGTTTGTCTGGGAAAACAGAAATTTATGACTGCTTTGTAAAGGCGGGACGTAACTCCTGTATGTTCTTTGAAATAATGACAGGACCTCACCAGAAAACAGAATCCTTTAACAAAAAATACCAATCTAAGCTAATCCTGAGAGGAAATTAGACGCATTCTCAGTCAACAATTTAGCAACCTTCTAAATTTCCCCAGGAGCTGTTAGGCAGAGTGAAGCAATTATTGTGAAATGGCTTTTTAGTCCCTCTTTAAATTTATTTACTAATTACCTAGCATTAGCTAGCATTCCTGAATTAGCCTAAAGGCTAGACAGGGAGCTAGCTAGAGCAGGTGACTCATCGGATTGAATTGCCATTGACAGGCTGCCCCTTTTTAAATTTCTTCACTAATGACCTTTTAGCTCTAGCTAGCATCCCTAAATTAGCCTAAATGCCTGGCGCAGAGCTAGCTGGAGTGAGTGACTCAGCAGACTGAATTGCCTTTGACAGGCATTCTGCTGGCGTTTTTGAGGGGCTGTCCCAGCGGGGCCCATATCCGCTGTGCAGCACCGTCCCATGGGTGGCAGGTGTGCTGTTTGGTTATTTTTATTACCAGCCGGGCCTGAGAGACGGCCGTGACAGATCGGCTCAGCTGCTCCAGGAGCAGCTGCTGATCCCCCAGCTGAGGGGCTGATCATTGCGGTATCTGGAGTCGCAGAGTCTTGGGCTACTTCACAGAATTTTCAATTGTTCGTGTGCCTTCATTTGCCAGGAGAGATTCCGGATAGGGTCTCAGTTCAGGGATGTTTGCTGGCATATTGGAATTTAAAGAGGACTGTTTTACTCTCAAACTATTATTTAGTTCACTGTGCGTCTATTGTGTGTCATCTGTTGTGTCAAATGTTACAACTGTTATGTGTGTGCTGCTCCTCTATGCCTTTTAAATTGCCCCTTGGGAACAAATAAAGTTTTTTGAATTTGAATTTGAATATGAGTTATACTTTTAAATCCTTTTTAGTCATCCTAAAAAGGAACCATGTGTGATTGTGTTTGAAGTTACATAATATGCTTATTACTTGCCCTGTGTGTGGAGCTTGCATTTTTTTCTTTATGTTATGTAAGTTTCCTCTAAGTACATTAGTTTGCTCGCACGGTCCAAAGACTAACGTTTAGGCTGATTGGGATCTCTTATTTACCCATAGGCCTATATATTGACCAAACATAAAAGTAAAGTTTTTGTTGAGGATCACTTAACCATATGGACATAATGACCTCACGAGCGCCCCCTGAGCGCCCCCTGAGCGCCTAATGAATATTCGCAATGAAAACTATCGGAATTCCTTATGTAAAAGTTAATTTTGGATTTTAATTAGCTCTTGAGGAGAAGTAAAATCGTTGATCTTGCACTATTTTGGCTTTGTGGTGCTTTTTATACCATCAGTAAGCTGTTTCCCGCAGCTATGGAATATACAATAAGGTCTTCAGTGTGGGGTTATTTAGCCTGGGTCAAAGGTCAGCTATGTCATGTAGTCAGTCATTCAGCACATTTGTGTGCATGTCTGTATACTGCAGAGAGTGCTGGAATAAGCCTACAATGTGAAAAGATATCTGTGTTTTTCCCTTGTGACCCACACACAGAGGACCTTATTAAATTGTTTTATAAGTCCCCTCCAAATTATTATGGGTTACGATATATGATCAGTACTGAATGTTTGGGTGAGGCCTTGCTGAAACTGTTTTCATCTTTTTTCATCTGTGCTGTATGATCAGTATGTTGCCCCCACTATGGCTCCACACCCCTTCTGTGCTTCAGATTCTTCATTTCAGTGTGAGGAGGAGTGGAGGGGAACTGAGCTGTTTCAGCTCCTCAAAAGTATCGGCGGAAAGAAAAGGGCACAATTTAACCTTCTCCAGAAATGTCCCCTATAAATCTACACCCAATACACAGATCGACTCTCGGACACTGGATTTCACACAACGCAGATCATCCCTGATCTAGACTTTACAGCTGTTATTGTCAGATATTCGGCTTTCTAAGTGCTGTGGTGTGTTGTTTCTCTCAGTGCATTTTTATTAAATCTTAGCATGTTTGGCATGAGGCCATTTAGGCAAACGGCCACACTGAAGTGTGTCTGATGGTGTTGCACATGAACATGGGAAACAGTCAGTCTATATCGCTCAGTGTTTTGTTACCACTGCCTGCTTGCTGTAAAAGTGCTGCATTTAATGCTTAATGCAAAAAATAAAACAGGAATTGGGATGAGTTCCCAGTCAGTGACACTGAGGTATAAGCATGTAGGTCTTTTGTATGGCAGTTTATCATATCTGCTATGTATCATATGCATACACTACTGGAAGTACCTGTCCACATTTCAGGATGTCTGCGTATTGTTTTAATTTATCGTATGCTATTTTTTTGTCTATCTTTTGATTATTTTCATTTTCTGCATCATGTTCTCGATCGTTTGCTGTTTGCACCTGTGTTTACTGTGACATAAGTCCTACTAGACCCTACTAAGTGTTAATAACATTTCTAGTTAATCCTCCATTTTGCCCTTTTTAGTTCTGAAGTGTATAACCGTGACGTCAATGCAGTTCTGAGTACCTGGAGTGCTCTGCACTGAGTCTGAAGATCTCTCTGGTTGCACTGCAGCTGGAGGATGGCGGTGAATGTCTACTCCACGTCCGTAACCATCGAGAACCTGAGCCGGCATGACATGCTGGCTTGGGTTAACGACTCCCTGCAGCTCACCTACACCAAGATCGAGCAGCTCTGCTCAGGTAGGACCCTCTTAGTTACAGCGACCCGCCAGTGGCAGGGCAACTGTAGGCTGGGCCCCGGGTCAAAAATGGACACCTAAGGCTTGCCTACACCAGTCGCAGCAGTTGCAGATGATGAAATATAAGTAGCCTCCAAATATCGTACCCATCATGCACTGCAGCAGTTTAAATACTCCACAAACATGCTTTTTTTGTTAAAGACGCACCTCGACAACATAGATTGACTACAAAACATTACAAACTATTACATTTCAAGATTGTTTTAAGTATCGCACCAAATGTTTTTCGTGTTGTCCCACCGCACTCCCACCATTTAGACGTTAATGGCTGTGTGTTTAGTTATTTTGAGGGCACAGCAATTTTACACTGTTATACAAGCTGTGCACTGACTTCTTTACATTGTATCAAAGTGTCATATCTTCAGTTTTGTCCCATGAAAAGATATAATAAAATATTTACAAAAATATGAGGGGTGTACTCACTTTTGTGAGATACTGCATGTGAGAATTGCAGTTGGATGAGGGTCTTCCAACATTGCGGGGGGTAGACAAGTCTTGGGGCAGCTGCCCTGCCTTCTAGTCTGCCCTGGGACCAGCGGTTTCAACTGGTGTGTAGAACTGGATTATTTGCAGGATAATGCAGATTAACACATTAGTTTATGTAGCAGATGCTTGTGTCCAAAAGCACCATACAAGTTAGGTTCCTGGAGCAGCTGGGGTTAAGGGACTGATGGTGACATCACTCTGCCTCAGGAACCTGCAGGTGGACAACCACCCCACTCTGGATTAAGTGTGTGGTAAAGGATACGGTAACAGGGTCTATATTGTTTAGGTCAGTGGTTCTCCGCCTTCATTTTATCCAAGGACCCCCTGTGTTCAGGAAAACATGCCTGGCCCCCCCAGCACAGGGTATGGCATTGTTTCTCCCATATGCATATTGCAATGATGACAACAATTTCTAATGTTTATTAATATAAACATATTTTCCAACAACACTCTTGCTCTGTAAACAGAAGGCGAATGTATATGAAAATTAAGTTTAATCTGTTTACAGCCAGGAAGGAATACTATTGGTTCCTATAAAAAAATCTTTAATAAAACTGTAATTTTAACACATAATAATGTGTATTGATATAAACGGTATTGTGTCATCCTCTGTTGAAAACATATCAATAGTGTAAGAGGAGATTTATTTTCATTAAGATTCATTACTTTATAATTTCATGTTTATTATTGATTTTTTTATGTAGTGTATAAAAGACAAGGGAACTATATAATGTTTGTTTGGAGTGGAGTGATGGAGTTCTGGTTGTTAGGAGCTCGTACTACTTTTTCAGTAGGGGAGCGAGAAAATAAAGAAGTCCGTCTTCCGTGTTCAGGACTGTATGTTGTCTCCGTGTCATGTCTCTATCCACGGCCTGAAAAATAGTTAATGCTGAGACTCAAACACAGCGTTACAATAGGAATATCATACTTTTTTCTACACTTTTTATGTAAATTGCACTGCCCTCTGTCCTCAGTCCTCGGCCCCCCGGTTGAGAACCATTGGTTTAGGTGAACCAGCATACAGTTTTAAATGTATACATATTTTGTTTTGCAGAAATTCACTGTAAGGTCTTTGATAAGGACTCCATCCTGACTGTCAAGCAGTTACCTTGATACTTACCTTTTAATTTCAATTATGATTTTGGCTTCCAACGATTCTGAAAATAAAGTACTCGAGAGAAAACAATGATTGTGCTGCATGTCGTTTCGCAGTGATGCTCCCGTTTTGAATTATATTTAGGGTTGAGGAAATCCACTGTTAAAAAGACAAGTTTTTTGAAAGTTTAATGAATGCATGATTTTCTAAAGTCAATAAGTAATCATGTTTAGAAATCATGATCTCAGTATTAAGATTGTGGTTATGAGTTTTGCCATAATTGACCAGCCCTCGTCTCTACCCAATCGTTGAACTATTTAGCACTTTAAGGAGTGATATAATTTGAGAATATCCCATTGTGAGAGAGCATGTTTGTTGACGTCGCCCAGCCTGGTCCCATTTCTGCTGGATATTTGCCTTTTGATATTGTTTCGTTATCTGTAACCTTAATCAGTGAGAACGTTCCTTCCTTCCCCATAAATAATTCGATAAATACCGCAGCTCGCCCATTTCTTATGATTACAGGTGCGGCTTACTGCCAGTTCATGGACATGCTGTTTCCGGGCTGCGTACTCCTGAAGAAAGTGAAATTCCAAGCCAAACTGGAACACGAATACATACACAACTTTAAAGTGTTACAAGCAGCTTTCAAAAGAATGAATGTTGACAAAGTGAGTTCCCTCCATCAGACCTGTTATCCAGTTGTATCTTTTGGGGGGGGGGAAATAGGGTATACCTTATCTAATTTTGTCCTGCATGGCGTGGTCAGACCCTCAGATTATGAGAGTCACCCCTTGTTTCTTTGAAATTCAGTGCTGTACAGGTACCAAAAAGCCGTCAGATGATCCTTGTCTCACAAGTAAATCAACCTTCAACCGTGTCTGACCTACATCCAATTCTTGTTTTTTTTTCCTGGATAACTGGGCACCACTACCAAACCAGCATTTACATCTTGGTTCCACAGTGGCATTATCATTGGATTTGACGCTTTCAACCATTTTTATTTAAATACTTTAAACAAAACAATATACCTGTAGGAGCATTTCAAGTACTATTTACAAAGAGCATTTCCAAGAATGTTCTGGATTTAGTCACCGTGAAAGATTTATAGGTGAACACAAACAAAGCTTGGGTCTGACATTGGGTGTGATGAATTTTAATTTCTCAGTAATATTCCTAAAACTTAAAAAAATAATAGGATTTGAAAATATTTATTGTGAATTATTTATTACGTAAAGCACAGTACGCTTGTACATTATGTATATATATATTAAAAAAAAACAACCGAAAATTGATGTAACGTCAGTCACTCCCCTTGCAAATCCTGCCGGTCTGTGATGTGCTTCACTGAACTATGTCCTGTTTGACTGTTCCAGATAATCCCTGTAGAAAAGTTAGTGAAAGGAAAATTCCAGGACAACTTTGAGTTTGTGCAGTGGTTCAAGAAGTTCTTCGACGCCAATTACGACGGGAAGGAGTATGACCCCTTACAGGCTCGGCAAGGCCAAGATGTGGTCCCGACCCTCAATCCAGGTGAACACATTTCCCACAAACCCAAGAAACCTTGTGGCACCCCAGGTAACACACTGGCTCCACCTCCACTGTGTGTGCCGCCACGCTTTCTCAGAATGAGCTGAGTAGTGCTCAGGCTACTGGTTTGTGTGCGATCTGAAAGAAGAAGTTGCTCTGGCTTCGTGAGAATAACACAGCGACTTCCAGCTCTGCTTGGAATGTTTTGGAGCTTGATGTTTGTCACAGATGATTTTGGTTTTACATAAAAAATAACACACTCCTCATAATGACAATATCAAACACATTCACATCATTTGTTAACATTTTTGTGTGTAATTGATACAGATAATAAATTTGATTTCTGTAGATGAAGGTCACCATCAAAAGGTCGATAAAAAGGGAAAATTAGGTACAGTATATTATAAGGTGGAAGTTCATTCCATCATTAAAATTACTACTAAAAAATGACTATTAAGTATTGCATGCTAAAATGTTTTACTGAAATCCTATATCTCTTAAATAATTTCACAGTAGCTATCAATGTCTAAAGCTGGCTTTATTCATAAGTAGCGGGTGCATTTTTTTTCGGTTTTCTTTCATAGTTAGTTGTAAGAATGCCACATGAACGATAAATTTAATTGCCCTAGCTCTTTGTTAGCTAATGTTTACAGTATCAGTCATGAGGGGATTACCTGTTGCAGAACTTTAGACACAAGCAGGCAGCTGGGAAGTCACAGCATAGCAAAGTCCACAAGGAAGCCATAGGATTTAGACAGGGGCAATAAGTCGCTAGGCTTCTTTGGGATTATGGGAACATCTCTATGGTTGTATCTGTAGATTATGACTATTGTGACTGAGCAGTTTGCTCAGAGATACGCTAAGCTAAAGGGATGATGATTGTACATGACTTGAACCTACAACCTATTGGTCAGTAGTCTAGTTCCTTAGCAATGATGCTATCTACTCCTATAAAGTAATCGCCTATGCACGCCAGGCTGCCCGCAACGCTAGCTGTAGTCACTGATTGTGATTATAAAACCTGTTTCTGGTAGCATGCGGTGAAGCTCAGCATTTTGTTACCTTTTGTGTTGTTTTAAGTTGTAAAATTCATTAAAAGTTAATAACATGTGGTTATTTGCACTCTAGTCCCACAGAGGACGTCCCCGACAGTACCCAAAAATATGCCCACCCCACAAAGAGCGCTCAACACTACTTCTATGAGGAAGAACCCCCCGATCACTCGGAATGGCGGTAGCGATGCAGAGATCTTGGAGCTAAATCAACAGGTAGAGTCCCAGGGAGGGTAAGAAGATCTTACTTTATCTTAGAGTATTTTCTGTGGCTTACAAGGTGAGGCTCAGAAATTCAGTAGCCATTGAGCCATTGAGATTGACCTATGACTGTATTCTAGGTTTGTCTTTCTTGGTTTGGTTAATGCAGATTGGTGTCCTCCTTTCCTTGAGTCTACATCAGGTATTACTCAAGCAAGGCGTATATGGATCTTACTTGTAGATGATGGACATGGAGAAGTTTCGGTGTATCTTGCAGTAGAAGTACAGCCGTTCATCTCCTAAATTCCACTGATCATATTTCATAAATACCAATATATTAATAAAAAATCAGGTATTGAGTTATAAGTAAGTACTATAGAAAGAAATGAAAATTTCATGAAAAATGGTGTAGTTCATTACTACGTATGTTAAACAGTTTTTCTATTGAATTATTTCAGTTTTAATTAATACACAATCTTATAGGTCATACTTAGAATGACCTATAAACATCAAGAAACCCCTGTCACCTGAATGATATCAAGGAGGAGATTAAATATTTACTGCTTATTATATCTGTACACTTCAGCTATCAAAGCATGTTTAACTTGTACAATGCCGTCGGTGCTCTTTGCAGCTGATGGAGTTGAAGCTGACCGTGGACGGCCTGGAAAAGGAGCGGGATTTCTACTTCAGCAAATTGCGAGACATCGAGCTTATCTGCCAAGAGCATGAAAATGAAAACAACCCAGTCATCACCAAGATCATCGACATTCTCTATGCTACGGAGGTATCGCATCACCATCATTAGCCGCTGTTGTTTAGCTAGGGCTACCGTTAACCTACGCTAGTGATTCCCAATCTGGTCCTCGGGGACCCACAGACAGTCCACATTGTTTCTGGGAGCTGGGTGGGAGCAAAAACGTGGACTGTCTCTGGGTCCCCAAGGTTCAGGTTAGGAAACACTGCCTTATGTGACCTTTATTGCAAAATACAAGTGTCACATGACCTTGAATATGCCTCTTTCTCTTTCAGGATGGCTTCGCTGCACCTGAAGATGAAGACAATGATGAGCAGCCACACTTGGACCCAGATGAATACTAAACCCTCAGTCCCTACCACTCTTCTCCATCCATCACTGCTTCTCTCTTGTCTCTCTTTGAACTTCCTCATCCTCAAGACCATTGCACGTGTCGCTTCCATCCCTGCCCCTCTTCCTCTTCCTCTCCATCCCCGACTCTCTTTGTGCGCTCCACGTTGACTTCCTAGGACGAACGGCTGTTTTCCCGTCCCATCGCACACAGAGTAGCGACATCAGCAAGCTGAAAGTGTTTCGGCATGGCGAGTTCAGAGACGAATGATGTAAAATCAAGGCAATAGGGATATGGTTAGACTGCGGACTGAGCTGTAAATATTTTCGAGAGAAAAGACTGGAAAGCTTGTATCCCCCAAATACAGGTAACCCACTTCCCTGAGATTTGTTTTCTCAGCTCTGGAAGTTCATGCCATATAGAGATCCTCTTTTTTAACGTCAAGTGCGCAACCCTCATCCCATAGTCTAGCCATCGATACTGTACGAAAATGGAAAAAAAAACACTAAAGAACAATGAAACACAATTGACATGTCTTTATTTTTTCTTAGTTTACTCGTACTTTGCATATTGTTTTCATTGATAAATAACAATTGAAAACGGCGATGGTTACTGCACGTTAACGTAAGTTGTGTTAACAGCTTATTTGTATTTGAACCTAAGCATGAAGCTTTTTTTGTCTTTCTCGTTGGTTTCTTTTTAATTAATTTTAATGGGGGGAGGGATAGTTCCCTCTGGGAAAAATAAAGACACCAGTAATACTAGTAATGGTAATGAAAACGACTAAATTTCAATATCTGTTGGCTAGTCATTCTCGAGTACACTGTAGTATGCTATTGAGCATGTGAATGTTGTATACCATATTGAAAGTACAAGGGCATTGTATGCTCTTAACGTTATTTTTTTTTATGGGGAGCTTTCTTGGGTTCTCGGTGTAATGATGACAGATCAGTGACGTTTTTGGTTTGTCGTTATGAGGAATGTGAAATTTTCCGATGGACATGACGTCGTTTATCAATGCCTGATATTTACTGTACACACGGCACAGCAATTTGACCGTTCAGTGTTACTGTGAAATATTTATTCTGGGGGCCTAACTTTTTAATGTTAGGAGACCACACGCTTAACGCATGTAAGGGAGGTAAAATCTTAAATGACTGACATTATTGATTTAGAGCTTGAGTTTTTTTTCTGCTGCTATTTATTTGTTTCTTTTTTTATATGTTTTTTTTTTAACATTATGCACCTTAAACCCATTAAGTTGCGATAACATGGCAGAATGGATCTGGAGAAAACAAAAACTGAATGGTTTTATGACCAGAATAATTGACTTGGGGTAGCCATTGTTGGCATCACGGTTGAGCCCCCTTTTCTGCTCCTGTAATTCAGCCATTAGCCAACCCTCCCCCCCCCCCCCCCCCCCCCCCCCCCCCCCCCCGCCCCCGCCACTGGATCTAGCTAACATTCTCGCATTGACTTGTCTGATTTAAATACTGTGGCCATAACAGTGATGTGCAAAGTTTGGCATCTGTTTTGAGTTTTACTAAGTAAATAAACTTGTGTGGAAAAACAGAGACCTTTTTGTCTGCTCTCTTTCCACGTGGGGAGGTTTCGAGGTGCCGAAACGGAAACATCTGCTTCCAGTTTCCCAGTTATTGAGATTCCTGCATTACAGATTTGACATTTAGATTCATTACCGAATAAAATGCCTCAGAGCATGGACAGCGTATTATCAATGAGTCATTTTGCATATTTTTTTCTTGTAACCTCTTGGGTTAAATATAGACTAATACTGAAAATTTATAATTTACACGTGAGAAATACACAGCATTTTACCGACATTGTGGATGATACTTCAAATGGATTTTGCATGGAATTGCCCAGTATGACTTAACACAGTTTCTTTATGGTGAAAGCTGGGTAGAGCAGATGCAGTCTCCATGTATGATCATGGGGCAGGTAGTGTCTCTGAGCCCTCCCACCTCAGGGTTGGGGAATCGAATCCTGACTCTGTGTGTGGAATATGCTTGTTTTTCCCGGGTCTGCGTTGGACTCCCCTACAAACTCAAGCCTGCGGTGCAGGGGAGATCCCAATATCTTTTTTTTAACGTGGGTGGCCTAAGAGGGGCTATAATTCATACAGAGGGGCTAACCTCATCATTAGCCAATGATATGATTTGAATTGCTAAGTGACAGGGGAGGTAGCACTCCTGGGCCAATCAGCTTTCACCTGGGGCTAGTACCTCTACCATAGTACGATAAACTGGTGTTTCTTCTGGGTGTTCCCATGTCTGTACTTCATTGGATTGGTTTGAAGCTTATTGTATGGAAGTTGGATGGGTTATGGTGCAGGGTTAGTGATGAGGTAAAAAAAGTCAACAATGAACTCATTGTGTTTATTTCTTCATTTAGTACACTCAAAGATACTGCACTCTACCAAATTAGTGAAATAAATACACCCATATAAACAACCCAAATCATCGCAAACTAGTCTTTAAGTAAACATAGATTGTCAAATAAATACAAATCATACATACAACAAATCAAGCAAAGAGCAAACTATGCGGGACATACAGCAGATGAAGGTATTGAAGGTTTTCCGAATTTTACTCTAGGCTCTTCTGTGTGCAGAGCTATGCGCGTAGAGATCCTGGATGGCGGAGTCTTTCAGGAAACAACCTCCCATGCACAGAATGTAGCGTTCAAGGGGAAATTGATCTTCGAAAGGGAGGGATTATTAATTTAACAATGGGATAATTATGATTATTAAAGACCAAATGAAGCATGTAGTGTTTTGTGTGTGTCACAACTATTGAAAGAAAACAGTTGTTTACTCTTGAGAAAAAAAATATACCTCAATCTACCTTATATAAGCGCAACCCCAAATTTATATAGACAAAAACTGTCATTTAATAGGCAGTTACCATGCCATTGTGCTGAGAGCTGATTTACTCACACACCTCTTTGAGTCATACACTCCCAGGTACTTATAGCAGTCTCGACCTTTATAACAGTTATGTGCCTTTGAGATGGAGCGCAGTTTTAAGAAATCTTTGAAGAGCATGTTCTTTTGAATACTTCTTTAAAGACACCACAATAAAAATCAAGGCAAAACATGAGGTTAAAACTCAAAGTGGGTATTCGACTCCCTCTCGTAGGCCACAATAGATTATTTTCATTATTCCTGTGTCCATAAATGCCAAAGAAGCCTATTTAATGGCATAACCTTTCTTTGCATTCCTAGTAGTGCAAAAGTAGCCTTGATGTAGCAAACACTCCACGGGAAACACATCAAAACATATCCCCCGTTCCGTTTTATAACACGTCAAGTACTTACGTCAGAGTTCTGACCGGAATTTTACTGCAATATGTGCTATATAAATAAAATTGGAAGTAACACAAATGAAAAATTAAGCCTTTATGTAATGGGAACACGCCAACCAATATATTAAATATAAGAATGTTGAAGTACTCAACCGCTATACAGAGTGTAGCAAAATGTGAGCTGGAGTGAGTGTACCTAACTGGAGAAAGTCCTGCACTGCAAAATGGGGGGATGGGATTGGGATGGGGGGGGGGGGTACACAACCAGCTCCCAAATTCATGCCCCCAGCATCTTCTTTACCATGTAGCCTGGCATGCTGTACAGGAAGAGGCCCAGCATGAGCAGTACCAGCAGGGCCAGGAGTAGCTTAATGATCAGCCACTTGTAGCGGGTGCAGATGAGGTAACGGATGGCTTTGAGGGGGCTGATGAACCACAGGAACGTAGTATCGGGTCGGCTGTGAGATTGGAGGGAAGAAAAAAGGATTCCTCTTAGTTCTCAAAGGGACTGATTGGTTTGAATGGATGATTACAGTCATGACAAAGCTTCCTTCTCGAAAGCAGCACCATTGACAAAATGGTGTCAATATTTATTTAATAACAGTAACAAAAACAACAACAATAATAACAACAATGATAATAATCACTAATTAACTTTAATAATTACAATAATGAATCGGTTCGGATTTGGAAGTTAAATGTGTATTGCACTTCCTGTTCTAACAGGAAGTTCCTCCTTGGAGGCCTTACTTGGGCTTTTCCAGAGGTTCCGGCTCATTTCGCCCTTCGCCAACTGGACTCTTTTCTGCTTCTTCACCTGTCACCAGGTGCAGCTCTAGCTCCACTTTGCCCTGCAACATCACCCATTAAACTCTTTAACAAAGGATGTGAAATGGCCAAAATGGAGAATAGTGCATCGTTTAGTAGGTCCCACACAGTACAGAGAAGGAGAAAGCTCACCGTGATTGTGATCTCACCATCTTCTTCTCGGGCAAGGAAAGGCCACCAGCCCTTGATCCTCTTTTGTTTGAAAATGTTGACCATGGGCGTCTCCTGCTCACTTAATACTTGATCAATTGAGCACTGCTTTGCAGTCTTGGCTCCACGAGGGAACCTGTTCAGATCAAGCTCAATTGCACCTGGAGGGAGAGAAACACATTAAAACTGGAATGTGTATCAAAATACCAACCCTGGGTGTTCTGGTGCCCTAGGTGAGATCCTGTTGAGTGTCCCCCCCCCCCCACCCCCAAATCAGCATAAAACAAATTTTGTCAATTCATTTTGGCACGGTTATGAGAAAAGAAGCACAGCGAGATGCACGGAACAAGCCATCGCACCCAGCCAGTCATCAGCTGAGAAATGGTCCGAGTCCCACACTTGAATGTTGAGTCTGGCCGGAATCTTATACTCTGTCTCATCCCAGGAGAACATGGATTCCTTCTTGGAGAGGACAATCTTCTCTTCTGCCATCAGGTAATCGAAGGGGTAGATATATCGCCAGTTGAAGTTGCCCTCCCCTGTCAGTGAGTGGTAGTGGACGTCCGTGTCCTGCTTGTCTTCTTGTTGTCCCTTCAACCACCTGGAAGATTGATGATTCAGAAACTCTGGGGGAAAAGGCTGTTGGCGTATCTTTGAAGACGGACTTTTATTGAAATGAAATACCATTCTAAATTGTGAAAAGTACAAGACAATTCAATAGAGCATTTTATTAAGAGACTGGATGTGTAACTAATTTTGTCATTATAGTTCTTGTTAGTCAAGTGAGTTGAGCACAGAGAGTAAGGAGCCACAGCTCCGAACAGCAGCAACCAAAAAGAAACGTCATCATCCTTGCATTGTATTCATCCATCTCCAGCCACACCTACCCCCGCACAAAGATGTCACTAGATTTCTCTCCAGTGAAAATATCATCATCCTCCAGTACTACTTCATCAGTATTCCAGACGATCACTCTCAACTCATACCTGCAGAAAGCGGACATAATTACATAATGCATGTACTTTCAGAAAATAATCTGTACTATAGGAATTCTGTTTTTATGCCAGTTCATATGTGGAGCCACTGCTGAACTACAACACAGAACTTACGGCTTTGGTTTCCTGGGTGAGATGTCAAGAGGAGGACCTGGTGCAGCCATGTCCTTGGGGAACATGTCCACCCACAACTCAATCCGTCCCTTTCAAAAGGGCATGCAGATATTCAAGGGGGATTAGACAGATACTTTATTTATCCCAAAGGAAACTGAAAATTAGTCTCTCTACCATCTAATACAGGAAATTAACAGAGATGAATAGTTCAGATCCAGAAAGTAAAAATCCAGACCAACAAAGTGAGTTACTCTGTGACTGTGACTCTTTACGCTCAACTGGTTGGTTGAAACAAAATCTTGGTCTGGATTTTTACTTTCTGGACCTGAACTATCCAGCTCTTTAAATCCCATTGGCCTAATCACAATCACAGTTTATATCACTAAAATAGTAGTGATTTTATGTACTGGGGCCAAAGTTCCAGTTTGTTTAATAAAATTTACTTAATATAAACTATTTATTTCCAATATTGTGAACATTACATGAAGGCTTGGTACAATTAGCAGAATTGTACAGAAGCTCAAAACCCAACAAAGACGCTTCCCAGGTTACGATGGTCTGTGTTATGATATTTCGAAATGTTTCTCACTTTCAGTACATTATTCAATAAATTACGATATTCAACACTTTTTCATTAATGAGCCTTTGTGTTAATGACTTGTAGTAACATCAATATGGTATGGAAAGGGCCAGATCATGATGTACGGGAGGAAACCTACAACCCTTCAGCAGTGCAGGAGATCACAGACAGCCCAGATCTTCTGAGATTCCTGGCCCTACCTGCTCAATGCCAGGCTTGCTGGGGTTTAGGAGAGGCCTGGTCTCTATGTGCTCTGGGACCAGCTTGCAGCCCACCCGAGGGATGTCTTCCCAGTGTTTTAACGCCAGCAGGGCAACATGATCATCGGTCTGCTTCTTCAAACCTATGGGAAAAGGTTTCATTGGATTACATTGGATAACATTCTGTAGGAGCTGAGAATACAGAATGTTTTACGTGGACTGCGTGGGGGTCCTTGAGGACTGGGTTGGGAACTACTGGTATAAACTATAAGCCAGTTACCATTTTCATCCTCGACCTCAGTGGGTCCCAGGAAGACCCGGTTAGCCACCTTCACGCGCCCCGCAGGGCCATAGACGGGCGGATCCAACTTGTTGTCTTTGCACAGCTTAGCCAGAATGTGGGTTGGCTTCATGGGGTCCCTCCATATATTATATCCATGACTACACCAAAAAAAAAGCTTTTCTTACTCAATGGAACGGGAATATACAAACTGAGCAAACATAACTGCTTATAGTTCAGATCGTGGTTGGATCAGTCTCTGTGACACAGACCCTACATTTTTTATTCCATAAAATATGTCAGGCCAAAAGGCCAATCGTGACACCTCAAAATTTCCAAACATTCTGCATTCCAGAGTTTTAAAAAAGGCCCATAACCCACATGGAATAGTGTGTCGCAATACCACAGGTGGCTTTGTGTTTACTGTAGAAACGGCTCTCCAGGTCGATTTTGGTCTCGCCGATGAGGTCGTCTCTACCTACTAAATCCCAGTCATAAATCGCTACTGTTAGCAATGTCTCCAAGGGGAACGTGACCTCAACATCGAAGGATCTTTGAGGAAGACATTAACAAGACACAAGACATCGACAAGTTATTTCTTAATACGTTGCCAGCACACAACTTCGTCAGCTTTTTTATATATGGGTACGAGGAATCAACATATAAGAAATTAGTGAAATATCTATGCACTGCATTGTGTTTTTTCAGTAGCATGTACTCAGAACGTACCGTCCAAAAACAGGATTAAGCTGCTTGGAGAGGTAATTGTCTTTGTCCCTGATTTCAGTCTTTCCAATTTTGATTGCAATATATGGATCTGCCTTCCCATTAATGTCGGCGGGGTGTAGGTCATTAGCCTGAATAAGCACAACATTATCAATAAGGATGCTAATGACCCTGACATGCATACAATTCTAGTATAAGGTTTTTATATACGTATTTTTAATTACCATTTTTCCCGTATAGTAATTGGCAAATGACCCAAATGGTCTTGCCATATGCTGCTCGTTAGGATATCTGAAGGCCTGCTGGCTGAATTCACAGTGAGAAAATCAGCACTTTTAAAGTTCCACTTTAAAGATACTCACCCTGACCACGTAGATGCGAACGAGGATATTGATGCTATCATTGTGTGGGATGCCCTGAAACATGCCCATGTTGGGATCATAGCCCGGCTCCTTGGACATGTCGTCTGCAAAGGATGCTTTGTACATGTACAGAGAGCCCTAGATCAAAGGGAAACAGTGACTGTGAGCAGGATTACACATAAGCATTGAACACAAACTTTTTTTAAAACTTGTGGCACTGGATCCTTTGCCCAGGACCAGAAGGCTTTTGGTTCAAAACCTTTTGGCAGACAAAGTGATGTTACCACAATTAACCCTAATTGCTCTGGGGACCGTGCTCTTTTACTTGTACACCACATTAAACAATAGCATTGTCTAAATAAATAAATGTAACTTTAAATGTTATGGATACTAAGTCTAACTATGTTGTCACAAACTGGAACAACTGTGCAATAACTGTTGGTGCAAGAAACTATGGTTAGGTGCAGTTATGGAATCTTATTACATGGCTCTCTGGAATGCTTGATTCTGATTGGTCAGTTGAGACATATGCAGGTTCGTTCTTTTCAAATAATAACCGCTCCAAAGTAATAACGCATAGTCGGTACTACTTGTATGTTTAAAATCCCTCCGCGCCAACAAAGATTACCGTTTGAAAATGCATCGCGTTGGGTCCTGATCACACTGTCGGGGCTTATTTCTGCGATAACTACCGGCTGCCTGTACATTATCCCTTACTTATTTGCTCTGTACTAAAAATAAAAGGTAAAAATGGCTGCCATCTTTGAACTGTACTACCAACATATGTGCAGACATTAGCATGTACAGATTAGCTCTTGATCCTATGTAGATATGTTCAGAGACAGGAGACGGGACCCACCACCTATGATTAATGGAAATCCAAATAAAACCTTAGGGACAAAGTGAAAAAGCCCATTTTACACCATGAAGTTTGTGGAATTCACTAAATTATCTCTGTGGTTGTCTGTGTGTGAATATAAAATACATTAAACAAGAAATAAATCACTAAAATTTCTTCAGTGTAGCTTGGTGAATGACACGGTAACATGATGAAATCTTACTCCAGGGCTGATGTTGAAACAATACAAAGCAAAGCAAGAATCATTATCGACACAAAATCCCTTTTTGAAATTAATTCCTTTGAATATTTTGTATTATTTAGCGGACTTAGAGAAAATGCCAAACTTCATACTTCCATAACTTTATTGTTTATGTATATGTCATTTTTCTCATTTTCAAAACTACTCAAATCCCCAAATGAATTGCGGTGAAGCCCTCCAAAACCTTAACTCCCCTCATCCTCCTTACTTTGAATCTGCCGATCAGCCTCTCTTCATCTGACATGTTCGGGTCCTCATCATCTCCACATTTCCCCCGATACAAATTGAAAGTATGAAGCCAGTCTTCAAAGTTGTCAAACGCGTTCTCCAGCTCGCTGTCGTACACCTATAGGTCCAGAAACGTTAAAACTCATTCCTCACTACTTTAACCATGAGTTGTTTAATAATCGAGATGCATATATAGCAGTAGGATAGAGGTTAGTACATAAAACAACCGCAAAATGCAACTGACAAAGAGCACCACCACAAACATTACATAGCCAATGGAAGATACTGAAACTTCGCAGTATAATATGAAAGCATGAAACACTATTAAAGCAAGGTGAATCAACATGATCACTGAACCAAAATCATCCTTAGTATTTACAAACATTGCGATGATGAAGCCAATGAAAGCAACTGGTGCAAACAAACAATGATGGAAAATCGGTGATGAATTGGTTATGATCCACTGCAAAAAATCATCCTCGCCGCAAATATCCAGCCATGTTGAGCTTGAGACTCACCTTAAGTTCGTCGATTTTCTGCTTCTTCCTCTCCGGCATCTCGATAGGCTGTAACTTCTTCTTGTCCTTGGAGCTTTTCCCTTTGCCCTTGTCCTTCCCTTTGCCGCCCTTCCCATCATCCGGACGGATGTCTACAGATAAGGAGGAAACAGAGCTGCTACCTAAACCTGATTGGAGGAGCAGCCTGCAGCTCATGCTGGGTTTGGACCAGTTAATTTCACACAATTTTACTTGGTTGCCTTTTTGTCCATATTAAAGTTTGAAGGCGTTTTTAAAATATAAATTAGACTCAAACTTTGAATGTTTTACCAGGTTTGGACCTTTTATCTATTTAATATCATTTCAACAATAAATGTGTATTTCATACATATCAAATATGCATTTATTATCAAAATTGTATTCAACATTTTCTTCAATCATTGATATAATTTTGAGGATGTTGATTAATTCATCAGTTCATTAGATTATAAATGCTCTCATTTGGATAGTGGCTTAGTGTATAATAATTAGGTTTGAGTGCAGATCTTATCCAGAGTGTGGAGTGTGCATGTTCGTTTGTGTTGTGTAGGTCTCCTCTGTAGAGGTTGAAAGCTCATGTCTAGAAAGTACAAATCGAGACCAAGATTTTGTTTCAACCAACCAGTTGAAAATAAAAAGTCACAGTCATAGGGTTTGTAACTGGCTGGCTGAAACAAATTCTTGGTCTGCATTTGCATTTAATGGACCTGAACTTTCTGCCCCTGTTGCTCTGGGTGCACCGATTTCCTCCCACAGTTCAACAGCATACAGGCATTTGGTGTCTCTAAATTGCACATAGTGTATGTCTGTGTGTATGTACTCGCCAAGAGACTGGCATCCTGTCAAGGGTGTCCTCCTACCCACCCCCCTTGCCCCCCCCAAACTCCCCTGTCCTGAATAAGTGGTGGAAAGATGGATTATTCAGTTTACCTAGCAGTCAATAGAATATTAAAAGTAGAATATCAACCTCATGCCAAAGGAAGTACATGTTAATGAAAGAGACATATTTATCCTGGATGACCAAGGGATTTAATGATAGAGACATTATTGTCTGTTTTTCCTCATTGTTCCCCAGCTGTGAGTTCCTGTGTTTCTTCTAGGTCGTCCTTGAATGTGTGACATTTTATACATATTCATACAAATTTCTTATTTCATTTGGCTGGTTTTGAAGGTCACCGAGTCAGTTCAGTTGTGCGCCCAACATTACAAATTCATAGACTATGGTGAGGCCTTCCTTTGACTCTGTGAGAGTTTATGTCAGCAGTACCTGCACTGTCGGCATTATCCGCATCTTCCTTCTCCTCCCCGTCTCCCATAGTAGCTTCCTGAGCCTTGAGAATCTAAAAAAAAAAAATAATCTTTTATACCCAAGTCACTCCACTTAATTATCCACTAAACTTACATCACAATATCCTTATATGTCTCCATTCCCAGAAAATTACTTGCAGTTTAAATTGCCTGTCATGATCATGGTTGCAACAGCACAACATAATTTGAGCGCTTGAATATCTTTGTTTTACTCCACTGGCATTAAAATGAGCAGTATCTGCGGGGTGAATCATTTTGACAGTTTTTCTATGCGAATCCTAGAATTCACTCCACACTATGAATGAATCATCAGGCCAGTTTTTGCCCCTTGTCTCAGCTATGAATTTTTACTCTCATTTCTTCAAACTAACCAATATTGTACGACCTTAACTGTTTCGATAGTTTGTGGGTATTTGATGGGTATTTCCTGCCTCTGGTCATTTGCTGAGCGAATCATAGCCCTCACCTCCTTCAAAGTTTCGAGGGAAGCAAAATACTTTGACCACCAGTCCAGCATGGTCTCGTCCACCTCTTCCTCCTCCTCTTCTATTTCCTCCCCCTTCTTTTTCTTCTTCTTTTTCCCATCTTCATTCTGAGGTTACAACCACATGATCGACTGGGTGTGACACACATGCTGCCTGCCACGGTTTAATCTTTACGCTGGTTGAATTCAAAGAAAATGCCACAAATAAGAGCACACCACGAGTAAATGGATAGAGTAACAATCTGACTTACCACGTCAATTTTCACCACAGAATCAGAGGTCTAGAAATCATGTACAAAAAATTGTAATGAATTCATTGGAAAGCAGCAATACAAATACTGAAGAATTTGACTTAATTTGATTTAAATAACGTTCAAAGATAAAAAAAAAAAAATCATCTACCATTTTCTAAAATAATTAATTTTATGGGTGGTGTTTGGCATAATTTACACTGGTGGCCAAAATTGTGGAATCGCAGAACTTTATTCAAATGTTGCTCCAGTTACTTATTTAATCATCCGGTATACAATATTTGTAACATTCTTTGATTGTTATAAACATTGTCACCAATATTACAGTAGTAATTTTCAAAGCATAATGACAAAAATGCTAGATGCTTCCACAATTTTGGCCACTAGTGTAGTAATAATTGTATTGTAATAATTATATAATCAGAAACAATGTAGCAAGCAAGGTAGCTTACAGAGTCCAGCTTGACCACTGTGTCCATCTTTCTGACAGACGTCTCCTGCATGTTGACTACGATTTCCTCTGTGGGGTGAGATAACCGCGAAAACTGGGGGATCACAACAACCAAAGCCTCATAGAAACTCCCATAATGTCATTTTCGGGATGTTCCACCCTCTTCCTGCCCTTAAACTTGTGTGTTTTTCTTTTGGCAGTTTATCAAAATCTGATGCCACTCATCTCAGCAATCAGCTTATTCTTCATAGTATTTTAGCAATGCATTTAGAGGGAAACTGAAAGAAAATGGATTCTATATTTTGTACATAATACTACATTTCTCTATTATACTACATTACTCTATAATACTACATAACTCTATTATAATTCAGAGACTCAACAATTGAGTATATAATAAACGTGTGCTTAGCATATCAGCAGTTTTCCAGATGGCTAAGATGATGGAAAAAAGCCTGTTACGGTGCATTAATCACGTAAGTGCTGACATTGTGCCCTAATCCTGTGATAGACTCACCTGTGGGGGACCAGCTGTTGTCGCTCTTGTCTGTGGGCCTGTAGATGTACTTGCGTAGCGTGGTGACAGCGTGCGACCCTACCAGGGTGAAGCGCCCAAACGCTCTGCAGTCCACCACTCGGATGTTGATGGGAGGATGGAGGAGCTCGTTTTCCGGGAGATCCTATGAAAAACACGTCACGCATCAATGCGAATTCCGATAGAACCTTTTCCCACTGACTGCTGCCGGCAGATAACAATTTAAGAAAACTAAACCTGGAGGACACTTACAACTTCGAACCATTTGACCAGGGTGGTGAAATTAGGGTTCTTCTTGTAGTTCTGGATGGGAGAAGATTGGACCCCCTTCCCAGCACACTCTACATCTACACGAGGCCTGTCAACTTGGGCCAAGTTGATCCGCTTAAGGTCCCTCAGGCCCCAGAAGAGGACCTATTGTAGGGAAAAAATAAAATTAGTTACATAATTTCTTCCTTAGAAAATGGTTCTATTTATGTGACATAATTTTTACAGTAATATTTAGAGGTATTCACTCAGGTACACAGCAGTAGTTCCCGGACGTCTACTTGAAAACTTCACATCAACAAAGTAATTTATTTTTTATCTGAAAATCATTGTGGCAAAAGAGCCTCCTCACCTCAATTCTGTACTTGCTAAGGACTGGTCTGATGCCAATCGGGACTGGCATTATGGGCCCGTGGTCAAAGTCAGCTGGGCCCTCGATGGGAGGCAGGTCACTCTTTCCAGTAGGTGGTACCTAAAAGTGCCATTCATGGAGTAAATACCTCTCGGCTCTCTGTAACAACATGAAGATCAGGACTGGCCTGCTGTGTCACTGTGCCAGATGCACTATACATGGGATGGATGCCAAATGAGTTCATGCCATAGATATAGCAGACTATAAGTAGAGCTGCTAGTCTGTAGGGGACTGGAGACCAGTCTGCAGAAAGCGGGAAAGGGAGCTGATCTATAGACCTTGCATTGTCTTGCTTACCTGAAGCAGCTCAAAGGCTGCAAGCATTTCGCCGGCCGGCAAGTTGCCGCGGTAGACCTGGTAGTATTCCAGCTGTGGAGGGAAACGCGGTGGCCCGTACGGCTCGTCCGCCATTTTGGTGAGAGGCTTAGCGAATGTCCTTCCCATGAAATCGGCTTTGCCCTACGATCACAAAAGAATGTACTAGAAACTTCAGACATTTATGTTTAACATAGTAAAAAGATGTTGATTTCTGATCATATTTAGGTTGACCTAAGGCAAATGTTTTTTAAAAATAAGTATTTCTATTTTATATCTATTGTATATCAAAAGCATAGGTAAATAAAATAATTAAAAAAAACATTTACTTCTTTTCTCAAAATCTAAATGCAAAGTTGCTTAAGTATGTGTAATTATGTGTAACTACACTGTCAACAGCTTAATTACTGACTTTATTCCAATATGCACCTTTTAAAGACTTATGTATTTATTATATCAATAGGAAGCACTTACCATTGCGTCTTGGTCATAAAGTTCAATGACGATAATCGGGGGATCGTCACGTAGCTCACTGGCTTCTCCGTACAACTCCAGGTTGTCAAACAGCAGAAGCTGATCCCATGTGGGGCACAGAGTTTCATTCAGAACCTGGAATGGGCACACAGGCAAAATTCACTGACCCACACATATCGAGATGTGGTTCCTAAGAAGAAAACTCAAGACCATGCATATCTGTTTATTTAGCTTGAAGTATGAAGTTTGCCAGCAGTCAATAGACTGACCCACAGTCAGTCTGCATTTTTGCTACCTCTAAGAGTGCTAACCAGACAGTCCACATTTGGTAGGGAGCTGAGAGGGAGCAAAAATGTGTACTGTCTGGTTAGCACTCTCAGAGGTAGCAAAAATGTGTACTGTCTGCGGGTCCCCGAGGGCCAGATTGGGAAACGCTGATCTAAGGTCATAAGCAATGGCAAACCTGTATGAGACAGATGCTTCTGGGCGTTGACGTACCTCAGTGACCTGACTCTGCGTGGAGAAAAAGACTCTAGCGTAGGGGTCAGAAAGGCCAGTGCTGTCGGCCGCAAACAGGCTACGGGCCTGGTACATATGGGCCCTCAACTGGAATACCTGGCTTACTGTGGGTCGGCGGAGAGAAATGGACACCTGTAATCTCCACATTCCCTGCAACCTTTATTATATGAAAATGATTCAAATTAAGCTGAAATGTCACCATCGTTCACAGATACAACCCCTGGCGTACAGCTATCCCACCAAAGCCATAATGCATCAAGTACACGAGCCTACAGATGGGTTTCCAAAATCATACATCCATTCACTTTCTGTGACCACTTATCCTATTCAGGGTTGCAGGGGATCGGGATCCTACGGGCGCGAGGCAGGGGAACAGCCCAGGATGGGCCGCCAACCCATCGCAGGGCACATTCACACACCATTCACATGTACATGCACACCTTTGGGTGATTTGGTCACGCCAATAAGCCTCAGCATGTTTTCGGACTGTGAGGGGAAGCCGGACTGGAGTACAGTACCTGGAGGAAACCCCATGATGACACGGAGAGAGCATGCAACCTCCACACACCTGGAGCCATGATCCCAGAGGCAGTGCTAACCAAGGTACCTCTGTGCTGCCCCCCAAAGTCACACAGTACAGGAAAGCCTCATATTTATCCGAGGCTCACAGCAGGGCCCACTTACTGGTATAGTTTAGACTGATGGGTGGGCTGGAACTGCTGGATGCCTTCACAGCCTTGTTCTCCTCAAACCCATTGGGGAGGCCGCACAGGAGGTCCCTCCTGTGCTTGTTGAGTCCCAGCCAAAGGTAAACCTCGATCTTAACCTGCACCGTCCAGCCAGCTGATCCAAACCCCTTCTTTCCAGGTAGCTGCAGTAGTGTCATAAGGAAAAAGGCCTGCAGTTATTCATGTTTGTTGTCTATACAAGGGATTTGGCAACAGGTAACGCCCCCATCAAGGTCCTTGAAGGAAAATGTCATGAATTCGATCTGTGCAAAGAATTTGTGATGGTAACCTTAGTTTGGGAAATCTGCGTTTATTGTCACGTGGATGTGGTCTAGAGCAGAAATGCCTACCCTGAGGAAGGCCGTCTTGACTTTTCCACAATCCTTGCCCCGCTCTTCCTCGACAGGAGAGTAGAGGATGTCTTTGGAAGGGATGCGGACGTATGCAATGCGTTTGTTGTTGCTCATCATCCAGATGAAAATGTCAGGAACGCTGTGTTGTGGCTAGACGCAAACGAAATGCTTCCTTTAATTTGCTCATAAAAAAAATTTAAAGGCCAACTACACGCAAAAAACCAATATGATTTTTTGTTAGCATTTACATTTATATCATTAAATATTACTTTTGGTATCTGTGGTATGTATTTTAAGCGGATTGTGGTTTGATGGATAAATGGTACACAATGATTTTATCAAGACAATGACTATTTCTTAACACAATGTAATAAACAAATGTTTCAGGTCTTATTGCCACGTGTTCTATGGAACACAGTGAAATAGTGCCAGAGTTGCATAGAAGGGGACAAGTGCATGGGGGATAGGATGAACAGCAATGCAATACAGGGTAAATAGCAATGCAATGCATGACAAACTGCAGTGAAATACAGGATAAACAGCAGCGCAATACAGGACCAAGAATACAGGACCAACAGCAATGCAATACAGGACAAACTGCAGTGAAATACAGGATAAACAGCAGCGCAATACAGGACCAAGAATACAGGACCAACAGCAATGCAATACAGGACAAACTGCAGTGCAAAGTAGGATGAACAGCAGTGCAATACAGGATGAACAGCACTGCAATACAGGATAAACAGCAGTGCAATACAGGACGAATAATACAGGACCGACAGATACAGGACGAACAGCAATGCAATGCAAGACAAGACAGTGCAAGACAAAACAATGGAAGAAGAATGAGGAAACACTAAGTAATAATTATGTGCAATGAGATTAGGATGCAAATATACATCCGAAAATTGGTATCTAGATGAATACAGCATGGTATACAAATAGTTAAATACAAATGTGCTAACATATTACCTCATCTGACAGGAAGCGAAGTTTATGCAGGAAGTTGTGCACCAGCTTCAGTTTGTCCTTTACAGTGTTTTTCTTCACCTGAGATCGAATGGTCTTAGCCTGCTGGCCAATGTTTTCCTACAAAAAGAATCAAACAAGATTTATACTATAAATTCTATACACAAATAGACTAAGAGCTAATATCATTTGTAGATAAGGTAGACGTCTAATCGTGAGAATCAGTGAAAGCATGTGAATATTCTTACAGTGACGCTAATTCTTGCTGCACATATTATAGCCCAGTATCCTTAGTTTGTGATGTTGATGGATATTCAATAAAAAAAAATCTTAATACGAATTAAAAAAAATTTGTACAAAAGGGATAAACTTTTTTTATGACATAATATTGTTACTAATCTCCTGGCAATATAATATTGCTTAGAGTTTCCAATCAGCTTGCGTTTTGGTTGTAGACTTTGGAAATATGGCCTTTCTGGTTTTTAACAACCAGTTAACTAGCCATTCCAATTCCATGTACAAATCTGATCTGTTTGTTCAACAACGTTTTCCCAAATTTTTTATATCATATCTGTTTACAGCTCCAATTCATTCCTAGTTCCTGTGTGATGTGATTAATGGTTCAGTCCATCATCATCAAGGATACGAATAATTTCTGGGCCGCACCAATTCTCTCATGCAGGACTTGAGTCTCTCCCGGTCCAGCTTGGTTCGCCCCACTTGGTTCTCGTCCTGGCTTGCCAGTGACAGAAACTGGCTGAAAATGAGATTTACAAGCCTATCAGGTGCAACACTTTCTATAATTGCAAATCAATCGTTTGTCGTGCATCATAAAACGTGCAATGTGGTCAAATTCCACAACGTGATACAAATTTGCCTGCAGTTGGATTATGCTGTTTAGCTTGAATCTCTGCAGGCAACTGGACCGCTATTCTTTTAATTATACAGCACTGTGCAAAAGTCTTAGGCAGTGACAGAAAATGATCTTCATGTTGGTGTGAAGCTATGACATTATGTCCATCAAAGTGTGTCAGCTTAGCCATTACAAAACAGCTACTAAAATTACCACAGTATTTGCAGCAACTGTCCAATGCACCCATGTCTTTCTTGACTTGACCACTTCCCCACCCCGTTTGGCTAATCAATACCCCATTGAGTTATTTGATAAATCAAGTTAATTAATTAACTGAGCTAGTGAAGAAATTTAACGAGCACATGGAATGGTTGTAGTGGCCCTAAGGACAGTTTGGAGGAACCAAAGCAGAGTTTATCTGGCTGCTCAACAAGATATCAGTAACTTTTCGGAGGACAGACGAAATTCTTGTTAATTTTTATTGTTACCATTAATTTACATATGTTATAATGTTAAATAGCATTCTAAGCAAATATAAACTACCAAGATAGATACTAAGATAAATAGCCATAAACATTTTTCTTTACTGCCTAAGACTTTTGCACAGTACTGTATGTGTCAAATTCTGATTGAAATGAATTGAACGATATATCCATTAGAGGTGACCTGTGTGAAATTATCCAGGGTTAAGGAGCAGTTTGGTACCTACTTGCACCCCATGCTCAACTCCTCCAGAACCCCCCGCAGCCTACGTTCGGGGAACGCCTTCTCAGTCTTGATAACTTCCTGGACGTCGTTCAGGCCCTCTTCCTGTCATGGCACAGGTTCAGCCAGTCAAAAAAATAAACTGCAGCACTAACTAACCAGCATAATATGGAAAAATGGTTCGTGATTTTTTCAGTCATGTATTCAGAGTATGGGGAGGATTCCCCATCTAGAATGGGGTTTACCAGTTTATCTGCAATCTTGTCCATCATGTTTGCATTGTAAAGTCTTCGTCTTTGATCTTGCCACCAGCTTTTGATGTAAATACAGGGCTTATTCTCAAAATAGGGCAGATGGAAATAATTTCTGTAAAAGAGGATTAAAGAATACATTAGGGACTGATAAATACAACTTAAAATAATGCTTCCAGGAAATGCCGGACGACGCGTTAAGAGAAGATCGACAGACTTGTCTTCTCTTTCATCGGTGCAAAATTTAGCAATTTTAAGCTACCGCCAAAACACTGGACAATGAACGATAGATCAGACCTGTCTGTTATAACAGGTTTTAAGGCCGGAGTGCAAGCGACTGAGACGAAATCCGGATCGTCCTCTATCTCATCACCACCGGAGCTTTCCATAAGATTTGAGCCTTCCCCTGGGGCATCGTCATCCTTCCTCGATGGTGGCTTTTGTACCCCATCGACCTCGTTGCCATAGTAACCTAAACAAAAACAAAGCCAGTGTATGCAAACAGAATTATGGTAAAATGTCAAAATAATAAACTGCGTGATAAAGCCATAGGCTATGGTGATTTCATTATTATTTTACTAGACTTACCAATTGTGACCTCAAAGTTAATGGGTTTGTCCCCGATCTTGCGGTCAATCATAGTAGCTTCCAAAAATGCTCCAAAAAGAAAGAACTCCTCTATCTTGCCAGTGGCGTTCTAAACAACCAAAGATTGTAGAAACGTCATGCTTCAAGCCTTCACTTATAGTCAAGTAAGTAAGATTTGGGGCCTGTATCACAAAGCAGGATTTCATGCTTAGCTGGATGGCTTGTCAGATTTAAGGTATTCTGGACTAAATGTAAGTGAATGAATGTAACTCCACTTAAGCCCAGACTACCTTAAATCCAACAGAAGACTGTCTCTCTACATTTAAGTCCCGGCTTAAAACTCATGTTTTTAAAGTTGCTTATTCACTTTAGTTTTTAACTTTATTATTTAGTTAGCTTTTAATTTATTTGCTTATGGTAAATTGGAATGTATGTATACACGTACAGATGGAGAAATGTAGTATTGTTCAAATCCAGCTTTGTGATACTGGCCCCTGGTCAGCCATCGCTTGTTACATTATAATTGGACAAGGGGTTATTTTTATTTCATTATTGGTCAGTGGTATAATAGAACATTTGAGTTCTGCTTCATATTGCATGAAGGGGGGAGGGTTTTGGCCCCTGTGGTTGTGTGGACATCGGCGCTGGGCCCTCGAGCAAGGCCCTTAACCCCCCCCCTGAAATGCTCCCTTGATGCTGGATAAATGGGTGAGCCTGTGCTCAGACCCTAAGCTTAGCCCTCACCTCTATATGTATGCATGTCTAATACGACAGAAAGGAAGGACTGGTGGAACACTAAAGCATTCCAACGTGCATGTAAAAATGGCAAATAAAGCATCATTTCATTAAGTTTGTTAACTACAGTAGGCGTAATTGGCATAGAGGTGACTGAAAGAATTAGAGGTACATGTCACTATAGGTTTCTACAATAGAGACAGGATGCTTCAAGTTAGGATGTTCTGCTGAGACAGACCTCTGAGATGTTTGGTACTCCTTCCATCTGCACTTCAGTGGAGGACGATATGTCGGGGGCACTGGTGTCCAGGAGCTCCACCGCCAGGCTCATCAGGAGCCGGGCCCGGAAGGAGACTCCTTCCCCAAGGCCGTCATTCAGGTCTTGGTGCTCATCCATCAAGGTGTAGGTCCGCGTGGAGCCATACATGTTCACCCAGGCCGGTCCCAGCGTAGGAAGAAAACCTAAGAAAATAATATGTGAAAAGTATTATTGAAGATATTTCAACTTAATAATCATGATGACATTTTATTGATCTCTATGGAGAAATCGTGTTCTCCATGATACACGTGTACTGTAGGTGAGATCAAGCTTGGCACCTGCAGCGGCACCCGTGGAGCTGCGGGTAAAGGGCCCACAGATGTGACTATTCTACCAAGGCTGGGCTCAGTCTGGTGACCATCCAATCACTGGCAGACAGGCTTGGCCCACCGAGCCACTCGCTGCCCCCAACTTGATCCAAATCAATTGTGAAGCATGACCTCCTTTTACCTTTCTCTCCGTCGTTGGCGATCTTCTGCAAGTCGATGAAATGCGTCCCGATGGCTACATCGTTCACTTTGTCCGAATCACGGAGTTGGAGCTTCATCCTCTTACAGAGCGGCGGAAACTGCTCCGTGAAAATGATTTGTTCGTTCCAGATTGGTTCATAGCTACTCTTTTGTACTGAGGTTTTACCCTGGGCACAGAAACAGAAAGCAGTGAATAAGAAGTGAAGGTGAAACAACACCAGAAGCCTGAGGTAGAGAGTTCAGGTGCAGAAAATAAAAATCCAGACCAAGATTTTGTTTCAACCAACCAGTTGAGTACTCTGTGACTGTGACTCTTTATGCTCAACTGGTTGGTTGAAACAAAATCTTGGTCTGGATTTTTACTTTCTGCACCTTAACTATCCACCTCTGACAGAAACAATTAAGTCTTCTCTTAGTAATGTCTTACCTTGTTCCCTGCAAACTGCACTTGAATATAAGGATCTACCAAGTCTTTATTTTCTCCAATGAAGGCCTTTTTCACGTTGGCCATGATACTGGTGTTCATTTTGGGCAGACCTTCGGCTCTGTAAATCTTCACATAGAATCTGGCCCATTGCCTCTCTGTTGGGACTCCTTCTGGCAGCAACAGATTGCTGAAGTAGAGGGAGACAGCGTACAAAATTAAGTTAAGTGAAGTAATTTTCCAATTTCCAAACTGAATACAGGATGCTTAAAATCATTAGACCGATTTCTAAGTGCATGTGTTCACTGTGTTCCTACGTCGCGTTTAATGAAATTATAACTAATTTTAGCTGGAAGTCCAACATGAGGTAAAATTGAACATAATACAAACACAATTAATATTTCTCTCTTTCCTTGTGACAGGGCATCTACCTTTCTATGTCTTCCTCTTCTGACTCATTGGACTTGTGGACAGTTTTAATGGTGTCACCCTTTCCCACCACTGCGATGTCCACTTTGACGTAGCCCTTGCAGCCAGCTGTGATGTCATCAGGATCGATAAGATAGGCCCACTTGTGGTAGAACTGATGTTCTGGGGAGGTGCAACAGGCACAGACAACAACCTTTGTAATTATATCAAATTCAGACTCAGACAAAAAAATGTTACAAGAAACCACAGTTTGTTTTCATCATACCAGGCTGTGAATATATCGTGCCAACATCCATTTTGAATGTCCCAACCATTGTTCCACTCCGTAAGAGATTTTTTGAATGGATTACCTGATGACAAAGAAGAAATTATAAATTCAGTTTTCAAAATATTATCGTCTTACGCATATACTGTATCAGTATTGTTCAGAGTTCGGAACATTTATTTTTTTTATATATGGCTTACTTACAGAAATTCTTGCGATTTTGTCAAATAATACATCAGGTGGCAAGTGGAAGTCGAAGACAAAGTACTGGAAAGGAACCAAAATGACTATTAACGACCAGGAAAATGCACCGTAATAAACAAGCGTTGTTGTGAAGATTTTCCAGATTAAATGTTCAGAAGACTCCTATTAAATATAAAGACAACTGAGCATTTTTTGCAGTAAATTAACTTGACACATTAGATGCAGTAGTATTTATAAAGTTTATGAATACCATAAAATTATCATTTCGTGACTTAAGCTTTTAGTATCTTTGTGCCCTGTGCTGCCTGGCATAGACTCTAGACCCCCCTAGACTAGGTAAAGCAGATTGAAGATGAATGGATGGATGGATAGATGGATGGATGGATGACCTTTTAATTTCAAAACTGTAAGGCAAGCATCTATTGTGACAATGCTCATTAAATATTACGCTGCCTTTTGAATAAAATGTATTTTCAACATCAATGTTATTGACTTGAGTTAGAATGTAATATATCTTTAGGCTTGTGTATATCTTTTATCTGTTTAATAGATACTTTCTCCTGGATTTAACTGACAATAAGCTTCTGAAAAATGTCTTTGATTGGCTTTTGGGAAAAGTTGCCTTCTTATTCTGGTGTCATGAGGAGATCATGTAGATGGCTGGGTGTTTTCAGATCATTCTGTATCTGTTGGGCTTTCGGTTTTGTTCTTCTGCACTACCTGGTGAAAGGACAAGAGGCTTGTCTGTGTTTCCTGCATTACCTCGTTGTAGTACGGGCAGTTTGTCGATTCCTTCATGGATGTGTATTTCTTCTCATCGCCGATCTCCACACAGACCACGGGATCCATGTTCAAACCCACCAGCTGTTTGGCCTCAATGACCGTGACACTAATCTAGACAGTTAATGACCATGAATCATTATGTGTTATTAATTAGTTCATAATATCCCTCTGATGCAATCTTTCTGATTATAGTGTGATGAACAGTGATTGTTATGGATGGGTTTTATTTTATGTTTTCCTTACTTGGTAATCCATTGGTCTCCCAGCAACTGGCTCCATCTTAATATCTGGCTTTGACCTGTAGAGTATCACCAACATGCAATTATAAATATTGATTTAAATAAAATATTCATTTTGACATGTCTTCCTTGTCACTATGAAAGCCTGTTGTAAACTTAATTAATATTAGACACTATACTGATCCCTGTGGCGAAATTCTCTTTATACCTCCCCCAACTTGCACTCTGTAGGTGAGCAAAGGGCAGCCACCCAGAGCGGCACCCAGGCAGCTGGGAGTTAGGGGCCTTGCTAAAGGACCCACAGATGTGCCAAGGCTGGGCTTGAACCAATAACCATCTGATCACAGGCAAAGAGGCTTAGCCCATTAAGCTATACACTTCCCCCTAAATCATCATTAAAAATATTAATTCTGCATTGAAATTGCACTTTTAGTTCCTTTGAACTAGGGGGCAGCACTGGTTCTTTGGAGCACATCTGGGACGTTTACCTTTTATTGGAGACATTGGTGGTGACTGCCGTTACGGAAGCCAAAGAGATGGTGTCTGGATCCACGCCCTTTCTCAGCGGCATGTCGTCCGTCTCCAGAATGGCAGGCTCATCTGAGAATCCCAGGCAATATGAGACCACGTTTAGTGACTGTTCCGGAACCTACAGGGGGCACTGTGGGGGTGCGGCAGGTCGTTCTTACCTCCCTTCCTATGGTCGTCCTTGTTCCGGGACTTTCCGAGCTTCATGGCTGGGCACGTTTCCTTCTCCGATCTGTAAAGTGGGCAAAAGTACCATGGATATTAGATCTTTGAGAAGTCTGTTAAATCCACGGGAATGAGACTGAGCAGCGTCATTTGAATAAAGCATTAAATCTCATAAATTCAAGGACGCAGTCTGAGTAAACTAAAGTGAAGCTATGTGGAGCAATGTTTCCCAACCCAGTCCTGGGAGACCCCCAGAAGGTCCACAGTTTTACTCCCACCCAGCTCTTTGCCAGACAGTCCACATTTTTGCTCCCAAGCCAAAGCTGGGAGGGAGCAAAAACATGGACTGTCTGAGGGTCCCAGAGGGCCGCGTTGGGAAACACCACTCTGCATACTCCCTGGGAAACACTGATGGAGATTATGCAGAAAGATGTTATGAAACTCTTTGGGTCATATAATATCAGCATATACTGTTTATTGTATCTACTAATTGTAACTACTCTGATAGATACTCTCAGTTATATTCCAGAATAGAGTTAAACATTGTTAGGTAACACTACAAAAAGAAAGTATTCACAACACCTGAGTGATGTCCTTTTCAGGACAAATTCACAAACAAATATTCTGCTCTTCCCTCATATTATTTCCATAACTAAATGATAAACACTAGGACTCACAAAAGCCATAACAAGAAGTTTATTCTGTTGCCACTAATGAACTTTTTTAAATTTAGGATTTGTCTTACTTTTATCTAAATATCTTTATACTGTAACACATTCTTTAACAACAAATTCCATTTTATCACTCACGCAGCATTACTGTAAACAACGTTCGTATATTATTATACTCTAATGTATTTTTGACGGCTGGAAAAATATTTATACTCTCTTGAGGAGTTTGAATGATGTTATAAAATCATATAGAATAAAACATATAATGGAAAACAGTAAAATTAACTATAGTATTGCGCCTAATATACTTTGATGAACAGAAGAACATCGTCTGATTCCACTTAAAATAAGTTTACTCCATATATAAGTTTTGGTTATGTAATGCATTCAAGCGAAAAATAAGGTTTTCAATTATTTAAGCTGCCCTAAAATAATGCATTTCATCTCATATATAGAATCTTTGCTGCATTTACAGAAAGATACTAGTAATATTTAAAATTAAATAACTATATATATGTAATATTTTAAAGAAATGCATTTACATAGTAGACAGAAGAATAGAATAGAATATAATAGAATAGAATAGAATAGAATAGAATGCATGGATATTCCACATTATATCAGAATCAGACTTCTTTCCCCAGGGATACTACATGTCAGAAGAATTTGTTGTGGTGAATTGATTACAGAAAATACAACTATTAAAAACTGAGACAATGCACAAAACCTTAACTTGAGAGGATTTTTAATTGTTTTAACAATTTTGGCAGTCCTTATATGGCCCAAATGATTTATTTCTGACAGTATTAAATGCTACATACAATACAGTTCAATGTTACATTTCAAGCACGATAACTGCCACAAAATAAGCATTTTCTTACCTAAAACTCATTTTTATGTTTAAATTGTCAAACTTCAGTGGCCTTTCTACTGGTTTAGCTCATCATATAAAATAATAAAACATATAAAACAAGTACTCACCATATAAAACAAGCGCTTGCTTCTTATTTTTCAATCCTCCCACGAAAAAAAGTCCAGGAAAGAAACTAAAGGACTTAAAATGTAAAAGATGCTCTTTTTTCTTCCCTTCAAACAGGCTTCTCACTTTCCCATTTTTCAGTTTCCATCATAGAAATCCACAGAAGTCCACAAAAGCAAAACTGGCCAAAAAAGTTGCCCAGGCCAGCGATTGAGCTAAAGTGATATGATACACTAATGCATTGTGCATGAGGCTAAAACTAAGAGCACGACATCCCACTGAGCACCGGGAACACGTCATGGAGAGCTGACCCAGCCAAACTCGACTAACGGCGCTGCTCTGTCGAACCATCGCACCATTTTCAGGTGCGCGTCGATAGATATTGCGCATGGTTCAAAAGGCTGGGCAATGAGAATGAGACAGATTCAGTGTTCTTGGGTAGTCATGCCAACAAGAGGAACCAAATAAAATAATAGATTGGGCTTCCCAGTTAGGAATACAGGGAGTCTTCTGATGCCATCATACTCAACTAATTGAAAACAAACACAGATATGCATATTTTTATTGACAACACTGTTGTGAAAGGAGAATGTACAGATAATGACTAGTCGCTATATGTCACTTATGTGAAGTTTATGTCTAGTATTAGTATTAGTATTAGTAAGTTTAGTATTTTCCAGACCTTTCTATAATGGTAGAGGTATATTTAGTTGAGTGTTTGCAATTTACTTAAAAAAGAAAAAAGGACGATATTGTGTTGGTGTTAGGCACACTTTATTCTACGGAATAATAGAGCAGAATTGAACATATTGGCAAAGGATCAAATATGTAATAATTACATGCTACTATGCATATAAACAGTGTTTCCCTTTAAAGGTAAACACAGAACATTATTTAAAAAGAGGAATAGACCTTTGTAGAGTAATGGGAATGAAGTAAATAGGCTGGATTGATACATGGGAAAGATTAAAGATAATCAAAAATTAATAGGAAAAGGCTTCTGTTTATGTGGGTTTGCAATGAAGGGAGTTAAAGTTTCATTGGGTGGGAGTATTGAGTAGCCTTCCTTGCAACTGCTATTATCAGGTAGCGGTCAGAGATCCCCAATAATGCTAATTACTATAAACCCTTGGAATGTCATTCTAGAGCCAGATATACTGGAATCTTTGCAATCAATGAAAAAAGTACTATGTTCTGCATCAATTGTTTTTTTTTTTCCTTAATTAAAAATATATTGAAAAGTTAATGTTCGGCCCCTAATTCATATAGACAGTTGCCTTAAACAGTGCAATTATCCACAATGTTTAAATTACAGGTCTGTCCAGTTCTGGAGAAGTCAGTGAAACAGAACATTCTTCATGATATTTTCCTCCAAACATAGTTGTAAGCTAGAAGCCAGTAGATCGACACAGAGTGAACTTTGCAATGCACTCCCAGTGTGTGTATGTGTGTGTGTGTGTGTGTACAAGACAGAGGAAGCTAATGAATTAATTGCTAGATACCGTGTGTAGAATTTCGTGTCAGACCATACAAAGGCAAGATGGTCTCAGGTGCCCCCTCTCCCTTTAATTATTGACGTGATGCTGCTCAGTAGAGGACCTCGCTGTTTGCGCTGTGGTCCAGCGTCATGTTCTCTGCTGGTGTGTTGGGTATCTGGATACGTGCAAAATTTCTTCACAAAGAAATCGCGTGTCTCCCACTGAACGAGGCTCTCCACCTTTTATTATTTGTTCTTCAAGAAAACGAAAACATCTCCATAATATATTTCTGCTTAGGCAAAATAAAGAACTGTTATGGGAATTTTTCCCCAAAGATCATTTCACTGCTCAGATTAACCTGGTTTCTAAGAAGACTTGGGGCCAGTTTCCCAAACAAGGATTAAGCCTAGTCTTGGACTAAATTGCAGTATCAATGGAGATTCGCCATTGAAACTCAAAGCTAGTCTAGGCTTAGGCTTAATCCTTGACTGGGAAACTGGCCATTGGTGTATATGTAAGAGTCTGGTATTTCTAGGCCAAGCACAGGTTCATATTGTGTGATGTGAGAGGGTATAATCCCAGTGAAGGACCTCTGGCTCTCATCATAAGAAAAAGTTCTCTCCTCGTTCAGTGCAAGAACATTTGTTTTTGTTTAGCAATTTAAAAGCAAAATTAGACCCATGTTCAGTTCAATACATGTAGCCAGAAGAAGGTACAAGTGGCTGTCAGGGTAATATAAGCCCAGCCAAATTTAATGGGTGGCAAGAAGAGAATGTCCCCCATTATCGCTGCTTCCAAATCCATTACCAGACCATTAAAGTCATAGTGACAATTAAATCATTTTCCAATATGAATTGTTGTAGCTTAGAGTTAATTAGAGGAATGGTTAAGGTTATGTGTTCTGTGCAAATACAATGATGCCAAGACAGCTATAGAAATTTGATCATGGTACATAAATTTTAGTGTTTATAGGTACAATAAATTTGCATCTTCAAAAGAACCAAGCGCTTAACCACAGATGAAATGATTGAATTAATCTGAACTCCAGTTTCACAGGACCCAGAGGTAATTATGATAGCTATAAATGTTCTCATCTGGAACGAGTCCTACGCTTCATGTCAATTAGCTAATTTTTTCTCTGAGCAGATTCCAGGAGCAGAAAACTGCATCACAAAAGTGACTGGCCTAATCATTCCTGTGTGTTACAAATTACTGAATGTTGCCTTCATATGTTCTCTCCAAAACCTCAGGCAGTCTTTTCAAAGTCAAATGAACACCTGGTCTGCGGCTCAGTCTGGGCTAACAGCATATTATTACAGATATACTGTTAGTCTGCTGCCTAATAGTTTATCCTGTAATTTACTATTTACTTTTTATAATTAGTTTACAAGTAACACAAGCTAGAATGGAGCCATACATTTTATATCATTAATGCATTATCAGTACAGGTGATTAGATAAGACTTTTGAGAAAATAGAGAAGTAAGCCAGGCTTTCTTTTAAACACACATCTGAGAATAAGGTTTACTCCCAGACGGTGTTAAAAGCAGCAGCCTTCTCTTATCCTGTTACGAGCATGTGGCTGAGTCACCGGCATGTTGGTTAATTAAGGTCAGAATCTCTCAGGTGGGTCTCTACTTCGCCGTCATCTGTCAGGATATCAGACACCTTCAGTGGGGCTCGCTGCACAGCGTTTTCCGGTAGTGTGCCGGGGGTCTGTTGACGCAACGGACTGAGGTGCAATTAAGGAGACATCAGAAAGTGACTGTTTAGGGTTTAACGTGCAGTTTGGAGGTTCAACAGCTTTAGGTTAATATTGTCTTAGTTTCATTTGCGGGTGCAGTAATAAGTTAATGTATGTCTTGGTCTGGAAAAAGTATATTTAAATGAATTAAATATATTTAAAATATTACTTAATTTGATTTTTATTTATTTCAGTCTAGCACAGATTTTCACGATTTATGGAATAATGTTGGACTGGATTTTATTTTACCATTTCTGATTATTGCTAATATTTTGAGAACAAAAAGCAAATGTACATTAAAATAATAACCACAGGGACACTGGGTTATATCTATTTGAAGAGAGACTATTCAGCAGGTTTGGGACACCTGAGGATTTGTCAGTTGTTAGATGTGATATTGTAGATATAGACTTGCTGGGACAGTAGGCCTATATTCCCATTAATGCTGGCTGGGCAAATATGTGGATATTGAAATTGGATCAAAATTTCTATCAACATTGTATCAACATTCCATCCAGTTACCCCAGAATATGCAAAATATATACACAATACTCGCAAACTCTGCAGGGACTGATGTACGCCAATATGACCCACGTGAACCACAGATGAGCAAAGCCCACACACGTCAGAGACTAATTCTGAGTATAAACCCAGGAACCATGAAACCAGAACAGAGCCACTGTTGATGGTATGTAACATTTTGATATTTTGGGTAGATTTAACAAGTGTCTCTCCAGAAACAGCTCATTCAAGCTTCATGAGTTCTCCTTATATCATTAATAGCGGCATAGTATGTTAATAAAGCCCATTGTTGTTTGTTAAGGATATCACGGCATATCCTCTTCGATCGAACACTCCCCCTGATGTCATCATGTTATTAAAACACCCCAAAGGATGTGGGATCTTTCAGTGGCCCCCCACAATTCACCTGCAACTTCACAGATGCTAATTCACTAGTGCCCTTACTATGGCTAATTTCTCTTTTCATGAATGCCTGAATGATTTATACGCTTTCATTTTATTGCAAAACAGGCTCGTGTTTACTTCGCTAACTGAAATATCAAAAACAGGCCCTAGATCAACATCCCTTAGCCATTTTCACCTTCAGCAAAAACAAAGCCATCCCCTAGAGACACGACAGACCCCTTAGTACAACCAAGGTGGCACTTGCAACACTGACAGGCAGATTTAATTATTTACCTCCATGTTTCATTTGATACTTCTGGCATCATTAAATTTCATTAGCCCACACTCAAAGCAAATGTGTAATTGATGAGATGCTGTGTTTCCTTGTACGTTTTATTGGAAATGGAGCATGAAGGGTTAATATTTTGAAACTACTGGGTAAGATGCATCAATAAGCTCTATAAACAGAATTCACCGCAACTACTAGAGAATTTGTGTTGTGCTGAGTTCACTATGAAGTGTGCATGTGTCAGTCTTGATCTGCAACTCCGGACTGCTAGAAAATGGGTCACTCCTTAGCTGAGATGTAAAAATTGTTTTTCTCATCTCTACATCTACACTCGGCTCTTTATTTTTGTAGCAGCGCAGGTCAAATCATCAATACATATACAGAAGTACTACAAGAATAATGTAAAGCCATTTACTCTTATGTACTTTACATTTTTCATAGAAGACAAAATTATGACATACAAGATAGAAATTAATAAATTAATCATAAACTTATACCAGCTTAGTTTGCCAGAGACTACCTAGGTAAGAAGTGTTTTCTTAAATTATTGATGATGGTTGAACCAAAGCCATGTAGCTGTTCTGATGTTACTGTTTTGTTCTCTGACTAGTAGGTTAGTAAACTACCAAAGGAAAATGTTCTGGTATTTGGCCTTGCTATTAAACAAGATGGAGATCAAACATTACAAAGCTTTTGATTCAATTAATAATAAATATTTTTTCATGCATAGTTTAATAACACTTTCGACATTTGTTAAAAATTAACTTCTTAAAAAATGACAATTTAATTCATGTAGCCATGAATATTATTTTGTGAAAATCTTTTGGAAATGCGATGGTCATGACAGAAACAATAGTTTGACTGTTCTGGCTCTTCAAGAGGAACCCACGTAAAAATATCAAGCCTCAAGCTTTTACACTAGTCCATTTTAAACATTGCATTCCAGCAGTGCATTTGGGAACACTGCAAATCAAAAGCAAATATGCAAAAAATGCATTAAAAATGTAAATGCAAAACAATTCGAGAGTGTATGTTTAAGCATGAAAGAAACAAAAAACTGAGGCCATTTATGTTGTGTTTTAAGTTATTTACGTTGTGCAGCCTGGTTGAATATGCATGAGTCTGCAACTGAGTCCACCAGGAGACTGTGTTTCGGAAGACCATCTGGGGTAAACTATCCCATGGCTCGATACTCACTGTGCAATCTTATCCGTACTCTGTCTGCAGCCCATGTGGATCGATTACAGGGATCTGTGTCTGCCCCAGAGTTTTTGCATGTACGCCACCTGGCAGAAGTGAACGGTATAAGACCCAAGAGTCTCTGCCTGACCCAGTAACCCCTGCTACCGGCCCGCTTTTATAAAAGGACGTGTGAAAGCCTGGCACGTTATCGATTCAGAGACATTTTATTAAAGTTTTACTGTCTTTTTCGTAATCACTTACCTATCGGAGGGCCTATTCCAGGAAACTCTAGGCAAGAGACACCAGGCCATTGCAGGATATGCTCCCCAGGTACTGGTTTGTTGATATCAAACATTTTTGGGCTGAAGGAGGAAACCAGGCACCTGCAAAATCGTCAGTCACTGAGCCAGCAACAGGAATCAAACCTACAACAGGTGTGAGAACACAACTGTACCACAAGTACCAACCTTTAACTGACAAGGCCTTACTGGCAGTTGGATTTTCCCAAGTAGTAGTGCTACAATGAATCCTCAGACTTAAAATCTAAAAATATATTAACCTTTTACTCATCACATTATGTACATCTTACCAGCGAGTTTTAATATCAGCCAGAGTTAGCTATTAGAGAGCGCAGGACAAATTTAAGAATTAAAAATTCGAAGTACAAGAATTCGTGGCAAGACAGATTAGCCTTTGCAGTTGCTCCAAATGCTTATTAATCCTAAACACAAAACAATTTTTTATATGACACCACACGCAAAAACTACAATGTGTCCTGTGGTGCTCTAGATATACAGCATTAATATGGAATGGCTCTTTTAAGGTTTCTTGTCATGTTGTTCACGTGGTAATAATGTTTCATTTAAACTGTACGAATAACTGCTGAAGTGAATCGTATTTGACCGGTTACAATTAAAGCATGTATTTGCAGTATGAAAGTAAACTTACTGTTTCCTCCGAAATCTGTATTGGATAGGTTATTTATAGATGGATGGATGGACAGATGAGTGGAATTTTGGGCTACTGCACCATCTAGTGGTGTAAATAAAACATTGCGTAAGTGCCTAAAATAAAGGAGAACCTTTCATTTGCGCATACGTCAAAGAAAAATCTATATTAATAATTTTAGTACAATAGCAATTCTGGTTTAATATGTTCACCAGAAATATAAACCTATCAATAAGACTTGAAGTTGGCCCCCTAAGATTTCTTGATTTTAGAATTTATTAACTATCAGATAAGCATTAAACTCTAATTTTACGTGCAGTTATTGTGCAATTATATGCTGGACAACAGCATTTCATATATTTATGTGTGCAGGAAAACCCCCAGGAAGCTGACATACTATATTGTCAATGGCGCCTCCTCCTGTACTATATAGGTAACTCGTTGAAAATTGTAAACCACAAATATAACGGGTCTTTGGGGTTGTCTTTATACATTTTATATAAATGTGATTATATATAGCTCACATATAAACAAGTGCAGGTGGTAAGTGATTAACGTTGAAGAAAATCTTCGGCAAAGGTACAGCAGAACTAGGACAAACGACTTGCAGGATAAGATATTCCTTGTTTGGGGACCAGAGAGAACGGTCAGTTATGTACTTATTATACAGTCTACCAGTCTTATTATACATTAAGTGTTCTCTGGCTTCCGGATAACTTTGTTTTTCCACTAAACAAAAGGAACTCTGCTTCTTAAACGTCGATAACAACAGGAGTATCTGTAAGCACAGGGAACTATGCCAATGGTCTCACAAATGCAGAACACTAACATAACTCGGTTCATTTGTTAGTAGTTACATATTACAAGGAAGTAACACATAATTAATGTGATCGTGTCTTCGTGAACGCAACCAGATGTTCAGTACTGTATAAAGATTGCAATATGGATTCCCATACCTTGAAAGATCACATCTAATTTCAACCATAGTGAAGCCAAAAAAAAATAATGCTATTACTATGGGCAGAATGAGCTTCAATTTACAAATCAAAGCCATTCAACATAATTTAATTTCGGGGAATATACGTGCAAGTTTTTTCGCCCATTCTCATTGGTGCAGAGGTCATCGTAGTCAGGAATGTTTCGCTTCTTCTCATTGGTCGATCGAGTAGCGTTGTCGTTTACGTCACGCAAAGAGGCGGGCTCAGGGATGCTTCTTGAGAAACCATCGTAACGGCCTGTTTACCTCCGTTTCTGCATTAGTTTTGTAGCACTAAATATGACAGTATTTTACCCCTTTCCTGTCGTTGATTAACGGTGGTCAGTGCAAACAAAAATGGATGCACGAAAACAATGTAGATATTCAGGTATGTGCTACTATAGTCCCTTAAAATAGGTGCTGACTAGTGTGGTACGTTAGGGGTTACGCGTTTAATCATCGCTTTTGAGTGGCACGAGAACAATTCTTTTTTGATTTCCTCCGTATTTTACTGAATTTTTATTTCGACGCTGTACTTTTGTTGCGTCTGATTAACTAAACAAGTACATTTGCTTATTATAACATGTCACGCCATTAACTTTTCTAATAGCAAAGACCGAAGGACAATGCTTATATAAAGGCTAAATACATTACATTTAAATGCGATATTATAATGTTGTAAATAACGACGATTTAAAGTAAATCGAAGTGTCTTTAAAGTACCGCATGGTAACAGTTTTCTTGACTATTTCGTTTTGCTACATATTGGAAAAAATATGCAGAATCACTGGAATATCAGAACAATGTTCTGCAAACGTCAAAGTTACAGCTCTCGAAATAATAATCGAATTAATTCTCATGAAAAAAACGACAGTAGATGCAGTTTTACTGTATTACATACATGGGTCTTATCTCGTATATCTGTTCTTTTTCAGCTGATTCTTGGATGAGAATAATTGATTTTTTATATGCAGTATGAAATTCTTCCTAAGACTCAAATATGCCAGCTGGTAAGTGCGATTACTTAAGCATTCTGCTTTAGAGTTATTCTTCTACAGATCTGTGTGTCAGACTGTTAGCAAGATCATATACAACATGATTAAATTAGGAAGATCAATTCCTGATTAGTTTTGTTAGTTAAATATGAAAGAGTACAGAATTATAACTTAAATTTAAAGCCTACTTCTTATAATGATGTCTCATAAAGATATTTCGCATTGCATTAAATGCTGCTTGTGCGGGGTTTTGGGGTTTTGTAAAATATGTGAAAGGACATTTCAGTCTTTTATTTTGCTCAAGGGGAGAGTGAAGCCAGAGCAAAGACTAAGGCCAGATTTGATGAAGTGCTGAAGAGGTACACCGATGCTCCAGCAGAGAAAAAGAAATCAAAGAAGAAGAGCAGCCAACCAGAAGAGAGTATAGCGGTACATAGGACCATGTTGAAAGAGCAAAAGCTATAAAGCCCTCATACATGTCTAAAAAAAAAAAAAAAAGCTTTAACCTTTGTACAAGTTTTGCAGTGTTCCGTAATTATTTTAGTGGAATTTTATTTGGTATCCCGACTGAGTGTTTGTGTTCTCCTTCAGCTTGAAACCTTGAAGAAAAACCTTGGCCTTAACAAAGGTACAGAAGATGATGAGACCATCCTCAAGAACACATACCAGCCTGATCAGAGCAGTCCACGCTACACCAAGAACAGGCTGCGGGAGAAGGAATTGTCAGAGAAGGTCAACAACGACAGTGAGGTGCCAGAGGGCGGTAAATTATCCCGGGGCAGGAAGAAGGGCAAAAGGGATCTTCCGTTACCCCTGCCTGAAGGTGATGTCTCCCACCCCATCACCCGGGCCGACGAGGGTGGATCCAGGTCCACCCAGGTGGCTATTCTGAAAGCCGTTCCGGAAGGAGAGGAAGCCCGAGGGAGGAAAGTGGGGAATGAAAAGAAGGGGAAAAGGAAGGGAAAGCGGGAGGATGGAGCACGGGAACGGCAGGTGGAGGCAGACGACGAGCTCCTCCAGGAGTACCAGCAGCAGATTGCCCGGGAGGAACAGCGGGCCGGGAAGCTGACGTCGAGCAAAAAGCCTCCTGCCAGGAGGAGTAGCCCCGAGCAGGAGGTGGCTTTGAACAATGACAGTGAAAGGAAGAAGATGAAGAAGAAGCTGAGATCACAGGAGACCGGGGGGGATGCAGGGTAACATGGGAAAAGGGCGGGATACGGAAGGCTGAAGCCTCTACAGCCTCTCAATGTTATTTTTGATGCTATCAGTGTTTTTGAATTTGCTTTACAAACATAAAAAAATATTTTATATACCCTCCTGAGATCCAGCAATTCATTTTTATCCTCTGTAGAAAATATTCTGTTTTTGCTCATACCTCATATGCTACTTATTAAGTTCTCTTAAAGTGGACAGTTAGGTCTTCAAGATGACATCACATGTCATGTTTTAGGGTGTGCGTTTTATCATCCCTACACTTATGTTAACAAAAAAACTTTTTTCCCCTTAATCTCAGGAGGATGTGGCTGTAATGCTAGAGATGAACAAATGTATGGCATGAGGTTTTAGCTATTATTTAATTTCTAGTGGACATCATGAATTCAATGTCAGAATGTGAGCAAGGGCAGCGTGTGGCTCCATGGGCTAAACCTTTGTGCCTGTAATCAGAAGTTCACTGGTTCAAACCCAGCCTTAGCATATCTGTGGGTCCTTGAGCATGTCCCTTAACCCCCAGCTCCCTGGGCACCCCAATGGGTAGCTGCCCTTCATGGGCAACTTTACAAAGAGTGAGTTGCAGGAGGTGTAAAGGCAGTTTCCCTCCAGTGATCAATAAAGTATCGATTGTTATTATTAACTAGTTACTATGCAAAATCTAGTTATAAGGTGTATGTCTGATATCTGAAATTCTACTTTATTTAAAATGCATATTATTGATATCAGAAATACTGTTTTAACTAGTAACAATGACAGTTCTTTATTGGAAATTCCCTTTTCACTAGTGAGATTGAAAACGTTTTTGTCATTCATTTCAGTAGGAGTTGGAACTTGTTTAAGTTGTTAAAAATCCTGTGCATTTACGTCACTTATGGTTTTACCATTGTGTGTTTTCTCATTTTTTATTTGTATAGATCAGGGCTGGAAACCCAACCAGAGGATGCCTCCAGGAAGCACCTGACCAAACAGGTGATGGTTTCCTTAGACGCAGAGAGAGAGGGATCGAGGGAACAACCGATAAATGAGGAAGAGCAGACGGGGAAAACGAAAAAGAGGAAAACCAAGGGTATGTGTCTCTGTGGGTGGTGTTCACAATGGATATAATTGTTATAAACAGCAAAAGCTAGAAGAACGTGGGATTTTGCTAGAAAATTCATTTGAATGGTATATAATTCAGTTTAATTTGTATGGGGCATTTCAGCAACATCACGTTTTTGTCAAAGCATTTTACATTTTCCTTGCCTAATGATCCCAGAGAGCAAGTCAGAGGTGATGGTGGCAAGGAAAAATTCCTTAGTAGGTAGAAACCTTGGGAGGAACCAGACTCAAAGTGGGAGCCCTTCCTCCAGGGGGCAGCAGAGGAAGTCAGATTAACAGAGGTCTGTTTTATATACTCCGATTTAAGTCTAGTTGTACATGCAGAATCACTGTTAGGTGAGTGCAGTGTGTAAGCACTGGCAGATATGGGTTTAGCAGCATGAGTAGGAGGGAGAGGCAGGTGGGAGTGCAGGCATGGGGAGTCCCTGAAACGTCAGCACTCCAGTTCTGCAAGGGAGTGTGAAGCTAGAGTGACAGCACTGACAATACAGTTCATCCAAAGCTCGGCACCTCACACTATAGGCCTGGCTGGGGGTGAGCTAGCTAGAGCTAGAACTAGAGTCCCTATAAGCTAGACTGAACAAGTGTGTTTTTAGTCTAGAACTGAATATTGAGAATGAGCCTGAATCCTGCACATCTGTTGGAAGACTATTGCACAGCTGCGGAGCTCTATAGAAGAACGCTCTGCAGCCTGCCGTAGTTCATTCTACTCTAGGTACTGATAAATATCCTGTGCCTTGAGATTGAAGCAGACGAGGTGGGTTGTATAAGATAGACTTCAATATGTTTTAATGTTTAATGTTTTAATGTTAATTTTAAGACAATGAAGGAAGTATTTACCATTCAGATTTGTTTTCTGTCTGCTGGCAGCTGTGATAGAGGACAGTGAGGTAGAAAACAAGGAGCCTCCTAAGCCTGTTTTCGACGACAGTCTGGTGCTGGGGGTCTATGTCCACAGGACAGACCAACTCAAGACTGACCTGCTGGTGTCACATCCCATGGTGAAGGTCCACGTTATTGATGAGGTCACTGGGAAATATGTAAAAAAGGAAGACAGGTACAGAAGAGGAATCCCTTCTGTTTAAGCCTTTGCAGACACATTTTGTAACGTAAGATGTTTATTTACAGTCTTTCTTGGTTTCTGTTTCTTGTTTCCACAGTCATCGCCCAGTCTCGTCTTTTTACGAGCAGGAGAAGGTGGAACATGTTCTGCCTATCATGACCCAACCGTACGATTTCAAGAAGAACAAGTCGACAATTCCAGAGTGGGAGGAGCAAATCATCTTCAACGAGCGATTCGGGTACTTCCTCCAGGATGACAACGAAAGTCCAAGAGTAATTCTGTTTTTTGAGGTGAGGAGTAATAAATTAATTAATGTAATACATGCTTTTTTTCTTGGAAACAAGCAAATAATAAATAATTCTAGTACTGATATGTGTAATGGTTATTGAAAAAATTCCTAGGTCCTTGATTTCGTAAGTATGGATGAAGCCAGGGCCAACGTTGTAGTAGATGAGCACGAACGGGGTTTCCGGAAAATTGCTTGGGCATTTCTCAAGGTACGGTCCATAGCTGGCGCTTTATTAATAATGATAAAATAACAGAAAGTGCTGCATGCCTGCAATAACAGTGAAACTCTTCAGCCTAGCCCCACTTCTGTCTCTCACAGCTTGTGGGAACAAACGGGGTCCTGAACGTGGACAGTAAGCTCCGCCTCCAGCTCTACTGCCCCCCTCCCAGGGTGAAGAAACAGTCCCACAGCGTGGAAGTGGTTGAGTGGTGGAGGAGGTACCCCAGGAGCAGATATGCGTCTACGCTGTATGTCACCATAAAAGGCCTCAAACTTCCTGAACATGTGAGTCCACCTCCATGTCTGTAGTGAGACCTTCGTTTAAAAAAATGAATAGACTTGTGCGCATGATGCTCCTTCATTATAATTTCAGTTCTATTTAGTATTTTATATAATATATGGTACTTTTTTTGATACTTTGGGTTTCAAATGAAGCTATGTGATTCACCTTATAGTAAAAGGCCTCGAGGCAATGAAGTAATACATATCAGATATTGCAACGACCAGGAGAAACATTCATCTCAAAATCTTCTCAAATTTTAGTCTCTTCAAAATAGCCCCCTTTTGCTTCGATGACAGCATTGCAGACTCTTGGCTTCCAGATGTAGCCACCTGTAATGCTTCTCTTGTGTTTCCACGATTTCTGGGCACAAATTGGCTACTTTGCTCTTACTCTTCGATCCAACTCATCCAAGAGCAGCTCTATAGGGGTTAGGTCGGGGATTGTGGGGGGGGCCAGGTCATCTGTCACAGCACTCCATCTCCCTGCTCGTTCACAAGATAATACTACATAATGTCGAGGCGTTTCTAGGGTTGTTATCTTTTTGAAAAACAAATGATTTTCAGCAGGTGTGTCCAAATTTTTGAATGGTACTGCATGAGATTGCTCAACTGTTTTTTATGATAATTTTGCCAGTTTTGTGCTTGTCCGGTTGATTGACTGTCTTTGTCCCCTTTTTGTTGTCCCAGGTGGACCCCAGTGTCCGCTCCATGACGGCCTTGCAGCAGGAGAGGGGTACCACCTTGTTCGGTGACCCCCACAATGATGTCGCCCAGAAAAGCAGCACCCAGCTACTTGAAGATCAAGCTGACATTGTGAAGTGGGGCAGGGTGCCGGGACAGGTGAGGTGCACTCGGAGTCCCCCTATCGGCAGGCTGCTTTAAATCTGAGCTTGGCCCTCGGAGTCCCCCTATCGGCAGGCTGCTTTAAATCTGAGCTTGGCCCTCGGAGTCCCCCTATCGGCAGGCTGCTTTAAATCTGAGCTTGGCCTCCCTGAATTAAAGCATTGTTAATATATTTAACTTATGGGCTGACCTTTCTAGAGCCTGATCTTTTGAGAATGAAGTTTTAAACTAACATTAACTAACTAATCAATTAATATGATTTGTCAGGGACCATAATGTGACCAGGCTAACTAAACCAGTCCTTCCACATGAAATGAGCTCTCACAGGGATATTTTTAGCTTGTCTCAAACAGAACCCATTTTTACACATAATTATTTCTTAATATTCCATGTGATTGTTTTTTGAACTGTGTACATTTTAGTTTTTTGCACTACATTTATTTGTTTTCACTGTCTGTACTTTTTGCACTGTTTTGCATTATAAGGTACCAGTTTGTACCTTTGCGGGTACATTTAATTGTCACTGTGGCTGTACCTTCAAGGGTCTGCAAATTATACCCTAGCTGTAGGTAAATGGAAATGGACTTTGAGAAACATTTTTGTGCCATTGTGGGTGCATTAATGTTGTTTGTGTCTTGCGGTACCAAACTGTACTAGGGCTGCACCCTTTATTTCTGGCTTGCATATCCTGCTGTTGCATACACAATATTTTTTCCCCTGTGGATCAATAAAGTTTATCTAATGTAACCATTTAATTTACGTAATGTTATTTTTTGTGCAGTCTAGGTTAGGTGTTCCCAACGGACATCAAAAGTTTGGGAATGCCTAGTTTGGGTGATGATAGACCCAGACTACAGCCGTAGACCTTTGTCTTTTTCTTTAACCCCAAAAGGTCTGTCGCATTCCCAACAAGCCCATGCTGTCCTTCCGCGGCGGTCAGATGGGTTGTTTGGTGCTGCGCTTCTCCCATGCCGGCCGGAGGCTTGCAGCCGCCTGCGCAGACAGGGACGCCTTCCCAGTCGTGGGTGCGTCAGCTATCCGTCCCGCTCGAAGTCTTAAATTCAGCCTCACTCATTTTTTAAACATCTTAACATGATGTCATCATGATGTTGTGCTTTTTCTTCCATCTCAGTTTACGAGATTCCATCGGGCAAAGTCCTGGCCGCTTTCAATGGGCACCTCAGCATCGTGTACGATGTCTGCTGGTCCAGGGATGACCAAAGCCTTTTGTCTGCTTCTTCTGATGGAACCGTCAGGTGAGGATCAATAGCTCTGGAGAACCTGGGAGTGAGATATTAGAAATTACTTATTTATTGCTTACACAGCAAAATATGGAAACTGTGTCTGGACAAATACTTTAATCATCTCCTAGCTCATGATGTATATTGAATGTCTACTTTTGCAGAATTTGGAATATGGAGAGGCTTCGTGGTGTGGCCAAGAAGATTCTGCCCCATCCTTCCTTTGTGTACTCTGCCCAGTTTCACCCTGTTGGCCAGAACCTTGTGGTAACTGGAGGCTACGACTGTCTCATCCGTGTGTGGGACCTAAATGTTCAAGACGTCAACGGTCAATTGCTACATGAGTTTGAGGGGCACAAGACGTTCATTAATGCCTTGTGTTTCGAAGCAGAAGGTATGGCCTGTTGTTGAACATAGCTTTTTTCATTATTGGTATATTGATACTTATGAAGATGTATGTGATGGTGTAGCATGGCAATAGCGTTGTAGGTCTGTGGTGGAGTTTGCATGCTCTTCCTATTGTTGTGTCAGTTTAATTTTCTCCTGCAGTCCAAAAATATGCAGTTATATGAATTGGTCTCTTTTAAATTGTCTGAAGGATCTTTGTGGCTTATGATGGATTTTCTAACAGCCAAGGTATTACCCTGTCTTCTGCCCTTTGCATCCTGGGATATGCTCGAAGCTCACTACAGCCCTCTCCTGGAGGAGTGTTATACAGTCATCGATATGTATGTGTCCGTTTTGCACAGGGCTGCGGTTGTTTTCAGCGGACAGCGCTGGCTTGCTTATCGTGTGGAACATGCCAGTTGGCGATGGCTCCTATCAGCATCCGACGCGGCTCTGGAACATCGAGAGGGTATGAGAGAAATTCTAAGAGGTTGCAGACTGGAATCTCCCTTTTTAAAATCACAATTTGTGCTGTGAGCAGTGTCCTGACTAGACTCTGAAATGATTGCAGTAAGTAGTTGCAGTAAATTTTAGTGGAAGATATCTTTCTAAGAATCTTAGCATGGTGTTTTATTTAAGAAATGGATTAATGTGTATTTTTACCTTTCAGGAGATAATGGAGAGTGATCTCAAGGGAATTGCCATTAACGGACTGGAGGTCCACCCAAATGGACGTCGCCTCCTGATCCACGCCAGAGACAGTGTTCTGAGGGTCATGGACCTCCGAATGTAAGTATTCAGACATTATTAGGAGTTACTGTTAATCAATGGCATAGGAGAGTTTGATATTGAAGGGGGGCAGAACTTATTAATATAAAGCCAAAAGGGGGGAAAGGGATGACTCAAATTAAATATTGGGGGATACACTTCCCTCCCCAGTTCCTACACCCCTGCTGTTAATGGACTGATGCTAATTGAAGTTTGCGGTTTCACAAGCAGCTTGGATAACATAAGGGCTATTAGTGGTTATTAGTCTTGGTTCATGACAATCAAGAGGCTAATTTCTTCTGAGTAATATAATAAATGTTTTGTTACTATTTAAAATTGGTAGACCTTCTTGTACGGTGCTTTTAAGTGCACCATACTTTATATTTTAATGTGAAAGTCTGACATTATATTCAGTGATGCTGTGTGTGTGTGCATGTGTGTGCATGTGTGTGCATGTGTGTGCGTGTGTGTGTGTGTGTGTGTGTGTGTATTTGTGCTTCCAGACTGGCAGTAAAGAAGTACACAGGTGCCACAAACTACAGAGAGAGGATCCGCAGTACTTTCTCTCCCTGCGGAAGCTTTGTCTTCTCAGGAAGTGAAGACGGCATGGCCTACGTGTGGAATGCAGAGACAGGTGAATATTTTCCCCGAGAGCCTTCCAGACTGATCTCCAGCGCTGTCGCTCTAAGTTAATGCCATGTGTAACTGTTGCTGTGGTTTGGATGTGTGTTTTACATCTCAATTGCCTTTAAATCCCAAGGAAAGATCTTCCAAGTGCTTTTCTGGACTGTATTGTTTTGTTTCAATGTTGCAAGTCACGTTATGCTGTACTGTCACATGATGTCATACTGTGCGGCTTTTTTTGTTGTTTTGCTGACTGTCAGCTTACCGCTGTGCTCCCACTGTGTTCCAGGGGACCAGGTGGCCGTGTATTCTGAGCTTTGTTACCCCACCCCCCTCCGAGATGTAGCTTTCCACCCCCATGAAAACATGGTCGCTTTCTGTGCCTTTGGAGAAAGCCAGCCTGTGCATGTCTACATCTACGACCGCAAAGGTGACCTTTGGGGTTTTAAAATTTTTGTTTGTTTGTCTTATTTATTTTGTTAGTCTGTTTATTGTTTGTTTTAAGTTTAAAGAGCATCATCCATTCTACAATTCATCAGGATATTAGCATTACGATTTGCATGAAATGCTGCTAAAATTGGATACTATAATGTCAAGTATGTGTCATGTGACATTTTTCAAAATTAATTTTTGAATCATTCAAATAGTACATTGTAATTATTTTTTTTTAACTAATAATGTAATTTAAATCCCTGTGTTAGAACTAATCATAATGGGAAAATGGGGATTTTGGCAGCGTGATTTTACAAGTTGTTAAATTTCAGTTGCTCAAATGGAGGTGGAGAGATTGAAAGGGCTGAATCGGTGTGGGACAGCTGACAGGAACACGCTCAGGGATGTGGCGGATCTGCCGGCTCTGATGGACCCCGCCTCATCCGCCTCATCTGCCCTGGATCGATTGGCCAGCGCCACGCGCATCACCCTGAAGATGCAGCACGTTAAACAAAAGCTCGATTCCGTGCTGGTAAGTCATCATGCCGCAGGCTATCGCTTTGGCCTGCTAGAATAGGTACCTGGAAGTGGATGGCATAAGCATTTCACAGTAAAGTACTTGTTTATTCTTGTAACAGCATGGGAATGGTTATAGTGGATTGCCAAACATCTCTCCGTAAAGTATCTAAACTCTGTAATCTCTTCTAGAATTCACATCAAAATCCTTCAGCTTTGGACTCCTACGAGCAAGGTATTCAGTTGTGAATATTTCTGTATTTATCATGGTAACCAGTGTGTTTTCATTGCAGTTAAATTGTTTCAATTGAATTGTATTGCATTTTTTAATATTTTCTTTTAAGGATATCCATTCCTCTCTATTTAGAAATGTACTTTTCTGCTGTGTGTCACTGTAATGCCTGACCTGTCCTTCTCTGTCTCTGCACAGGGGGAGTTTCTGCCAAGGGGAGGAAATCGCTTCCGGAAAGCAGCATTCTCTTTCACACGGTCAGCTCCTGAATACCTCAACTGTCACTACCAACCTCCACCGTTATCTCAGTCATGCAGCTTTAATGCCAGACTGCAGTGAGAAATAGTGCTTTCACTTTTTTTAAGTGACTAAATATGTTGCCTTTCAGGAAAATGTACAATGGTAGTTTGTTGTTGCGGATGAGTTAAAACGGCTGATTTTAACAGCAGTAATGCGTCATTGTAGCGGTGTCCTATTACATTATGTTATCTCTCATTCCCCTCTGACTTGTGTGTTCATTTGAGTCTTTGCACTACCACCTGTCACTTTACTGCAAATTGCACACTTTTTATGGATATTTATGATTTTTGTTTAATATTTCCTCTTTATGTCCCCTGTTTCTCATTCTTGGAGCTAGGAAATCAAGCATTTCACTACACATTGTTCCGAGTATACTTGTGTATGTCATAAATAAAACATTTTATTGCTTGATTGCTTGATTTTGCAGCTGAGCTCAGATCTCTCATTTCCGGCCCCTTCTTTGCTGTCCCCTCACTCCAAGTTGCGAGCTTCTGGACCTTCTCTCGTTCTGCACCCACCTCTGGCCACCAGCACTCGTAAGTACCACCACTGATTTGACTGCACCTGTCCGATTCAATCAGCAGGCACCTGCATAAATGCAGGGTTATCAGGTTACGTCACTTAAGTAGAACTCCTTCAGTTTAGCTTGTCCTGTTTTGTCCTGCCTTTTTAGGTTAATATGTTGGAATAACTTTTTTTTTTCTCGATGTTAATCTGGTTTTCATGTTACCCACGATTGGATCCAAGAGAAACTGAGAGTTAACTTATTCCCAAAAGACACATTCAACGTTTAATCAGTAGCATTTTATTTCTTTTATTTGATGTTCTTCATTTATTTGATCGTACAGTGTAAAAACGCCGGCTACTTGAATGGTATGAATAAGTTACACTGCCACACATCTGTGATAATTAGACGGTAATGCTACTGTTAAAGATTAATACAGTTCTCACATCCAAATGATGACGTGGATAAAACTGAAGTTTCATATATTCAGGAAAAATAATATAATATTGGAAAATGTCCTATTGAGCATTGAGTATCAACTCCCATCCTGTGTTTCGAGATTTTCCACCATCCCTCCATCTATCACATACCATGCAAAGATTTTCCCATGAGACAGTTCCTCCCTGGCGTGGGTTTGCTGGAATTCTGGATTCAGTTCTGCAGATGCCGTCATGGGGTTTAACCATTCCTGTATTGACAGCCCTGCAAGTGACTACATGTAGATTTCCTTTGACATCTTGCCAGTTTCATGCTTCATTCATAGAAACCTGCCCGAGTCAAACCGGCTGCATATATTGACAGCAAGCATTTGAAAGTGTTTTGGAAGAAAATCTCCCCTTGGGATCGTCCCTAACATCCCAGTCAGTTTCCTTTTTTTAAGGAAGCAAACATTCTCATCAGATAACTTGATGTAAAGTCTGATAATGAAAAATGAGATAGCAGACCTTGAAAGTCACATTCAGTCTCTTAGCTGCCAGAGGCTTAATTCTTTTGTATGAACTGTATTGAAATTGTCCAACCAGCAGAATGTGAGGTGTGAGAGTGTTACGTGTAACTTGGAAGATTCAACATAAACATCATAATGTGATTTATCTCTTTCTTTTTGGTATTATTTCTTGACTTAAACAATAAAAACATGCAGTATGTTCTTAAAAGCAGAATATTGGCCTGTTTGGAATTTATTTCAGAAAAGACCACTAGAGGGAGAGAGCACATTGTTTTCCTTAGTCTTGTCCAGAGGTGGATAGTTCAGGTCCAGAAAGTGAAACATAAAAATCCAGACCAAGATTTTGTTTTAACCAACTGTTGAGTATAAAGAGTCGGAATACTCAACTGATTGGGTGAAACAAAACCTTGGTCTTCATTTTCACTTTCTGTACCTGAACTCTCCAACTCTGCTCTTGTCTCAATGTGCATCTTATCTATGTCAGGTGTTTCCAAATACCTTTGTCCTGCAGGCTTTATAGAATGCATTTCTGTTTTTGTGTATCTGGTGACACGTCTTTTTATTCCGAGGGGCTTCGCTTGGATCCATAAAACCAAGCGCTTAGTATTTTGACACTTTTCTTCTTGCAGAACTTATAAGAAATTTTTTATAAGACTTTGTGATTTTGATAGTGAAAATTCATCTGTAACCATGTTTGTATTTGTGTCAGGCGAGAGATGTTTCATTTCACAAGATGAAACTGTAGCCTTACAGTGAGAAGCTTTGTGGTAATACAGTGAGTGTACATTACAGATTCATGGTTTCTAATTGATTTCTGTGTTGTTTTTCCAGACACAAAAATACTTTTGTTTCTCTGTGAAATATTTTCTTGACACTCATATGTGAACTCCACCTCACCCTAAAAAGTTCTGTTTTGCTGAGATTTCCGGTAAATGGACAAACCTGTTTTTTTTTTGTCGCATTGGGGTCAGATGAGCATGCACTCATTGCAGTTTTGCACAAGACCGAGCTTGTCCTGTCTTTGCAGGAATTGTCTATAGTGCTAGAGGGACAAAATCTATTACATATTCTTATACTGTGTGACTCATCACAGACACACACAGGGTATTATTGTGGTAATAATCTGTATTTTAGTTTAGGTTCAGGGCAGGCTAATCTTTACATTGCATTGTGCATAGCTCAGTAGGATTTTTTATCTTGAATACATGTCATGATTCAATCCTTAATGGTTAGGGAAGTGCACTTGTAATTGAAAGATCGCAGGTTCGAATCCCCGACCAACAAGGCACCAATGAGGTACCCTGAGCAAGGTACTGCCCCCAAGCACTGCTCCCCGGGCGCTGAATTAGCTGCCCCCTGCTATGTCACATTGTCCCATATGGGTTAAATGCAGAGAACACATTTCGTTGTTGTGCACTGTGTGCTGTAGTGTGTCAACAATGACAATTAATCACTAAATTCTAATTCTAATATTGAACACAAAAGTTTGATATCAAATTGGTTTTGTATTACAGGTAACACAGATAGATATTACTGTATTTGTAAACGCACACCGTGACTTTCTTTTGTCTCTTGTAGTAGCTTATTGTCTTTTGTATCAGCCTAATTATGTTGCCTTCCTCTCTTTTTTGGCACAGAAGGATTTAGCCCCATAGGTCAACGTTTGAGCCAGCCGCTATCTCCACGGCTCCAGACGGTAAGGAAGACGTGCCGAATTCTCCTTGGGTTTATCGTGGTATTGTGTAGGGACGCCCAGAAATGGCATCGCTGTGGCCATTGGGAAGCCTAGTTGTTGTAGAGTTGCAGAAGTGCCGTGAGAGTTCAGTCATGTTATGATGGCTACCGTTACGGATGCGGTGATCTGCTATGAGCGCCAGACGAAGTAATGTCTGTCGGGGAGCCCAGCTAAAGCGTGCGACATATTTCACACTGTGACAAAACCAAAGCTCGCCTGAAAATAAAATAAAACAAAGTGAATCGATGGCTGGGCGCCAAAAAAAAAAAGCACGTCAATGCAAAATCTGTGAATCCGACGAGGGCTTTGATGCACGGCTTTAGCAAGAGTGAGAGCACTGACTTGAAGCTTGGGTCAGCATCGAAGGGCCCCTGCTTCTTGTCAGAACCAATATGACGCGCTAAAGCAAACAAGCCTAAAAGCCCTTCTGCTGGATCCACACAGCGCATCACATGCCCTCAGTTCCTGTGAATTTCAGACTGAACAGCAAAACCCATTGAATTAAAACCTTTCCTTAATGCAAATCACAAGAACTTTGGCAACAGAAACTACAATAGCTATACTTTCATTTTTCTCGACCAGAAATAAAAAAAAAATGATTTGCCTCAGCGCAGAATATGGAGATGCAGTTGTAACCATTACACCTGTGTCACTTTGGATAATAGTGTCTGCTGAATATGTACACGTAAGTACTGTGACAAATGCATGTACAGAGATACACTATGCATACTTCATAGCGCATTAAATATAAGCTTTCTACTTATAAAAATCCTTATCGTAGTGTCACTTGTAGGAGAAACTGCTATTTTCTATGATTGAGCAGGTTCAACTAACAACTTAAGCTGTTTAGAAATGTACAGCGGATATTTTATCTAGGAATGAAATAAACCTTTTTATAGTCACTTAATTGGTAGTTTCTAGCAAGTGTTTTTCTTCATTCCAGCTTGCACTCTCCTTTTTTATAGTACTTCGGATGATTATGGAAGATTAGAAACTTGAAAAGGTTAGGGAGTCTTTCTCTTCCATTAAATAATGCAAATTGTTTAATAAATCCAGTAGATCTCAGTATTTAGGAATGTTGTTTAGCAAGTCATGGCAAAGGAATAATACAATATGTTTGCAAATGTTGTTTAGAGGAGAACATATGAATTAAGCTCTTCCAATACATATAGATATTAATGTCTTTTCATGAGCTAAAAGGATTTTTTGGAGAAGCAGTTTGGCTCTTTGATTGCTGATGTGCAATGTGATTTCCTCTGGAAGCTTTTTATGATGAAGAGCAAAATGAATAGTTTTTCTGGTGGGTGGAATTCCCCTATAAACACAGCATGTCACCTGAGGAAAATATGCCACTGTGTTATAGTGAATAAAATGTGAAATTGCAAGTTGGGCGTTTGTCTGGCGAGAATAAGCTAATGCAGAGCAACCGTTATACCACATAGAGCCATTCAGTTGGGCGTATAAGAAATCATTTCTCCCTCATTTGACATTCCCCCGTTTTCTGTTGGCAAAGCTAATATCTTTACTTGTGATGTAAATCAGACTTTTCGATGCGGTCTCGGGCCTCCTCAGCAATGATACTTTGCAGCCAGAAGATCTGCAGAGTAGCACTTGATCCCACCAATTGTTGCCTTTTATGGAATTTGGTTAGCCCCGCCCCCCTTCAAGTCCCCAGATGATGGTGTTAAACTGTGAATGGTTTGCCAAAGTTGGAGAACCTTCAAGAGCCAATGCAAGTAGCTCTTGTACTTAAATTCTTGCTTCTCATTGCCACTTACTGGCCATTCATTTGTATGCTTTGTGGGTGTCGGTTTTCCCCTTCGAGTTCTCGTGTGTGTGTGTGTGTGTGTGTGTGTGTGTGTTTCTGCACACGTGCGTGTGTCAGATGCCACTCGTCGACCTGTTGCGGCTCAGGAGAAATGACTCACCGCGTGGTGATGGTGAATAGAGACCAGGCGTGTATCTCTCTCCCCACGCCTTTGCTTCACCCACTGAATATTTCTCACATAAGCCATCTTTGTCTGCAGAATCAAAATAAAAGATAAACACGTTTAAGGCAACGTAATTAATTGACACTCCAGTACATCGCCCAAATTGATCACAAGTAAGAGCACATCTCGAACCAGTAACTACAGGGAATATATGCTGTTGTTTATGGGTCAATAATTATTGTACCTTTTTTGGGCTAATGATTCATCTTACTATGGGATTTTTCATGCGTTTTGAAAATAGGAAAAATTTTAAAGTAGATAAGCCTTTTACTGTTATTTAGAAAGCTTCAGTTGAAGCTAGATGATAACTGATCATAGCTGGACATACTGGTTGTTTGCCTTTATTGCATTACATGTTTTAAAACAAAATTTGTGTTTTTGGTGAGGTAGTACTTTCTTTTTCATGCCACTTCCTGCTTTTACTCATTTTTTTCAGTCATTACTTTAAGTTCCACTGTTCAAAGCCAGATTTCTGTCAAATCTTTGCATACAGACCCAATAAAAAATGGTGATTCCTCTCTTAATTGTTTTTATTTAAATGTGTTTAACTGATGTGTATTTCAGTATTGATCCTTCATGTTTGAGGACTGAAAAAACATCCCTTTTAGGAATATCACATTTAGTGGGAAGATGGCTTATGAGTGTCTGCATCAAAAAAAAATGTTTTTGACTGTATGTGGGAATGGGATCTCTCAACATTGGCAAAATGATGTTAGGGTCTTTTAAATAACTGAACAAATTGGACAAATTGGCTAATTAGGAACACATGCCGGTTTTGTCATTGGCATCAAGAATGGCATATGCCACTTGTTTTCAGAATACACACATTTTATTTCATTACAGATTTGAGTAGAATATCTTCTGATATCACTTTGGAAAACAGGCTTGGTCTGGTATTTGTTTTGTATTGAATTTTTTTTTTTTGGGTGGAGTCCCTCTTTTGAATGCAAGCCTCATTTTTATTTTTAATATTCTGTGAGTCGTAATTACTCTAAATTGTGTGTAATTATTCCATGCTTAAGCTATCTGAAAAGTATGCACCCAGACGTGTTCTGCAGATGTTACTTCAAAGAGTTAATGTGAGTATTTATAAATACTAGGCTGTGAGAAGACTTTAACATTAAAGATTTGCAAGCTTTCAGAAAGGGGGAAATATTAACATTCGGTTAGGGACAGTTTTATATTCTTAGCATCAATAAGCCTGCTGAAGACCCTGGAAATGTATCTGTGGCCTTTAGATTTTAAAGGCTGTATTATTAACTTAATGTAAAACAACCAAATCTGTTCATCCATATTGATCTTAGTTTTACCACTGTGGTGATAGTGTTGGTGTTTGCCCGATAAGCAGTTATTGGAAAACATTGGATGAATCACATTTGTACGATTTTTATTAGTGTAAACACTGTATTTGTAATGATTTTGATTTTTAAAAATTAATATGAAAAAATATCTATTATTTCTGTATACTGTATTGGGCTTTGCTGTGTCTTTTGGGTCTATCAGTTAGGGTTGTTGGGCTTGATTGTGTGTTTAAACTGGAGCATCTAAGTTATAGTCACATGCTGCTAAGAAAATGGTGTGCATTCACCACGTAGAACCTAATTTCTGTTAAGAAAATGGTGTGTGCACACCATGTAGAACCTCATTTCTGCTAAGAAAATGGTGTGCGCTCGCTATGTAGAACCTCATTCCTGCTAAGTCAAAGATATGCATTCACCACATAGAACCTCATTTCTGCTAAGTCAATGGTATGCATTCACCACATAGAACCTCATTCCTGCTAAGTCAATGGTATGCATTCACCACATAGAACCTCATTTCCTGCTAAGGCAATAGTGTGCACTCACCACATAGAACCTCATTCCTGCTAAGTCAATGGTATGCATTCACCACATAGAACCTCATTTCTGCTAAGTCAATGGTATGCATTCACCATGTAGCACCTCATTTCCTGCTCAGTCAATGGTGTGCACTCACCACATGGAACCTCATTTCCTGCTAAGACAGTGGTATGCATTCACCATGTAGCACCTCATTTCCTGCTCAGTCAATGGTGTGCACTCACCACATAGAACCTCATTTCCTGCTAAGACAGTGGTATGCGCTCACCACATACAACCTAATTTCCTTCCTTTTCCCCCTCCAGAGCTTTGATGATCGTCCGTCCTCTTCTCTACAAGCCGAGGCCGATTCTTCCATACCAGTGCAGCAGACGGTAAGTTTGCATTTTTTTTTTTTGCACGTTGTACAGATGTTCATATTCAAGATTTTATTACCATTTCAAATTAACATTTTACATTTTTAGCAGATGCTTTTTATCCAAAACTACATACAATTGGGGCAAATAGAACATTACAAACATGTTGTGATGGAGTCATCTAGGCCCAAGTGGGGCTTGGCTGATCTTCCAGTGAACGGCCAGGTACAAATGTAAGCAGTTATTGGAGCAGGAGCTGCATAGCAACTTCTAACAATCAAGAACCTGATAAGACTATTCAAGGACCAGAAGTGCAACATAAGAACATTCAGGCAACATAAGAGTGTTCAGGGAACATAAAGAAGCATCAGGACTAGTAGAGGAATTGTCCTGTGCAGAGTTATACTGGCAGACCCTGTTCATGCCACTGCAAAAGAAAGAGCATCACTCAATAGAATATATAAAGGACATCCGGTTACAGAAGATGGATGGATGGATGGATAGAAATGAAATTGCCACTCTAGGCTGTGCAACAAACAAGGTAGAAGGATAATATCAAAACTTAAGTTAACAAAACTTTCAAAGTGCTAAAATATAGAAAAAAACAACATATACAAATAGTAAACAAAGTAATAAACAAATATTTATTAACTTCACTGCATGGTTTAAAACAAGGGGGAGATAAGAAAGGTTATGTGGAAAAAGGATAAGATATTTTTTTTAATAAACGTTCAAACCGGGCATAAGCAATTCTTCTATCTTAGTTAATTTAACAAGTGCTGTGTATGGATCCTGTGCATGCCTTTTATTTTATTTGCAAGGTGTCATGTGATGAGGGGGGGGGGGGGGGGGGGGG